TTCTGGGTGAAAATCATAAAGGTTTTGATTGTAATATAATTGATTTAAATATAATGTTCATCTCATGTATATCAAATATATAAGGTTTCTGTGAGAAGTCTTAAAATCTAAGAGTTTGATCAAAAATGATTTACTCTGTATTCCATTTCTTAATCTTGATTCTAACTTTATTCTGTATATCTGCAATAGGAATTCCTTTTTTCTATATTTATAAAATCAACATTTCTAATAACCCATTCATATGAGTAATTCTGGTTAATTTCTTTTCTTTCAACTTATAAATAATACAGCTTATTATTTAATTTATATGAGGAACATTTAATAAAGAATAGATTGTATAAATGTCTAAATTGAACCAACAAATACAATTATTATTATTTATTATAATTGTAATAAAATTGCTTAAGAAATTTATTTATTTATTAATAATTAAATAATACTGAATATGAAATATTAATAATTTTTTTTATAAATTTCATACGATAATTTATAAATCTATATTTGTTGGTTATCCTTTCTCTACTTTATTTTCATTCTTAACAATCACAAATCCTATTTGACTTAATGTATTTTCTCTTTCTTTTAAATTCAATTACAATCTGATGGAATTGTAGTATAGAAAAGTAACTGTGTCTAAATAAATTTATAATCTATGTTTTAATTATAGTTATTTATTTTTATTCTTAGGTTTCTTAGTATTAATAATCTATATTTCATAATGTTACATTAAATAATGTAAATCAAGTTTTAGATCTTCATGTTAGTCAAATTCTAATTTTGAAAATAATTATAAAATTTTGATTTCATCAACTAAATTTTTCATTTTGATATTCAAATATTAAAATAGACCAACTTTGATTCCTTCATCTACTAGACTTTCAAAAGCTTTTATCTATTATTCAGGTTTTCTTTTACAAATTTTTTATGTTGAAAAAGCTCTTTCATGATGATGATGAGACTTATGAAAATCATCTACATTCGTATTCCATTTTCTTATATCATTTAAGAATTCTTATGATAATTTATCACTATAATAACCAAAGTAATCTAAACTATGAGTTAATTATGCAGGCAGAATAAATTATTAAGATAGCATAGCCAAATCAAATACTGATGCATACTTACAATAAGTTTTTATCCATTTTAAATTGTGAATATCTCTATCTTCATTATTATTTTCAATTTTCAAACTATTTACTGATTTTCTAATTAGTAAATTAGCATTTGTTAATTTCTTTTTCTATTTTAATATCTCTTAATATGGACGAAATGTTTCACATACTTTATAAATAAAAGCAGATAAAGGTGTTTAACAATTATTTGTAAATAAAGAATAGCCTTCCATTTCAGTCTCTGTTATGATTGAAACAGCATGGTCAAGAATATTTGATCGATTTAATTCTGATTGATAATTATCATAGAATTCTTTAGTAATTTAATCCTTAATCTCAGTTATCTTAGAAAATTTTTTTGTAAATCCATAAATGGTCTTTTCATAAGAAACTTCTTAAATTGAATTTTTAATTAGATTCTTGAATAATTTAAGATATTCTTTATCAATCTGTTACTATTCCCTAAAACTATAATAAATTATACGTAAATTCAGTCTCTTCAAGAAGTGGTTTCTCAAGGCTTTTAAAAGAACTACTTTCTTCACTACCTGATGATTTAAATTTAATTTTGTTAAGTTCTACTCTTAATGAAGGTATTTTAACTTTTATTATATTTAAAATTTCGGTAAAGTTTTAAATAAAAAAATTACCGATTGATTCTACCCAAGAATTCAGAGGAAAAAAATCAAGCATTTTTAAACTAATATAATCCAAATCCTTGAAAGTTCGTCCCCTTACTGTTTGAAGTAAAAATAATGATGAATCAACATAGCTATAACGAATATTTCCAATAGCTAATGATTATAATAGAATTTACATAAACATGCATGATATTTTGGGCTCCAAGGGACAACTGCAGAACCCATTAAATTGAATAAAAACATTACCGGCTTACTTTTATGTAAAAAATCGTTCATAGTATTTAGTTAACATTAATAAGGAAATAAACCTGTTGTTATAATAGTCTTATAAACAATTGATTAGATATCCTAATTATTAAGCTGAATCTATTTAATTTATAGAACTTTTTTAGTTAATTCATACATTGATTCATATTCAATATTATTTATCAAACCAATTAATTGAATTATTTTCTTCAAAGAAACATAACATATCCAATCCAAAGTATTATCTATTTATAAACGAATACCGATTTCTGAATATCTAGGTGAATATACAACTTATTCCAAAATGAATACAAATATTTCATTTAGGGCTTCTTATTTTTCAAAAGCAATTATATTAATTAAACCTTCTTCCATTACAAAAAGGTAATCATAATTTTGCATTTTAAAAGGATTTGTCCAATTGATTTTATATTTTTCAATAAAATACTATAGATTATTTTTTCTATGAATTGTTCTGGTCTAGTCAATGTAAATTGAGAAAATGCTTTCTAAATCTGTTTCTTCAGGCTCAATACAACTTATTTAATAAACTTCCCAATCAATTAAATTATCTATATTGGGTTTCATGACTTTGGGAGTTTTAAAAGCAAATCTTTCTACTTATTAGAATTCATCTTCTTAAGCATTATAGATGAAAAATGGATTTTCTAATCTTAAGGGGAATTAAAGTTTCATTCAAATATTTTAAAATAAAATATAATAAAATCAAATTTGAAGTTCTACATTTTAAGGTTTGGTTGAATGAAGCTAATTTAAATCTTTAGCAATAACAAATCCAATTAAACTTAAAGTATTTTGACGCTGCTTTTATACAATCTACAAGCGAATAGAATTGAAATAAAAATAGTAGACTGTATCTAAATAATCTTAAATCCTATGTTTAGTTTTTACCTGCTTTAAACCTTCTTATTTTAGTTTAATTAATTAATTTTAAAAAAACTATAGCAAATAATGTAAATTAAACCTAGATTTAGTATATTGTTTAGTGTTGTTATTTTAGAATTTTTATAGATATTCAACTAAATTTTCTTCTTTCTAATTTTCATGTTAATAAATTGTACTTCTAGAACAATTATCAAAAGCCTCAACAAATTCCTTAGCTTCAGTATCATTAAATAGATAAGAATTAGAAAAACGATAAGGACGATACATTCGTTCTATTTATTAAAATTATTCTGGATCAAAATCAATTTTTTGAATGCATGTAAGAAAACGTGCAGATAATTCATCACTATAAAAACCAAAATAATCTAAACTACATTCTAAAATTGCTGGTTAAATAAATAATTCACCTAATAATTAAAATTCATTAATTGATGCAAATTTACAATAAGTGGCCAAATATTAAGTTAATAATTTATTGTCTGTATCAATAAAGCTACTTTTTGAAGCAAATTAATTATGTTTAATATTACGAATATTGAATCCACATTATTAAAGAGATTTTAGAAAATGAGTTTTCTCACATAACATTTCTGAAAAAGGTCTAAATGTATCACATAAAAGATAAATAAAAGCAGCTACAGGAGTTTAACAATTATTTGCACAAGTTGAATAACTTCGTAATTCAGTTTCAGTTATTATAGAGCAAAATTAACTTAAAATTCCATTTCTATTAATTTCAGATGAATAATTCTCATAAAATTCATTAGCTATACGATTTTTAACTTAAACAATAAATGGAGTATGTATAACAATACCAAAAACTTCTCTAACATTTTCTATCTTTCTTATAGAATTTTTAAGTAATATTTTGAATAGTTCTGAACAATTTGTTAATACATTAAAACTTTATTAACTATTATTACAAGAATCTTAAATCAATTCAGTTTCTTTTTATTCTTCTCTCATTAATGGTTCTTTTAAATCCAAAATTGAACTACTTGAATTAGATTTAGAATCATAAGACTGTTTTCTAAGAGAAGACTGATTCTATTATTAAGGCATCTTAGTCTAAATATAATTAAGCATAGTTTCTAAATTTTGTATAAAGAAATTAGAAACATCTTCAATCCATGAATCTAAAGGAAAAAAATCTAATATTCTAAGTCTTATATATTAGTAATCTTTATAGAATGTACGAGTATTAAGGGTTCTCAAATTGAATAGATCATTTGGAGTAAAACTATAATGATAATTTCCTAGAGCTTAAAATTATATACAATAATTTATACCTAAAGATGCATGAAATTTTGGAGACCAAGGTAAAATTTCAGAATTAGTGAATAAACTAAGTAATTTTAATTTTATGTAGCTGTCATTCATAGTGTTAATTTCACAATAAAAGGGGAATAGACTAGCACTGATAAAAGTCTTGTATACAATAGAAACAATATCTTAGGGGTTCAATCTTAAATCTTTACAACGCACTACTTTTCTAGTTAATTCATACATGGATTCATATTCTATATGATGTTTTTTTCCAATAAGTTGAATCATTTTCTTTAGAGACTTATAATATATATTGTCCAAAGCATCTTCAACTTGCTTCTTTATTCCAATTTCAGAATACCTAGATTCATATAATAATTGTTGTAAGAGGAATGATATTTTACGATCAAGATCACTTTCTCTTTTAGATAATCCTATTATGTCTAATAAAAGATTATCTTATGAATCCTTCTTTTTGAAAAAGATATATTCATAAGACTTTACATTGAATTAAGGAATTTAAAGCAAAAAAGGCTTTTTAGCAAAATAAGCAAATTTTGCACAGTAATGTAAATCAGTTGCATGATCAGCCACAATATATTGAACACTACTGATTTCACTTTCCCTATATTCTTCTGCTCCCATTCCCATTCCAAAAATTTTATAGTCATTAACATTTCCATCTAGATCCCAGCTCTTAGGTATCCTAATAACCAATTACTCTGTTTCTATCCATTATCCTTAATTTTCTGATATCTCAGAATAAAGCATCAATGGGTATTCTAAAGTTAAAGGAAAGTGCATGAATATTATTATTTTATAATTCAATTCACTTTGTTGCTCTCTTCAACGGAATGAAGAACTTCTAGTTCACAATTAAGTATGCTAGAAAGTGACCAGTCCCATACACAAATCCTGTAAGAAGAGGATAAAGTACAAGCTTTTTTAAAAGTTGGGTTTCATCCTTTTTCTCTGAAATTAGGTCTCGATAGTCCATTAATTATTTTATTTGTGATGTTAAGATTAAGTTTAAACTTATTTAGAAGAAGTGGATTTCGTTACTCCAAACCTTGTATGCTCTTTTCTCAAGATAAAGAACCTCCTAAAGGTATTTTTATTGTTCTAGACATTTAGGTTTTCAAAAATTTTAAAGAAAATCCAAATTATAGCAAGAAGAATCTATTACACAAAAAGAAGAAAAAAAGGTTTCAGAAAAACCCAATTAAGAGGAAGCAGAGAAGATCATCTAAGATGAGTAATAAGAAGAAGAGTTACCTCCAAAAGGTATCTTAATTTGCATATATTGTAATAGTGGAAAAACCATAGAAAAAGAAATATCAATTTACATATGATCCTAAATCCTTTAACTTATAAGATGAGAATTAGAAGAAAGAGAAGTTGAAATCAGATTAATAGGAGGAGAAAGACAAAGAAGAGGAGAAATAAGAAAAATAAGAAAATTAAGAAGAAGATGAAGAATAAAAATAATAACAATAACAATAATAATAATAATAATCAGAAAAGAAAAAATCTTCATTTCCAGAAATTGATTTTAGCAAATTTACAGAATATATAAAGAATCCAAAGAATCGCAATTATATTTATATGTTTTTAGGTGTAAGTGGTTTAGCTTCACTTTATACTTATTTGAATATGGAAGAGTAAATTACTTATACTGAATTTTTAAAGAATTATTTAGAAACTAATTAAGTCAGTTCAATTACAATCTATAATAATGATAATAGCAAAGTTAATTAAGCTTCTATCAAAACAACTAGAGGAGAATCTAAAAAATTAATTTTAGGGAATGTGGATCATTTTTTAGAAAATCTAGAACGTTTTTAAATTGAAAAAGGAGTTTATCCAGAGTAATTCATTCCAATTTCATTTGAAACATAAGTAGATAAAGCAAAAATGATTGATAGAGCATTGAATTTATTATATTATGGAGTTTCAGCTGTTCTGATCTTTTATATCTTTAAATCACTTAAAGGTAGTATGGGAAATATTGGAAAAGGACCTGGTGGTGGTGGAAATGATGTATTTGGTTTTGGAAAATCAAATGTAAAGTAATTTGGATTTGAATAAAATGTAAAAATCAAGTTTAAAGATGTGGCTGGATTAGATGAAGCTAAATTAGAAATTAAAGAATTTGTAGACTTTCTTAAGAAACCTAGAAAATATAAAGAAATGGGAGCTAAATTACCAAGAGGAGCTTTATTGGCAGGACCACCAGGAACTGGTAAAACTATGGTAGCAAAGGCTTGTGCAGGTGAAGCTGGTGTTCCATTTTTCTTTGTAAGTGGATCAGATTTTGTCGAGATGTTTGTAGGTGTTGGTGCTAGTAGAGTTAGAGATTTATTTAAATAAGCAAAAGCAAAATCTCCTAGTATTATTTTTATAGATGAAATTGATGCAGTTGGTAGAAAAAGAGATGCAAAAATTGGTGGAAATGATGAAAGAGATAATACATTGAATTAATTATTAGTTGAGATGGATGGATTTGGAACAGATACTAATGTTATAGTTTTGGCAGCTACAAATAGAAAAGAATTACTTGATCCAGCACTTACTAGACCTGGTAGATTTGATAGATCAATTGATATTACATTACCAGATATTGAAGGAAGAAAACAAATATTTATGGTTCATTTGACTCCTTTAAAGTTGGATCCATCTAAGACTATGGAAGAATATGCAAAGAGATTGGCTACTCTAACTCCAGGATTTAGTGGAGCAGAAATAGCCAATCTTTGTAATGAAGCTGCAATAATGGCAGCAAGAGCTAATAAGACATATGTGGATGCTCATGATTTTGAGATGGCATCAGAAAGAGTTATGGCTGGTTTAGAGAAGAAAAGAATCATTAGTGAAGAAGAAAGGAAGACGGTTGCATTTCATGAATCTGGACATGCTGTAGCTAGTTGGTTTTTATAAGGAGGTCATCCACTTCTTAAATTAACTATAATCCCTAGAAGTAAGGGTTCATTAGGTTATGCTTAATATTTACCTAATGAATCTAGTTTGGAGACTAAATAAGAATTATTGGATAGAATATGTTGTATATTAGGAGGTAGAGTTGCTGAAGAGATTTTCTTTGGATAAGTTACTACTGGAGCATATGATGATTTAAAGAAAGCTTATGATGTTGCTCATAGTATAGTTACAAAGTTTGGTATGAATGAGAATATTGGATATATTGGATTTTAAGAGGGAGAGTTTTAAAAACCATATAGTGATAGCACTAATAAATAGATCGATGATGAAATTAGAAAGCTTATTGAAGAATAGACTTAAAGAACTAGATAATTAATAAATGAAAAAAAGGAATTTGTTAATAAGTATTATTTTAGTTTGATTATATTTTAGATTGGCTTCTACTTTGTTAGAAAAAGAGACTCTCGATTTATAAAAAATAATTGAAGTTTTGGGAGAACGACCATTTCCACCGAAATCCAATTATAAGGCTTATTTGGAAATAAAAAAGGAAGATTAATAAACAACTTCTTAATGAATTATATATTTTATGTATTTTTGAATAGAATTTATCAGATTCTTGACCTGACACGGGTATGTTTTTTAATTATATAATTTTTGGGGATTTAAAACAGTTGTATCTTTTAAATTAATCAGGATTAAAGCAGAACATGTTAGGTATGAGTTAAAATTATTAAATTAAATTAACTTATCATTCAATGATACGTACAAACAAACATTCTAAACAAACCAAAAAGTCTAAGATCTCTGATGATTTCACTGAGCCTCATTCAAAATTATTATTAGAACGTTTCCCCTACACAACAAAAGATTTTTAATTGAAAGATGTTCCTATATTAACTATAGATCAAAGCTTTTTTGCTGATCCATTCAAAACTATAGATGATCTATATGCAAAAGGTTATGAAAAATTTGGAATTGTTAAATTGATTCTGCCTCCAGATTTAGTGGTTCCAAATAAGAAATTCTTTTCTTTGTTAGAGTCTAAGCTTAAGGGTAAGAGACTATAAACTCGTATCTAAACACTGAACACCCAAAGAGCTGGAGAAGTATTTTGATTTATTAGCTTAGATATTTGGTTCAAACTCTATAGGATTTACAATATAGGAATATATGAACCTTGCAAATAAGTTTGAGTGCACTCATAAATTACAAGGGATGAGGGAAGTTTCTAATCAGATTCGATAGAATGAAATAGAGTTCTGGTCAATTATTGATTATCCAACTAAATATGAAGATATTGAAGTGGAATATGCAGCAGATCTCTTAGCAACTAAATATGCAACTGGATTTTAGGATGGTTAGTTAGGGAATCTCAGTGGAATAAATAAAAATAGGAATTCGATTTTCTAAGTTCTTTAAGAAAAGAATGAAATGAGTGGAATTTCAGTACCATGGTTATACTTGGGCATGAAATATGCTAATTTCTGTTGGCATAAGGAGGATCTTAATTTAAATTCAATGAATTATATGCATGCTGGAGCTGCAAAGACATGGTATTCTATTTGATTAAATAATCATATAGGTATGCTATCCCACCTAGTTACAGTGATAAATTCCTCTAATACTTCAATAAAGCATATGAGAATGAAAGGAAATAGAATCCACGATTATTGTACGACATCACTTGTCAAATCTCACCTGTAGAATTGGTTGAGAATGGAATCCAAATTTTAAGAACTGATCAACAACCAGGTGAACTAATATTAACTTTGGGAGCTACCTACCATGCAGGTTTTTCTCATGGTATTTATTTAAATAAAAATTAGGGTTCAATTGCAGTGAAGCTGTAAATGTGGCTCCAACTTAATGGCTTAAAGAGTTCGATAAGGCAACCTAAGAATACCGTATGGATGGGAATTTAAAGAAGGTAATTTGTATAAGTGATTATTTATTTAGGTGAGTTTCCCTTTGGAATGGTTACTATGTAAAGTGGCTTTGATGGTTGATGAGATAAGGTTTACTAAATAATCTTGGTAAAAGGTATATTTTTTTTTAAATTACTTCTTAGTTATTTGAGAAATTCAAACAAATGATGGATTAAGAAATTAACAATCGTAAATGTATACTAAATTTGTATGATCATGTTAAGACAATTGAATTTGTTAATAAGTAGGAGAAGTATGATCGAAGTGTCTGTAAGATCTGCTCCAATTATATGTTTTTAAGTTACATTTTTTGTGGGAAGTATTAATTTCCTAAATTTCTTTAGATGTATAAAGAAGGGATGTATTTGTCATTAAAGTATTTGTGCTTGTGCCTCTCCGTAAATATCACTCTATATTCGATATAATAATGAGGAACTATAAGCTATGCTTGCTACATTAGAGTCCAAAATAAAAACAACGGGGTCGTGATTTAAAATACTTTACATAATATTATATATATATTTTAACAGAAAGTATTGAATAAAAATTAACAATAAAAAAAATAACAAATTGCCTGTGCATGTCTGATATCGATATTACTTCTCAAGAGAATACTCTCGAACTCCCTAAATTTGAGGAAAGTCTCCCAGATATTAAACCTGAACCTCGCAAAGATTTAAAGTATGAAATTAAACATGAACCAAAACCTTCATTTGGTTAATCCTCAAAAGACCTAATTGAATAATACAAGAGTAAATTTAATGCCTTCAAATAATTGGCTGAGGATTAATAACCTTTAGCAATGGAACCATCTGTTATTGAAAAGTCAGAAAAATCTGATATTTGGAGGAGTGATGCTGAAATACTCAAATCTCCTAAAGAATGGGATTGGAATATTTTGGGATCCAAAAAAGCTTCTACAACCAGTAATCAAATTCAATTTGATACTCATGTACCAGATCCAATTGCTAGTGAATAAGAACATAAAGCTTAAATTGCTTAACATAGATAAATGATTTTAGGTGTATTAGATCAAAGAGTTGAACCTGGTTTGAAATTGCCTTCATCTCATTAACCTTCAAAACCTGTTGTTAATGAGTAACATTCCAATTATTAAAATATTTTGGAAAAATTTAGAAGTGCTTCCTCCTTAGATGATTTAAACTTATTCTTTAATACAGTATAATAAAGAAAAGTGGTTGAATAAGCTGCCCCTCAATAATAATTAGAGGATGCATTCACTAATATTGATATTAGAAGAAATAAAAAGGCTGAAACCCAAATTTAATAATACAAAACACCAAGTAAATCATAAGAAGAAATATTTGAATATGGTTCAGGAAATAGAACAACTTCATTCTTTTAAAAGAAACCTTCAGCCTAAAAGTAATTATTGTAAAGTCCAAATTTGGGTAATCAATTTAACTATAGACCTGATTAATCAGTAACTTCTAAGGTGACTTAGAATATGAACTTTTAAGTTGAAGTTAAAGATCATAGTAAAACTAATAAGAGAAAAGAAGAACTCTAAAGTTTCATGGGTAAATTAGGTTTAGGTAAATATGATACTCCAAAAGTAGTGATTAATTTGGATAGTAATACTTAAAGTAGTAAGTTATTTATAAATATATTTGAAGATTCCACAATAGATAGAATGAGACAGTATGTAAATGGAACTCCAATGAGTGCAAGAAAGAATGGAGGAGGTTTAAGTGATTTGATAAATGAGAGATCTTTGAATACTACAACATTTAAATAGTAAATAAAATCATATCACAAATCTGGATCAAAACCAGATTAAACAGGAAGATTGAGTGCAGACAATTAAAATTTGTCAGAATAATCACTTAAAAATTTACATCTAAAATTAGTACATTAATAGAAAAATGGAATAGGAAATTCTGGATTAAAATATGCAAGATGTTGATTTAATATACTTTTTATATATAGAATTATCTATAGATCTAATATATATATATATAAAAAGTCAACAACAAAGATCCTCTTGTTTTTTCTTTTCTTATTATTATTGTTATTATCTATTTTGAAGTCTAAGATTAGATGTCTTCCTAACCACAGCCCTTGTATTATGAAGTTCTCTATTCAATATGTTTTTTGTGATATGTGTGAAAGCAGCTTCAATATTGATAGATGATTTGGCACTGGTTTCATAAAATGGAATTTAATATAATCTTGCTAAAAATATAATTAAAGGAATATTACATAATTCTAATCCTTCTTCATAAGATACTTCTCTTCTTTCAGTTATATCAGCTTTATTACCAACCAATAATCTATTTACAGATTCTGATGCATATCTAAAATATTTTTAGAAAGAATTACTTATCTATTTCTGCCATCCAAGTTTTTACATTTTCAAAAGATTCTCTATCAGTAATATCATAAACAATAATGATTCCTTAAGCTCCTCTATAATAACTACATGTGATTGTTCTAAATCTATCTTGACCTGCAGTATCCCACTAAGATAATGAAATAATGATTTACAATTTGCAATTTAACATTGTGTTCTCCTAATGCAATAGTTTTAGTTTTAAAATCAACACCTATTGTGTTATAAAAGTTATTGGTGAATTAATTTTCCTTAAGATTATATGAAATAGTACAGAATAACGCATAAGCATACATGATTTTCCCACACCAGAATTTCCAATTAACAATACTTTGAATAGGAAATGACTATGTAAATTATAAATGAAATCTTACTAATCAGAGTTGGAGTTCATTTGTATTTCAAATATTTATTTATTACGGTTAATAATTAAATAAATAATGCGTAAGTTTATTTCAGCATTTGGATTTAGTAACACAATTGGATTCATTGGTTTGGGCAATATGGGAGTATCAATATATCATATGATTAATATAGATTGGTATGGCTCATAATTTAGCTAAAACTCGAGTTGTATATGCATATGATGCCAGTCCTGCATGGTAATCCAAGATTGAATCTTCTAATATTAAACCTGTGTCTTAAGTAGCAGATGTTGCTGCAAATGCAGATACTATTATTACTATGTTACCAAATGATAAGATAGTCAAAAGTGTAGCTTAAGAAATCTTCAAAAAATAAAACAAAACATTGATTGATTCATCCACAATCTCACCTTATGCTGCTTATGATTTGGCTAAAATGGCTAAAGATACTAAAAACATATATACAGATGCTCCAGTCTCAGGTGGTGTTGGTGGTGCTAAATTAGGAACATTAACATTTATGGTTGGAGCAGAGAAAGAATTATATGATAAAGTATCTCCAATTCTTAAAGAAATGGGAAAAAATATTTTCCATTGTGGAAAGATTGGAGGAGGATAAATTGCTAAAATGTGTAATAATATGGCATTAGCAATTTAAATGATAAGTGTTGCTGAAGCTTTGGCTTTGGGTAAGAATATGGGAATGGATCCAGCTATGTTGAGTTCAATTATGTCTGTCAGTTCTTCAAGATGTTGGTCTGTAGATACTTATAATCCAGCACCAGGAGTTATGCCTAATGTACCTAGTTCCAAAGATTATGATGGAGGCTTTATGGTTGAATTAATGCTCAAAGATCTAGGAATTGCCATTGAAGCATCAAAGAAAAGTGGAACTGATACATAATTAGGATAACATGCTTAATAGATTTATAATAAATTGAATGAACACTTTGGAAAGAAAGATTTTGCAATTGTCTACAAAGAATTAACAAAAAGTAAATGATATAGAAATAAATTATACAATACATATGTATTAATGAATCATAAGTCATCTCTTTTATCATTACTTACAGTTTCCCATTAAGCATCATCTGTATTTACTTTTTCCCATTTAGTTCCATCTTCACTTTGAGGTGGTTCTGATGAAGTTTCTGGTTCATCTTCGATTTCTACTTCGAATTCTTTGACTGGAGCATCTCTATCAATACCCAAAGCAGAATTAAATAATTTATAGAATCTACTAGCAAACTTTTCAGGATTAGGAATAGAATAACCTAAAATATATATATATATTAAATACCTGAATTAACTAAAGCAGCTTCATATAATACTCTAGCCATTTCTTCTGTTTCTTAATCTGGATCATCTTTCACTCTTTATAATAATTCTTAGATTGCTTAATGATTTGGATTGATCTCTACAATCTTCTTACCAAATTAATGTGAACCACCTTTACTTGAATAAGCTTAAGCTTTTGAAATTCTTTCCATATTTGCAGAATATCCTGATTCAGATGAAACAACAATAATTGGATCATCAATTAATCTTTATGAAATGATAACTGAATCAACACTTTCTGATAATAATTTTCTCCACCAATCAGTCAAAGGTTAAAATACTTTCTTTAAAGCCTTTTATTTCTTTCTTTATTCATCATTATCTTCTGGTTATTTGAAATCACCTTTTCCAACATTAACTAATTTTTTTTATTTGTATTCATTTAAATGTTAAAATGTAAATTCATCAACTGGATCATCTAATAATAATACTTCATATCCTTTCTTTAATAATCCTTAAATAATTGGTGAAGCTAATAATTATTCCTTGTTTTCACCAGCTAAATAATAGATTGAATCTTATCCTGGTTTAGTTCTCTCAATATAATCATCAAATGATGTTAATTCAGTTGAATTTTTACTTGAGTACCATCTAATAAATATAAAATATTAAAATACCTTGTTAATTCAGCCAATTTCTATCTATTTGAAGAATCTTCAATAACACCCAATTTAATATTCTTTCCATATTCTTTCCAAAATTCATTATACTCATCAATTTTCTTTTTTCTCTTTTCATCTTTCAATCTTTATTATTCTTCAGGTGTAGTTTCTGCCATATTATCATCTTCTTCACCTTCTTCTGTATCTTCTTCATCTTCATCATCATAAGAAGCAGCATCTTAGAATAATTCTAAAATCTTCTTAACTATCTTTCTACTTATAACCTTTAACATTTTAAGTTATTAAAGTGTTTCTCTATTAACATTTAATGGTAATTCATCTGAATCAATAACACCTTTAACAAAACTTAAATATCTTGGAAGTATATCTTCAAATTCTTCACTAATTAATACTCTTCTTACATATAATTTCAAATTTGTTGTTTATTTACCATAATAATTATCAAACATATCACTTGGTGCTCTCTTTGGAACATAAATAAGAGATGTAAATTCAACTTCTCCTTCTGCTTTAAAATGAACCCAATTAAAAGGATCTTCACCTGAATTCTTTGATAATACTTTATAGAATTTCTTATAATCATCATCAGAAATCTCTTCTTTTGNTAAATAATTTATAGAATCTACTAGCAAACTTTTCAGGATTAGGAATAGAATAACCTAAAATATATATATATATTAAATACCTGAATTAACTAAAGCAGCTTCATATAATACTCTAGCCATTTCTTCTGTTTCTTAATCTGGATCATCTTTCACTCTTTATAATAATTCTTAGATTGCTTAATGATTTGGATTGATTTCTACAATCTTCTTACCAAATTAATGTGAACCACCTTTACTTGAATAAGCTTAAGCTTTTGAAATTCTTTCCATATTTGCAGAATATCCTGATTCAGATGAAACAACAATAATTGGATCATCAATTAATCTTTATGAAATGATAACTGAATCAACACTTTCTGATAATAATTTTCTCCACCAATCAGTCAAAGGTTAAAATACTTTCTTTAAAGCCTTTTATTTCTTTCTTTATTCATCATTATCTTCTGGTTATTTGAAATCACCTTTTCCTACATTAACTAATTTTTTTTATTTGTATTCATTTAAATGTTAAAATGTAAATTCATCAACTGGATCATCTAATAATAATACTTCATATCCTTTCTTTAATAATCCTTATATAATTGGTGAAGCTAATAATTATTCCTTGTTTTCACCAGCTAAATAATAGATTGAATCTTATCCTGGTTTAGTTCTCTCAATATAATCATCAAATGATGTTAATTCAGTTGAATTTTTACTTGAGTACCATCTAATAAATATAAAATATTAAAATACCTTGTTAATTCAGCCAATTTCTATCTATTTGAAGAATCTTCAATAACACCCAATTTAATATTCTTTCCATATTCTTTCCAAAATTCATTATACTCATCAATTTTCTTTTTTCTCTTTTCATCTTTCAATCTTTATTATTCTTCAGGTGTAGTTTCTGCCATATTATCATCTTCTTCACCTTCTTCTGTATCTTCTTCATCTTCATCATCATAAGAAGCAGCATCTTAGAATAATTCTAAAATCTTCTTAACTATCTTTCTACTTATAACCTTTAACATTTTAAGTTATTAAAGTGTTTCTCTATTAACATTTAATGGTAATTCATCTGAATCAATAACACCTTTAACAAAACTTAAATATCTTGGAAGTATATCTTCAAATTCTTCACTAATTAATACTCTTCTTACATATAATTTCAAATTTGTTGTTTATTTACCATAATAATTATCAAACATATCACTTGGTGCTCTCTTTGGAACATAAATAAGAGATGTAAATTCAACTTCTCCTTCTGCTTTAAAATGAACCCAATTAAAAGGATCTTCACCTGAATTCTTTGATAATACTTTATAGAATTTCTTATAATCATCATCAGAAATCTCTTCTTTTGNTACAGTTTCCCATTAAGCATCATCTGTATTTACTTTTTCCCATTTAGTTCCATCTTCACTTTGAGGTGGTTCTGATGAAGTTTCTGGTTCTTCTTCGATTTCTACTTCGAATTCTTTGACTGGAGCATCTCTATCAATACCCAAAGCAGAATTAAATAATTTATAGAATCTACTAGCAAACTTTTCAGGATTAGGAATAGAATAACCTAAAATATATATATATATTAAATACCTGAATTAACTAAAGCAGCTTCATATAATACTCTAGCCATTTCTTCTGTTTCTTAATCTGGATCATCTTTCACTCTTTATAATAATTCTTAGATTGCTTAATGATTTGGATTGATTTCTACAATCTTCTTACCAAATTAATGTGAACCACCTTTACTTGAATAAGCTTAAGCTTTTGAAATTCTTTCCATATTTGCAGAATATCCTGATTCAGATGAAACAACAATAATTGGATCATCAATTAATCTTTATGAAATGATAACTGAATCAACACTTTCTGATAATAATTTTCTCCACCAATCAGTCAAAGGTTAAAATACTTTCTTTAAAGCCTTTTATTTCTTTCTTTATTCATCATTATCTTCTGGTTATTTGAAATCACCTTTTCCTACATTAACTAATTTTTTTTATTTGTATTCATTTAAATGTTAAAATGTAAATTCATCAACTGGATCATCTAATAATAATACTTCATATCCTTTCTTTAATAATCCTTATATAATTGGTGAAGCTAATAATTATTCCTTGTTTTCACCAGCTAAATAATAGATTGAATCTTATCCTGGTTTAGTTCTCTCAATATAATCATCAAATGATGTTAATTCAGTTGAATTTTTACTTGAGTACCATCTAATAAATATAAAATATTAAAATACCTTGTTAATTCAGCCAATTTCTATCTATTTGAAGAATCTTCAATAACACCCAATTTAATATTCTTTCCATATTCTTTCCAAAATTCATTATACTCATCAATTTTCTTTTTTCTCTTTTCATCTTTCAATCTTTATTATTCTTCAGGTGTAGTTTCTGCCATATTATCATCTTCTTCACCTTCTTCTGTATCTTCTTCATCTTCATCATCATAAGAAGCAGCATCTTAGAATAATTCTAAAATCTTCTTAACTATCTTTCTACTTATAACCTTTAACATTTTAAGTTATTAAAGTGTTTCTCTATTAACATTTAATGGTAATTCATCTGAATCAATAACACCTTTAACAAAACTTAAATATCTTGGAAGTATATCTTCAAATTCTTCACTAATTAATACTCTTCTTACATATAATTTCAAATTTGTTGTTTATTTACCATAATAATTATCAAACATATCACTTGGTGCTCTCTTTGGAACATAAATAAGAGATGTAAATTCAACTTCTCCTTCTGCTTTAAAATGAACCCAATTAAAAGGATCTTCACCTGAATTCTTTGATAATACTTTATAGAATTTCTTATAATCATCATCAGAAATCTCTTCTTTTGGTCTCAACCATATAGCCTTATTTTCATTAATTTAAACCCATTCTGATACTTTCTCTTTAATTGTTTTAGTAGCTTTCTTCTTTGTATCTGCATCATCATCATCATCTTTAACTTTTACTTCATCATCATCTGTATTTTCTTATTAATCTTATTATTCAGGTTCTTCTTCTACTTATTTTGAAACTTCCCTAGTCACTTTCAAATAAATAGGGAAATTTATAAATTCTGAATATTTTTTGATTAATTCTTTAATTGTACTTTCTTCTGCAAATTCAACAGCATCTTATTTCAAATGAATAGTAACTTATGTACCACGACCTAATGTATTTCCTCTAGGATCTTTTGATATTGCAAATGAATGCGCTGCTTATGATTCCCATATGTATTATTCATCATCTGTATTTTTTGATGCAACTGTAACCTTTTAACCTGCCAAGAAACATGAATAAAAACCAACACCAAATTAACCAATCAAATTTACATTACCTCCTTTAATAGCTTCAATAAATTAAGTGGTTCCTGATTTTGCAATTGTACCCAAATTTGATATTAAATCATTCTTTGTCATACCAATACCACTATCTGTAACAGAAACAGATTTTTCTTCTGTATTTATTTCAATTCTAATTGCTAATTCAGTTTTATCACCCAAAATTTCTGGATTCTTTACACTCAAAAATCGAATTTTATCAAGTGCATCAGCCGCATTCGAAATTAATTCTCTTAGAAAGATTTCCTTTTAAGTATATAGAGAATTAATAAGGATATCCATCAATCTACCTGTTTCTGCTTAAAATTCATGTGTTTCTTAAGATTATTCCAAAAGCTTTCTTTATTCTTCAGTCAAATCTTGTGTCATTACTTAAACACCAGAAAACATAAAGAGTAACAATAACCCAAAGGCTTTCTATTTAGTATGCATTAAAAATATTTATGATTCTATGTAAGAACTACATCAACATATATATAATAACACGTGTTCTCACAAATTCTAGAAATTATTTTATAAATAACTCGTCAAACATAATATACATTATTGTGTTTATTTCAAATGATCACTATTAAATTTAATATTAATGGTAGAGTAGTAACGAGTCCATTTCTAAGGATTACTTGGTGCCACTGCTTCTCTTATATCTACACTTGCTGTCTAACCTCTAGAGGTTATCAAAATGGTCATGATTGTTAAATCTAATCCAGCAAACTATAGATTAACAAGTACATATGGATCAGCTGAATACATACTTATCAATGAAGGACTCAATGGATTTTATCGCGGCTTGCGTAGAATTTTCCTCCATTACATAAGGCCCTGCATTAGTTAGAAATATGAGCGCTGGCTTCCTATATTTTCAAATGTTATCCTATGCTACAAGCGTAAACCGTAATGTTTCACAAGACTTTCTTGCTTCCTTTTTTGCCAGAGGGTACATCACACATCTAATATTAAAGACTATCCAATTTCATTACTAATCCAATTCTCTTAATTGAAACTCGTGCTGAAGTTCCTGGATACTAATACACTTCCTTATGGAAAACAGCTAAAACAATTGCAAAATAAGAAGGTTTAATGAGCTTCTTTAAAGGAGGTCTCACATGCTCAATTAAAGATAGTCTATTTGCAGGAGTAATAAATTAACATTAAGATTAGATCTATTATGTTGTTTATAGAAAGATGCATGAGATGTTCTTAACAGCAGATTCTGGTTTTTCCCCTTCAATTACTTTCCTATCTGGAATGACTGCTGGTTTAGTTGGAACATGTGCAAGTCATCCCTTTGAAATTCTTAGAGCCAGATTATAAACTAATTATTATCATGATAAAATGACTATAATGGAAAGATTCAAAAGCACTTATCAAAATGAAGGACTATATGGGTTCATTATATTAATTATTATTAGATTTACTAAAGGTCTTAGTCCAAGATTAGTTCGAAAGCCTTTAGCCAATTCGATTTCATTTCTTCTTGTAGAACATTTAAATCACCTCTTGTATGGTACTTAATTTCACTTTTGAATTGTTAATTTTAATGTAATCACTTTAAAAAATATAAAATCTATTTAAAAATATGTAATCTCTAAATATCAATTAATATAAAAATAATTATTAAGTTTTTTATTATAAATATTGATATGATTAAATATAAATGACAAATATTAATTATCATAATACTAATTTCATTTAGCAAATTCACAAATTCCATCACCATAATGACAGCTTGTACTAAAATAGAATCTATTTTCATCATAAACATCATTAACTATTCCTGAGACTTCTCCATATACTTTAATAGTTTAAACAGTATCATAAAGAGTACTAATTAATAAATCAATTTTTTACGTATTCAATATATGCAAATAGGAATTCGATTCAGCCATAAATAAATGAGATCCATTAAGCTAATATGTTACATTGTATATTGGGAAATCTGATCCAATAAATTATTAAAGTGGATGTTTTGGAGAACGCAAATCATAGATGACAACTGATCCATCCTCACTTGATGATGCAAGTTCATAACTTTTACAGGGATTAAATGCTACAGCAAAACCAAATTCATTATGTGGATCCAATGTATGTATCATTTAACCTGATAGAACATCTAAAACATTTAATCCTAGTCTATCACCACAATATGCTAATTATTTATTCTCATTAACAGTTGTAAGATTGACTGAAGCTTTATCTTCATATGAGAATATTTCTTTGAGTCCATTTTAATAATCAAATATCTTAATGTATCCACCATTATCATTAGTGATAAGATAATTATGATAGAAATGTACATGGTTGATAAAATGTCTTTTTGAATTTATGGTCTATTTATATAGGTTTCCATTGTATAAATTAATTATCAAAAGATCTCCATTCATTCCAGCAACAGCACAAATATTATCAAAAACATCTAATCCTATTGCTTCAAGTGATATTCTAGTTGATTCTGATTTCAACTTAGCCATATCATAAAATACAATTTAATCAAAATATGTATGCAAAATTAGATTAGGAATGCTTCCCATTGACAATGTATATTTAGATTAATAGTGAGCACTTTTCATATTTTAAACATGATGAAACATTCTAAATTCATATTATGTATCATCTTTTACGATTTATGGAAGTTGAGTTTAGAATTTTTTTGGTTTTTAGTATTTTCTACCTGTAGTAAATTAATGAACTTCTATATAATTATTTCTTTGTTAGGAATTCAATCCTTAAAAATTATTTTTATCTTTGTTTATGAAAACTAATTATTGCAATGGTTAGATTATCATTAAATTTCAGAATATATTATTAAATAACTTTTTATAATTACTGAATAATTCAATTGCTATATCTCTTGTTTAGATAATCAATCATAACGGATTCTGTCTTTTAATTCTTAAAGATATCAGAAATTTAAGAATATATATCTTCAAATTTATTTGAATTCAGATCTTTTAGTCTTTCTAAACAATATAATAATCTAAAAAATTTAATTATTATTATTATTACTATAAATATTCCACATAATATTTTCTATCTGATAAATAAAAGAACACACCTTTAGGTTATAGAATTTATTTCAATTTTTGTAGATAATTATAAAAATCTGGAGTTACATCTGAAACAGGATATAATGAAATTAATTAATGTCTTTCCAATTCTTGTTATATTACTTAATGATATCTTTTTTATTTCTCAATCCCTTATTCAGCATTAGAAAGTTAATAAATAAATTGTTAATTCAAATTTTATTAATTTTAATTTTGCATTTTCATAGCCTTTGAATGTTCAAAGAAACATTATGAAAAATAATGAAGGTATAATTTTAATCCAAACCATTCTTATTTCAATTAAATTTACATGTTTCTAATCATATATAATTATTATTACATAAATCTTTCTAATAAATCTAATGTTTAATCCATAGCAAATCCTGCTTAATATAATTAATCAGATTATGCTTGGACCTATTAAAATTGAAAAGTTTATCCAATGTTAGCCATAGGTNTTAATTATCAAAAGATCTCCATTCATTCCAGCAACAGCACAAATATTATCAAAAACATCTAATCCTATTGCTTCAAGTGATATTCTAGTTGATTCTGATTTCAACTTAGCCATATCATAAAATACAATTTAATCAAAATATGTATGCAAAATTAGATTAGGAATGCTTCCCATTGACAATGTATATTTAGATTAATAGTGAGCACTTTTCATATTTTAAACATGATGAAACATTCTAAATTCATATTATGTATCATCTTTTACGATTTATGGAAGTTGAGTTTAGAATTTTTTTGGTTTTTAGTATTTTCTACCTGTAGTAAATTAATGAACTTCTATATAATTATTTCTTTGTTAGGAATTCAATCCTTAAAAATTATTTTTATCTTTGTTTATGAAAACTAATTATTGCAATGGTTAGATTATCATTAAATTTCAGAATATATTATTAAATAACTTTTTATAATTACTGAATAATTCAATTGCTATATCTCTTGTTTAGATAATCAATCATAACGGATTCTGTCTTTTAATTCTTAAAGATATCAGAAATTTAAGAATATATATCTTCAAATTTATTTGAATTCAGATCTTTTAGTCTTTCTAAACAATATAATAATCTAAAAAATTTAATTATTATTATTATTACTATAAATATTCCACATAATATTTTCTATCTGATAAATAAAAGAACACACCTTTAGGTTATAGAATTTATTTCAATTTTTGTAGATAATTATAAAAATCTGGAGTTACATCTGAAACAGGATATAATGAAATTAATTAATGTCTTTCCAATTCTTGTTATATTACTTAATGATATCTTTTTTATTTCTCAATCCCTTATTCAGCATTAGAAAGTTAATAAATAAATTGTTAATTCAAATTTTATTAATTTTAATTTTGCATTTTCATAGCCTTTGAATGTTCAAAGAAACATTATGAAAAATAATGAAGGTATAATTTTAATCCAAACCATTCTTATTTCAATTAAATTTACATGTTTCTAATCATATATAATTATTATTACATAAATCTTTCTAATAAATCTAATGTTTAATCCATAGCAAATCCTGCTTAATATAATTAATCAGATTATGCTTGGACCTATTAAAATTGAAAAGTTTATCCAATGTTAGCCATAGGTGCATTTGGTTAAATCATAGGAGCATTTGGTTAAATCATAGGAGCATTTGGTTGAATCATAGGTCCATTTGGTTGAATCATAGGTCCATTTGGTTGAATCATAGGTGCATTCATTGTTTAAAGTCTTTGAGGTTAAAATACCATTTATTGTCTCTGTTATTATACACCAGGTGGAACAAAAATATTAGCATTTACCATAGTGGGGGTTTAAATTCTTCCTTGTTGGAATTGAGGATTCATTGTTGGAGGAATATTTATTGGTTTTCCATTTTATTGAAATTACATAGGTCCATTAAAAGTTGGTATAGGTAGGGCTGAAGATTATTAAGGAACTTATTATTGATTTTTTGGAGCTTCAATTGGTTTTTATTACTCTTAAACTGGTTCATCATCGTCCTCATCATCTTTATTAGGAAAATCTTGAATAAGTCTTAGTCATAAATTAATATTAAATACCCTGATTAATTCATTACAACATTAGATTCTTATTAAATTAGTGGATGTTTAAATAATTATTCCCAACTGATTCTATCATTTTCTTTAAATTTAAGCATGCTCTCAATTAAAATAGCCAAATCATTAGTCATCTTAAAATACTTATTATTTTTACCCCAGGATGATCTTTTTTTACTACAACTGGATTTTATTCTAAATTTCTCAAAGCCTTTTTTATTTATAGTTAACTATTTGCAACATATGGCAATCCCCCAAAAATTAATTCATAAGTAATAATACCTAGCTTTATAATTATATATAATAAATGTTACTGAAAAAATATCTGCTGAATTAGAAAAGAAATTTTCCAGATATAATTAAGGAGCAACATATTTTGGTGTTCCCACTTTTGTCATAGTTGTATTTGCTTCAAAAACTCTTGCCAATCCCAAGTCAGCAATCTATTATATTTGATTGTAATTTGTTTTACTTTATAAAAACCATCTAAGACCAATATATTTGCAGGTTTAAGATCTCTATGTATAATATTATTTGAATAAAGCACTTTATAACCATTTATGAGTTATTTTAATACATTTAGTGCTTCATCTGGTGAAAAATTTTTCTTTTCTATTTTTTATTTTTTATCAATAATTGATTGTAAATCACAATCACATTTTTCTAAAATAAGTACAATCCTTTCTGCATTAAAATCAACATATTCAACTCCTACAATATTTTTATTTCCCTTTGCACCTGTCATTATCATTTTCATTAATTCAATTTCTCTTAATGTTTTTTCATCATCTATTTTTTCTTCTATTATCTATAATGATATACTAAATTACTTTTGCACATAAATTTAATTGAGGTTTAACTAAGTCTTTGCATTAATATACAACTCCAAACTATCCTCTTCCAATCTCCAGGTTTTTATAAATCTCATATGATTCTATTTTTATTATATCCTAACTTGAATTCATTTTATTTTATTTATTGATAATAGAAATACATTTTTGAACAAGTTTAAAAAATATAGAATTCTATTACTAAAATATTTTTATTTATATCATTTCATATCTTATACTATCTTTTTACAATTTTCTTCAATGTCTCCATCAAGATGTAATAAATTCTTTCTTCCTTGTAAAACATTTTCTCTATTTATTAATACTATTGGAGTTGTAGGACCAACTTTAGCTACACTAGCTGCAAAAGGCATCACTTTAAGACTTGTTCCTATAACAATTAATAGATCTGCATCTTTTAAACAATTCCAATTATAAAAGAATTCTCCTGGTAAACCTTCACCAAAAAATACAACATCAGGTTTGATCAATCCTTTCTTAGGACATTTTTCACATCTATGAATATCCCCCTTTTTTATATGATTCATGAAATCCTTAATTGATGCTTCCTCTTAACATTCAATACATCTAGCAGATCTCATATGACCATGTGCTTATATGACTTTTTCTTATGTGACTCCTGCATCTAATTCTAAACCATCTATATTCTATGTAAAACATCTTAGTAATTGTTCTCTTGAATCCAATAATTTTAAAAATTTATGAGCTACTGTTGGTTTAGCATCAAAACTAAGTAAGAATTCTCTTGCTACACAATAAAAAGCTTCAGGATTTTTTTTAAAATATTCAATTTCAAATACACTTTCTGGACTAGGCAAATTATATTTTTATATTTATGAATATAATCCTGTTCCAGGAGTTCTGAAATCTGGAATTCCAGCAGCTACACTCATACCTGCACCAGCCAATACACATACTTTTTAGAATTTCTTATTTTTCAATCCATCTATTAATTTATTATAATTGAATTCATCTTCATTAGTAACCTTTAAATTAGAAATTTATTCAATTAATTGTTTAATTTCTTATGTCTCATCATTTTTGTCTTCTTAATTATTAAATTTGATTGAAGATAACAATTTACTTGCTTTCGAAATTAGATAATTAGTAATATAAGAGGAACAATCATAACACCAAAATGATAAATCTGTTAATGATAGAACAATTTGATGTCCACTTTTTTTATTATGTTCAACCATGTGAGCTAAAAAATAAAAAATATTTAAATTACAATTTACAAATCGAGAACAATGAATTTCTCTACAATGTTAACATACCCAATTCTCTTTACAATCTCCACATTATACACATGGTTATGAAAATAAATTTTATCTATTTTGTTCAACATACTTCATTCTAAATTAATTTACAATAAATTTTACAATTCATTTAGATCTGGCTATTTAAAATGTTCACAATCTTCCTTTGGTTAAACTGCAAACCCAACTGATCCATCAGCTAAAACAATCTAAAATCCATCATCAACTCGTTAATCCATATTTACAATTTAAATAAAATAATAATTTTCTTATTAACAAAAGATATTTAATTGTAATTAGAGAATAGGAATTGACTAATTCTAACATATGAATGGGATTTATTTATATATATATATATTTTGATCATATTTTTTCATTATAAATATACATTCACTCATATTATTTTATACATAATTTAGCGAGCAATATAATGTGCAAATTTACTTTTGTGACCTCTAATCATCTATAAGACTTTATTATAAACATGGGAATTATTTATTAATTTAGATACTTTAGTGATATTGAAGTGAGGATAATATTTTTCAAATTCTGATACTTTGTCTATATTCAAATCATTATTTTATATTTATGGATTAGGATCATCTTGGTTTTCATAATTTTAATTATTTATCTAATTACTAAATTAATTATGAAGACTATTAGTATTTGGTATTAATAGACTTCTATTGCTTACTTATTAAAATAATTTACTCTTAAGTAAATTCTTCATATCTTATTAATTTAAAGATTATTAATGAGAATGTAATCCAATTGTCTATTCAGGGAAATCGAGATCATCTTCTTCTTATTTTGGGAATCCTAATCTGATAAGTAATTTATTATCAACCTAAGGTATTGATTTTTAATGTTCAAGCATTTATTCTAAAGCCTTTTCTCTAATAAGTAGTACATTAAATCTCTTTCTTTTCTTTTATCTAATAAATGGTTATCTACAATGATCAACACTACTATTATATACTGAAATAACTTTATTTTTATTTTTCCTTAAAAAAACTAAAGGACAATGTTTAAATTAATGATGACTAGAACAAGCTTCACATTTTATTTAATTAGTATTATCTCCAAATTGAGTTTTATCAAGTATAAGTCTATATTTTTCATATTATCTTCTATCTTTCTATAAAATTGATAAGAATTCATTCTTAGTTATATAAGCAACTTAGACAAATGTTTATGCTACAATATCAAATTACATATAATCTTAAAAAAAGAATTCTCTTTCACAAAACAATATTCCACTTGTATATCTTTTTATTGTTCTATCCAATAATACTGACTTCACTTTTCCAGCTAATAGTATATAAACTTTATCTGGATGATCATCCTTCTTAATTATAAATTCTTCTGGTGCATAAGTCTTTTCATGTATACAAAAACATAATTTCTTCAATGTATCTTCAGATAAATTTGATCCAAATAGTTTTGATTATTTAAAATAACTATAATACATTGCAATTTAGACTTCTTATTTTAATTTTGGATTTAATTATCCTATCAATTCATCTAAATCTAATTCTTCTTCTTATTTAAATTATAAATAGTATTCTATATATTTTCTCACTCGAAATTATAATTATGTATTTAAACCTCTTTATTTAATATGATTACTCACAAGTCTAAGTTTAGAATTATTAATATTCTATTATTCAGCCAATTTATAAAAGATACTTTAAATCATACCCAACGCATAACCAAAAGTACCTACTACTACAAATGTAAAACCTGTTACCAAAATTTTCTCAGGAATAGTAACAGGTATAATGTCTCCATATCCAACTGTCATTGAAGTTATGGTCACCCAATAAAGAGATGTAAAATACTTCACATACACATTGGCTTCATAAATATCTTATTGATGTAACCATGTATGTGAATAACCTAAATCTACTTCTAAAATGGCAAAGTAATGAAATAAACAAGCACAGAAATGAGATATTAATAACAGAGAATAGATTAAACAAAATAGAGAATAAATAACTGCTGTTTTTTCCTTAAAATTTGATATTTCCTCTATTACTACCATTGTCCTTCTTACTTTTGTCATTCTTATTAACATTAAATAGTTTGCAAATTAAAATCCAAACCATGATAATATAAATGGTAATACAACTGTCAAATCAAGAAAAAATTCTCCCTTTATATAATGCCAAAATATATCTTTCTTTGAAGTGTGTAAGATTCCCTTTGCATAATAACCCTTAAAGAAGTTTAGAATTAACTCCATCAAAAATACACTACTTGGTAAGGTACTAAATAATAAATAAGCATTTCCTATTTGGTCCTTATTCAAATCAAAAGACAATTATAGTGGAACATATAAGATATTGACTATTGTCACAAACATTAAGATGACATCCCATACAAATAGAAATTTATCTGCTGGCAAAAGAACTGTTTAATTACTCTTAAGAAATGCCCATATTCTCCACCAAAAAGCATTGTTTTATTTACCCTCATACTTAATTTCACCATACTAGTATGAATTATATATTATAATCATACTTTAGTAGGTTTTGAATCCAAAAGATGATTATACAGATAATATTGAAATGAACTGCTAAGATCATGGATCAAATTGAATATATCCTTATTCAAAATTTTAAATCTATATTGAGTTGAAAAGTGCTTCATTTTTGTTATGAAAATAGCAACTTTCTAAATAATCTTAAGTGGCTTTGATTTCCATACACTATTTTTATATATTTGAATTTACTCGTTATTATCAAGAAGTTGTATCTCTTTTTCAACATTACTCATAGCTTCCAATTCAAGAAGTTTATCCTCTTATTACCTTGCTTCTTTACGAGCAAATTATAGTAAGAATTTAGGTTTGCTCATTCTTAATACTTATTTATTTGCTTTTAATAATTATCACTATTTATTAGATCAAACATATTAAACGATTTTAGAAATAAACACTATCACTGAAATTTCTTAAATTTTAAAGTATTTTTAGCAAGAAATTTAAATCTTTACTTTTTTAACGGATTTGAAATTTCCGAATTTGATTTGACTTAATAATAGATAAATTTTGAATATAATTTCATTGAATAAACTTAGTCTATGTTAGAATACATACAAAGTATCCAAAAATATTGTTTGGATATAAATAAGATACTTTAAAATGGTGAATTCTAATTGAAATGTTTAATTATTAAAAAATTAATATTATAATTTAGAATGAAATGATTTATATTAAATAAGTTAATCATATTTGGGTATTAGGGTATTTAATAATTTATATTAAACCTTAATTATCATATAATAAATAAACATAATAATTAAAGATAAAATTATTTGATGATATATAAATCAAAAGTTTTTACATTTTTTTTTTGAAAAAGGTATCTAATTTCATAGAACTAACTGTAGTTGATTATTTAGAAGTTATAATAGTTTAGATAATTATAAATTCAGATATATTAATTTCTTATATTTTAGTTTGAATTTCATTAACTTGTTCTTCCAATGATGGTTATGTCTCTTTATTAGTTGTTTTATAAAAATTTTGATTAATTATTTTAGTAACCATATCTAATTAGACAAATGAATTTTAATTATTTTGATTAATTAAATAATGCAATCAAATCAGAGGTATCATTTTTTTCTATTATGTGATTTAATCCATTATTTTTTTTGGATAATGAGTTATCCTTGACTTTGATATTCTTATTAATTCGATTAGTATTTTAATTTAATTAACAAAATATAATATTAGTTTATTTATTTATATATAGTATAAATAATATATCAAGTCAAAACTTTTTAGAAATTGATATCCACTTTTTATGTTTTTTTGGAAAATGATGTTATTGCCAAACTTATGTTGTAATCTTTTTGTGTTTATCTTGTAATCTTTATAAAAAGCGATGTTCAGACTAATCAGTATTATGATACAAATTTTGAATTCCTTATTCTAATTGTTCTTAATTTAATATTGGAAGTGATTCAATTTGGATTTCTTCTAAATCTTTATGTTTGAAATAATTAGATTTCACTTATTATTTCAAGATTTCATCATCTTATTTCTTTTTATCATATCTCTTTTACAATTAAAGTAACTTACCTTCTGTATTTATTATAGCCATCAATTTATTCTCTCTATCAATGTCTTCAACAATAGTGCTTAATCTAGATTAATCTGTTGATATTCTATTTTTAATGTTTAGGTTGGTCTCTTTTATTTCGATCCTTTTTAATTCACCTAATAAGTATCTCCTTCTCTTAGTCATGGAATCTAAAGTATAATTAATTCAAATGCATTTACTTTTATCATCCACTATTTTCTCGACTTGTTTATTAAGATAATGGTTAAGATAATCATTTTTCTTTGGAATTTACAAATCCTCTCTTATATGTTTTTCTAAGATATCTTTACTTTGAGATCCATTTAATGATATATTTGCTGCTTTTGTTAGATTCAATAAAGCAACATCTGAAAGGCTCTTACGATATAATGGATTATCATCTATGTCTAGTAATAAAGAATTTATTATTCCTGTTTATTTGATTTCAGGAAGTGAATCTCTACTTATTAAAATAGTCTTTTTCTTTTTGAGTTCTTCTTATTGAATTAATTCTGATCTCATAGCATCCCCCAATTCTGTAATTAATAATCTATTCATTTTTAATGTATAGATAAATGTCAATAATTAAATTATTAAAAATTGATATAGTTAATTTGGAGTATTATAATAAGTTAACATAATAATATAAAGATTGTTATGTTAACTTATTGAATTTATATTTAATGAAATCAATAAAAGTTGGAATGAATGATTATCAATATATATTATTAATTTAATGTATCAAATTTATTACAATAAAAATGTTTGCAATTTAGAGATTAAAATTTAATGTGTGATATTAATATTTATAAATGCAATCTCGTTCATAAAGAAGAAGAAGAATATTGAAATAATGCATTCAAAAAAAGAGTAAAATAGAAGACAATGCTCATGTAACTTAGGAAATAGATTCTGAATACGAGGATGTTAGTGAAATGGAGGAAGATGAATAAATTCAATATGAAGATGAATTTGATGATGAATATGGTAAATTATCAAAATAATTTAGTTAGAGAGTGAAGAAGGAGAAATCAATATAGATAGTGAAGATGAAGAAATATTAGAAAAGGAAGAGTAATCTTAAGAATAATCATAATAAACTCAATAATAATAATAACCCATATAATAATAATCAAAACTCAAGAGAAAGAAGAAGGGTATGGAATAAGAGAATCAAGAGAATCAAAAGAGAGTATGGTTCTATGATGAAGCTGAAAATTTAGATTTTGATAATAGAGCTTATAATATGTTACATAGAGTCACAACTGAATGGCCTTGTTTATCTTGTGATTTTGTATTAACTGAAGAAGAATAATAATAATATAAAAATAAGGAATACCAAAAAATGAATAAGTATCCATATAGTGTATATTTGGCAGCTGGTACTCAAGCAGCATAACCAACCAAAAATTAAATATACTTATTAAAATTATCAAAAATGCATAAAACTAAATATGATGATGATGAAGCATCTTAATCAGAAGAAGATAGTGAAGATGATAATCTTAGTAATGATGAAGAAGGTTAAGTACATTTGAGTAGTGTTACAGGATTAAAATGTGGAGTAAATAGAATTAAAACTATGAATGGTTAAGCAATTGCTGCTTATTGGAATGAAAATGGAGATGTTAATATTTTAGATCTTAATCCATTATATAAAAAACTTTAATCTAATTAATAATCTTAATTTAATTTATCACAATTACATCATAAAGTATTCAAAAATTAACATGAAGGATTTGCATTAGATTGGAGTCGTTTAAAAGTAGGTGATTTATTAAGTGGTTCAGTTGATGGTAAAATTTATTTATATCAATTAAATAATAATGATTGGATTAGAGAAAATAAAGCTTATGAATATCATAAAGGAAGTGTTGAAGATATATAATTCTCACCAATTGAAAGTTTTGTATTTGCTTCATGTTCTACTGATGGATCTCTATGTATTGTTGATACAAGAGAAGGAAAACATAAATAAGCTTAGATCTTGGTTAAAGCTCATAATTGTGATGTTAATGTAATCTCATGGAATCAAGTATCAGCTACTCTTGTTGCTACAGGAGCTGATGATGGATGCTTTAAAATATGGGATTTAAAATATCCTAAAAATGATGCCATTTCTGAAATTCAATTCCATAATAAAGCCATTACATCTATATAATTTTAACCAAATAGTGATTCTAGTATAGCTGTATCATCAGAAGATCATAAATTGTCTATTTGGNAAAAGAGAGTATGGTTCTATGATGAAGCTGAAAATTTAGATTTTGATAATAGAGCTTATAATATGTTACATAGAGTCACAACTGAATGGCCTTGTTTATCTTGTGATTTTGTATTAACTGAAGAAGAATAATAATAATATAAAAATAAGGAATACCAAAAAATGAATAAGTATCCATATAGTGTTTATTTGGCAGCTGGTACTCAAGCAGCATAACCAACTAAAAATTAAATATACTTATTAAAATTATCAAAAATGCATAAAACTAAATATGATGATGATGAAGCATCTTAATCAGAAGAAGATAGTGAAGATGATAATCTTAGTAATGATGAAGAAGGTTAAGTACATTTGAGTAGTGTTACAGGATTAAAATGTGGAGTAAATAGAATTAAAACTATGAATGGTTAAGCAATTGCTGCTTATTGGAATGAAAATGGAGATGTTAATATTTTAGATCTTAATCCATTATATAAAAAACTTTAATCTAATTAATAATCTTAATTTAATTTATCACAATTACATCATAAAGTATTCAAAAATTAACATGAAGGATTTGCATTAGATTGGAGTCGTTTAAAAGTAGGTGATTTATTAAGTGGTTCAGTTGATGGTAAAATTTATTTATATCAATTAAATAATAATGATTGGATTAGAGAAAATAAAGCTTATGAATATCATAAAGGAAGTGTTGAAGATATATAATTCTCACCAATTGAAAGTTTTGTATTTGCTTCATGTTCTACTGATGGATCTCTATGTATTGTTGATACAAGAGAAGGAAAACATAAATAAGCTTAGATCTTGGTTAAAGCTCATAATTGTGATGTTAATGTAATCTCATGGAATCAAGTATCAGCTACTCTTGTTGCTACAGGAGCTGATGATGGATGCTTTAAAATATGGGATTTAAAATATCCTAAAAATGATGCCATTTCTGAAATTCAATTCCATAATAAAGCCATTACATCTATATAATTTTAACCAAATAGTGATTCTAGTATAGCTGTATCATCAGAAGATCATAAATTGTCTATTTGGGATTTTGCTGTTGAAAATGAAAATAATAATGAAGAAGATGTACCAGATTAATTAATGTTTGTACATTAAGGATAAAAGGATCTTAAAGAATTGAAATATCATCCTGTTTATTATGAAATGATAGTGAGTACTTCTGCAAATGGATTTAATGTATTTAAACCAACATTAGATGAAGAAGAAAAGAAATCAGAGCAATCTGAAGAAGATTAAGATTAAATACCTGTTATAAAAGAAGAGGATCTAAATAAATATTTTTAATAAATGTCAATCCAATGAAATATTTGTTTATTAATAATCATTTGTGTATTATAATATTACTCTCTTTTTTTTTTTTTTTACTTAATTAATATATATATATATATATATATATATTATAATATATTTTTATATCTTTCATAATTACAGATAATATAGAATATCTATTTTTAAGAATATAAGTCATAGAATTTACACAGAATAATTCATAAAATCATAATAATTAATTTAATATTTCCTTTATTTCTTCTTTTATTCTTTTTCCAAATGAAGGGCATTCATTAACATGTTTAGAAATTAAATTGATAAAAAATTTATTATCTATCTTCTTCAACTAGCTCAATTTATTTAGTTATTATAATAATTTCCTAAAATTTAAGTATTATTATCATACTCATTAAATTATTATTAAATTTCAATAGTAGATTATTAACTTGATACATGAGTATCTTATTTTTGTTTCTTGTCTTGTTTCTTTTATATTTAATCTTTAGGCAATGATTTTTATAATTTTGTTTATTTTTTTGGTCTATCTGAATTCTTATTGGTATTTTATTATGGGTTTTAATTGATAATCTATTATTCAGATTAACTAATTTGTTTCTCTCTCTAAGTATCTTCACAAACAGAACTGCTCTTAAAAATATTGTCTAATTTTCTATTTTGAACCTAAGAATGAAAGATATCATATACATTGTTCAATTCATTAATAATACTTTTAAATTAATCACGCTTATTAGCAGAGGAACTTTTAATGTGTAATTTTGAATTTTGAATTTATTTTTCTTTGGTCTGTTAAGGAATTTCCTTTAAATCATGTTTCCCTATAAAGATGTCTGAGTATTTCAGTGGTTCTTATATTTTGTCATTAGTCAAATATCTATTGTATTTGGCCAATAATTCTCGTTCCTCATTATTTAATAATTCCATAGTTATTTATATATTTATGATCAAAATAATAGAGATCTATTAAAATTCTGTATTCGCTCTACTCCTTTGATAAATTCCACTAATTATAAAGATGTTAATGATTGTGTAAATTGATACACAGTCTCATCTAATTCTTATTATATTAATTTCAAATTCTTCATTTCTTTATTTAATTGGAGTAAATAACTAAATATTTGTTAAATAAAACAACTTTTAAGACATTTTGCGATGATTCAATAATTTATCTATGATTTGTAATAACTTGTATATCAAATTATTATCTTCCAATTTTGTATATTTCTTAACAATCTCAACATAATTATTGAATTCTTCATCATCTAAATAAATAAATTAATTTAATTATATTTACAATTGTTTATTTCATTATTTGTACCTATTAACAATAATCCATAATTTCCTTTCAAAAAATTTCTCTATATATTTTTTACTGCATATTTCATATAATCTTTTCTTTTAATTCCACAAGTACCAAATCTCATCTGAACTATATTTTCTTTATAATATTACCATATAAGAATCAATAAGCAATTATGCTTAATCAGATTAATTAGATTGCATAATCTGATCAATAGCATTAGCATTTCCAATAATCATACTATTGAGAATGGGATGTGATATCAACAATTAAGTCAGATATTCAAATGATTGCTTTGTAGTTTATTTTTATTCTTATATTTTATGATCCAAATCAAAAACCTAAAAATAGGAACTTCAAACTTCTATACTTTTTTCTCTAATAACTTCACATAAACCTTCTTTCTCAATCTTGATTTCTTAGCACTTTATCTTAATCGTTTGTTTTTGCATTCCTCATTCAATAAATCCTTACATAACAATCCTGTTAATCCATTTTTATCTTTAGAAAGTTCTTAAGAGGAACTATCCTCTTATAAGTTCTCTTGTAATTCCTAATCAAGCAATTTGTCTCCTTCTACACTCAACAAAGATGTGATTTTCTTTATATAGGCATTTTTAACATTCCCTTTAATTTCTTAAATTTAAGGTGGTTAATCTAGTAAATTGGCATTAGATTGAATATGTTACAAATTAGATTTGGCTTTCTTAATCTTTTTGTTTTTGTGTGTGATTTATTAATTAAGATATGGATTTTTAAGTATTTTCTAAGTTAATAGACTATGTAAATTAAGCATCCTTTATTATTCATTCAATTATTGTAAAAGTCTAGTATTTTATACTAATAGTTGTTCTTAATTGATATTTGATTAAATTAAAGAGTTGCTTGTTTGATTATTGAAGCCAAGAATAAATTAATCTATTTCTTCTATAGGTTATTACATAAAAATTAATGAGTATAATCATGAGTTGTTAATAAATGTATTATATGAATATACATTAAATACAATTTGGAATCAATAAAGAATATAGATAAGAATATGTGATTAATAAATTTTATGGAGTGCTAAATTAATAATAAATATTAAATAAATGTGGAAAACAATAACTTTATTTATACTATTCGTCACAATAAATGGATAATGCAGCTGTAGTAAATTCACAGATTAATCATCCTGTTTTGCTTATGGCTATTGTCTATTTGTAAATGGAGTTTGTTCAGAATAAAAATGCGAAGCCATTCCATATCAAGAGAAGTGTAAATCACCTCTCTGTTTATGGAAAGATGATAAATGTTCTACGTTCAAAGCATATGAAGAAACATGTCAGGCATTATTACCTTAATAATGCACTTAATATTAAGGTTGTTATTATGATTACACAAATTTAAAATGTTCAATTAATAAAGATTGCTCATCCCTTAAAATTGATTAATGCAATGGGAAGTTATAAAATGGTAATTCTTGTGTTGCAGATCCATTCAATAATAGATGTTAAGAAATGACTGATTGTAAATCCTTAACTACAGAATTTATGTGTTTAAGCCAATTCCCTTAATGTAAATATGTGGATTCAACATGTTAACCATAAGTATGTACAGATATTAAGGTATTTTCATTTTAATATTAAAAATAGGACAATATTTCTTGTACTTTTATTGATGAATGCTAATGGAATCATGATAAATGTCAATATAAAAACTGTTAAAGCATTGCTTTTGGATATTTATGTAATGGAAATACTTGTGGATTTGATAAGAATAAATGCTTTGCCTGTTTTGAACAATATAGTTATCAATTGTTTGTAGGTTTGATATCATTATTATTTATATTATGAGTTAAAACAATTGATATTATATATTAATTCTATTCTCTTTGTAAAAAAGACATTCATGATAAATTAATATTGTGAATTTTTTATATAATCATTCTTTTGATTTTAATACTTTAACTTAAATCTCATTAATAATCTTTATTTTTTTAGGGTTCTCTCTTTCTTTACTTTTTCTAATAAAATGTTCAGTGAAACATAATTTACCTCATATCTAGGATTTCTATTTAATTGAATGATTCCAATTAAATCTAGATATTGATAACAACCTATTATATGATTTATGTAGTTGACAAGTAAAAATGAAGATCATCATTTCTTACTTAAGTTTATATCCTATAATTTCATTTACCCCTTCTATCTTAAATTTATTACTCTTTATATATGCTTCTTTAATTTGATCATCTATAAGAAGGATTTTCTTCAATACTCAATCCAACTAGTCTTAATTATCTTAGTATATATTATTTTTAAGTAAATGAATTATAAATTACTTAGAACACATAAGATATTTAATAGATTTATTGTGAATGATTATTATTATCATATGATAATAGAACTCTGATGAAGAATTCAAATACTTTAAGTAATTTTACTATGATATTTTGAATCATTTTTTTTGTCAAATTTTTAATAAATAGCTTTGCGTTTGGTAAATATTAATTCAAATAAAATTAGGAAGATGTTCTATAAGACTTATTTAGTTATTTTTTGTAATTCTAGTTTATTATAGGATAAAATTATCATTTACTTTTTCAAAATTTATTCTAAATTGCTACTTGTAAAAAATGAATGTATTTTATTTAGTATTTCTGAAAATATTAGATTTAAGATATATTTAATTCTTGTTATAATATGATTATTGATCATTTTATAACAGTAATGAAGATGTTAGATTGGAAGAAGGCAATTAGATAATACTTTGATATTGTTTGATTTTTTTGTGATTACAAACTTGAAATAATAGAAGACAATTAAGAATAAGAATTGAATTACATTGAAACAAAAGTAGAAACTAAATACAATAAACAAATTCAGTGTTATCTGTAACGAGCATATGTTAGGATTGAGTAGAGTAATGATATAACAAGCATCACTACAGTGATAATTAAGTAAGATTCAGGAACGAAATCGAACTGTGCCATCAATCTAACTGCTGCCCTTATGTTAAAAATAAGCTTACTGAAGGTTTAAGGTTTTTCACTCTTTATAATGTATTGTGTATTAATTATCAATTGTTCTTGAATGGTGAATTCTTCTATTGGTTCATCATTCAAATATAATTGAACATCTAACAACAAATCATCAGATTTCGAAAACATATATATACTGATTGGTGGATCCCATGTATCCTTCATTTAAAACTCACCTACGCCCTCATCAACATCAACTTCAATATACTCTGCTTGCAATATGATAGAAGGGATCATGAGACCAATAAAGAACACAGCTATAAGCCTTTTTACTTATTCGAAATACACAGCAAGAAATGACATATTGTCCTCCTTTTAAACAACGAGAAATATTTTTCCAAACTATCTGCAAAAGGATCATGTCTTAACTTCTCTTTCTCATGTAAAAAGTATTTCTAATTAATTGGCTAAAATTCCATTCCTGATAATTGCACCTGATGTTGTTTCATTAATTATAAATATCAATTTCAAGTTCCATTTATGTAACCACTTAAACCAACCAAACTCAATCCAGCATCCAATATAGACTACAAAGAATTATAGAAAACCCTTATTCATTTCCAAAGAGCACAACTTGAATTAGAAAAGACTCGCTAAGGTTCTCCCTTAAAATCTGTTTCTCCAATGAGAGAAATGATTAATTTCTAAGCATTACAAGATGCAGGACTTATTGAATTAAATGAAAAAAGCAAACAAATTGATGGAGTTAAAATCACACTAGAAGAAATTGAAAAAGCATTCAAAATCTTAGATGAAAAGAACAAAGGCACTAAGATTTCATTACTTGAATTAAAAAAGAAAATTCCTGCTATCAATCCTAATTTCCCAAAGAGTGAATACAAAGCATTGACTTAAGGTAAACCAGAATTGAAGAGTAAAGATCTTTATGAATTACTTAAATAGAATGAATTATAAGATTTTGATCCTCTTGAATAGGCTTTTTCACTTCTTGATCCAAAAGGAGAGGGTAATTTAGATATTAATAGATTGGGAGAAGTGTTCAGTGTTTTAGGTTATGGGAAAATAGATAAAAGAGATTAAGAAATACTCTTAGAATGTTTAGATGTTGATAAAGATGGCAAGATTGGACTGTAAGATCTGAGAGAGATATTTGAATCAGAAAGACATAAACAATGATAATTATTAATATATTTAATAACTATGGATGAAATATTATCATAGATATCAAATTAAGTTTATGAATTTGATACTTTGGGATTAGTCTAACAATACATATTTGAATTGGCAGAGCATTTTAAAGAGAATCATAATGCTTAAGTAGATATTTAGTAATTTGTTTTGTTTTTCATTAATAAAACTGATGAATAAGGAATTGAAGGATTAATATTGATATCCAAACTGATTGAATTATATCAAGAGATATTGTCTTAATAAAATGAAAAAATACTTAAATTAAAACATATAACTGATTATTTGATAAGTAGTCAAGAAATATGTAGTGAATATTTTAATGCTAAATTCTTACCTTCATAAAATAATAAAATTTAACTAACTCGACGTAATTTAACTGATATAGAAATTTCACCTCCTGAAATCTTGGGATTGAATCCTAGTATGTTAAGAAGATTGTAAACACAACTCAAAATTGAAAATATTCATATGAATAATTAAATCATATATGGAATCTAAGGAGAAAATGATTTATTTTTGATTCTCTAATTTTGTGAAAGTGTTTGTATGTTACATGAATTTTAATTTAAAAAGATGTTATAACCAAGAAATATGATAGATGGAAATTTTGTAGTTTATGGATATTATTCAATTAGATAATAAAGATTAGGAGTAGTATTACGTAATAACACTTTAATTTTTTGGGATAAAAGAGATAATTATACATATGATTATTAAATAGAAACTTAATTAGAATTATAACATATTGCTTATATAGAAATGTAAGATTTATGGATAACATCAGCTAATAAAAGTTTATAAATTTGGAATTTGGAATAAGGATAGTATTAAAATTTATAAAATTAAGTATTTTCTGGAGGTATCATATAATTATTAGAAGTTATACATTTATAGATGTTATTAGTAGCATCAAATCCTAATATAATTAGTTGTTGGGATATGTTTGAATAGAAATTTTTATTTAAATTTCAAGTATCACATTAAATACTCTATTAAGTTGTATGTAGTAGACAATTCTAATTGATTTTTACTATTGGATTTAATAATTATATATCTTGTTATGAATTACATGCTTAATATAATGATTATAATCTAAAATGTTAATTAGTAGGTCATTCTTCAACTGTTTAATGTATTGAACATATTGAATAGACTGCTTTATTAATTTCTATAGATACTAAAAATGTGATTATATTATGGGACATTAGATCATAATAATAGACTCAAACAGTAAATTTATAAACAAGAATTCTAACTAAACAATTAATGTTTTATTGTAATAAATTATGTTTAGTAGCAAATATGTTATAAACTTTAAGTTTTGAAAAATAATTACATCTTAATAAATAAATAAAATTATTATAAGTAATCTATGATCAATGGAATAAAAGAAATATTATAATAACTAAGGCAGATATACGTATATAGGATATAATAACTGGTAAGATTTAATACATTTTGAGTGATTTTTAAAATGAGATATCTGCATCATGTTTAATTGAACATGGATATTCAATTATAATTGGCACAGTTGAAGGTGATTTATATAAGGTTTCATTAAAACATGGTTAAATTCTATAATAATGGGAATCATTTTATTAAGAAGAAATCATATCAATATAATATGATGAAGCTTATAAAATTTTACATATTGTTTCTATTTAAGGAATTTTGAAATGTTTACCTCTAACTCAATTAAATGTTTGTAAAGATAATATTTATAAGGATAAATGGGCAATACGTTAACTTTCAGTTAATATATGTATTAGTATTTGTTAACTTTCAATTGCACAAGGTTTATTAGCTATAAGTTATGAAGATTTCATTTAAATTTGGAATTTGGAATACTATTGTGTATCAATATAAATATAATTAGAAGATAATGCTATTGTTACATCAATGATATTTTGTGATTCTCTTCCACTCTTAATTATAGGTACTAATTAAGCTGATATCTTTATATTTTAATTAGTTTAGAAGAATGATAAATTGTAATGCACTTTAGAAGGTCATTTAAATATTGTGAAAGCTGTTTTGATATAAAAATTAAAGAGTGTATATCCAGATCGTATAAGTATTATGAGCAATTTGTTTTCAAAAACTTCATTGGAATTAATAGAATTATATGATGAAGGGGATGAACAAATTGAAGTTAAACGTCTTTTTAATAATAAATATAAATTAATGACTCATGGATCTTTTGCATCACGTTTGTTGGTACAATTTCATAAAGAAGAACTTAAATTATATATTGCAACAAATAGAGGTTCAGCCTTAGTATTTAATATTACTTAATTACTTGAGAAGAAAGTAATTTATTCTTTATTATTATTTATAGAATGTAACCAAGAAACTTGAATAGATTAGTCAAAGACCTAATTATAATCCATATAGAGTTGTTTATAATAAGTTATAAGGGAATTTCATTGATAATTATTAAATAGTTCAAAATCGTTTGATTAAAGATTAAGTTAAAAAGAGAGAATCTAAATTTGAGTAGAGTAGTAAAATTAAATAAAAATTCAGGAATTCATTAATTAGATTTAGTATATTAAAAGGATTAAAAGATAATCCAGAATTAGATATTACTCATACTTTAAAGGATTCAATTTTTTCATTTGATGAATAACTTGAAACTGTAGATTAAATTCATAATGATATGATCATTTAATTAAATTTCCTTTATGTTGATCCATATGAAATATTATTTCATAAAAAAACCTAACTTTTAATATCAGCATGCATAGATGATACCATAAAAGTATTTTCAACAGATTTTATTTAAATATGTTAATTTTCAATTCATAATCCAACTCCTTATTAATGGTAATCATTATTAAATGAGAAAAATTAATTAAAAGCAACAATTTTATTTTCTTTAGAATTACTTTAATAGATTTTACCATAATTAAATTCTGAAAAAAGAAAGGCTTATGATATAGAAAATATGTTAAGATAAAATTCAATAAAACATATAAATAAGAATTATAAATTAACTAATATTCTAACAAAGAAAGAACCTATTGGAAATCAATAGAAATTAAAAGATTCTTTTTTAAATAAACGAAAGATTAGTTTATGTAATAATGTAAAGATGCCTTAATTATCGCCTAAATTACCACCTTCTCTACGTTATTATGATGAAAAAATCAAATAAAGTAAATATTAATAAGAGATACATGAATAAGAATTGATAAATCAATAAAATTAATAAAAAAGATAATAAGGAATTTAAATTGAATTTTCAAGATAATAAAAAAAAGAGATCATAGATTATTTAACTCCTGAATCTAATAATAATCAAAAATTCTTTGAAGATCTTTCTATTTAAGCATTAAGTTCAAGATTAAAAACAGATACAAGAACACATTAAAGTAAAATAACTAAAACAACAAATGATACAAAAAGGACTTTTACAAGATAAAGTTTAGATTTTTTTGATTATGCTGAAAAGAAAGAGATGTTAGCAACAAGAAGTAAGATATCTTAATCTCGATTTTAAACAAGAAGATAACACCATGATTTTCACAAGATTTTGAATGAATTACATGGTAAATTGAAAATTTCAAAAAAATAATCATGACTATTTTTTTTTCTTTATTTTTTTATTTATTTCCCCTAAAGTTTTTTACTTTTGTTATTTAGGTTATCTTTTATTTTCACATTCTGTACATTAACAATGAGAAGTACATTTCTTTCCTCTAATAAAACATTCACAATATCCTTTTACACACTTAGTCTTTTTACACTTACAACCCCATACTTATTTAGTATCAAATGAATCTAAATCATGATGAGATGCTCTTTATTCTTTTAATTTAATTTATTCAACTGCTTTTAATACTTCTTCTTCATGTTTACCATCATTAAAACAATCATTACATTAACATTCATTAGTACAAGATCTTCGATTATGAAAGCATGAACAATATAATTATAAACAATGAGTTTTAGCACAATGACAAGGTTTGAAATCATCTTCTTCAGTTGGAGAATCATCAACATTATAATTTGTTTTATTCACTTTTCTTCTAGTTTAGATGTGAGGTACTTCTTCTTCTTTTTCTACTTACTTTATTTCTATAAAAGTTTAATAAGTCTTTTCTTTTTGCTTTTTCAAAGGAGATGGACTAGTCAATTCAATAGACATCTATTTTCTTAATTAATGCTAAGGATCATCTATTGACATTTATGAACTATTCAAATCATTATACTTAATACAAGTATTATAACAATTAAGGTGCTTGCAGTATCTCTAATTACTCAACAGAAGGTAAAGAACTTTAGGTATGTGGCTACAATAATTATAGTTTTTCATCTTCACTCTTTTAGATTGAATCTAATTGATTCTCTTCTCTTATTTTCAAATCTGAAGGAAATTAAAATACAGCATTATTGTTAATGCCGTCCTAATTACTCATCCTTAATTTTAATTAAACTAATATCTCTTAAATTACTCATTATTATACAAAAAATGTAATATCAAATTTCCTTATTATATACATTTACATTCAACTTAAAATTAAAGATAATTTAACTAGACATCTTATAATTAATATATATACGTTAATTTAATATATGGATTTAGAACAGACTCTCTTAATTCTTTTTTAAAGAACACTAGAATCTAATAAGGATGATCATTTATAAACTATATTATCAAGTCAAGCAAAGATAATCTAATAAAAAAAAGAAAATGTTAATCCTCTTCAATAATCAACATCTGCAATTTAGAAAAAGTTATAAGCCATAGAAAAGAATTTTATAAACCAAGTTGCTTTCAAAAAGAGAAGAAAATCTAAATATGATCATCGTTCTAATACAAGTTCACAAATTGAAAATGAAGAAATTTAAACAATCATTTATGATGAAGATAATTAAGAAATATTCAATAATGAAACAAATCTCTAAAAGCTAAAAAGGGATAATTCAAAATTGCAAAAACAAATTACATAATTATAATATGAATAAAGAGAGAAATACCTTAAAAATTGTAATGAAATTGAATAAATTAACAGAGAAAAAAACTTAGTATTAGAAAATACAAAGAAACTTAATGATAAATAAAGAAAATTAAATTAACAATCTTAGTTGCTCTAACAAAAATAACAAAATCTACTTAAATAAGAATAAAACTATTATAAGTAATAATAAAATACAGATGAATGTTAAGATGAGTAATATAGATATGTATAAATATTTCTAATTCAATAGGATAATCAATTAAATAATAGAAGAGATGAAATGGAAAAACTACAAATGAAATTGAATACTTTTGTATCTCAATTATTGAGTCTACAAAGAAATAAAAATAAAGTACAGTGTTAGTTAAATGTCTAAATTGATGCAGTAGAATAATTAGCTTAATTTATTCTAAAAGAACGTTCCAATATATAATAGGATTAACAATATTTAAGGTAATTCAAGGAAAAGGTTTTAGAAGAAAAGAAGCAGCTTCTTTAATTATAAGAATAACCATGAATTATAATATTTGACTATAAACAAATTAATAAATCATATTGTAGCAATTGTTAATCCAATGCTTATTGTTACACATGATACAATCTTCAATCCTAAATTATGTAATGATGCCTATTTCCCAATATTCAAGTATTTCTTAAGTAAATATGCTAAGAATAAATTTATAATTAAATTCAATGAAGATTCACTAGCACTAACAACACCAGCCTAAAATGTTACTTTAATTATTTACTTAATAATATGTTTAATAAGCATAAACAGAACTGAAATAACCAAATAATGTCATAATCTCACCTATAATAGTACCTATAATTAAATTTTTGGGTTTGTTAAATAATTATATCATTTCTAATTACATTTATCTATTGAAATTCAATTTAGCAGTTTATATGATAACAAACATAATACGTGTTAGAATGAAAAATTCCATATTTCCATATATATTATATTCTTATCCTTCATTTTCTCCTTTACCAACATAACTTATTATATTTGTGTATATAGCATGTGACATATCTGAAATGATAGCAAATTTAACAAATGGTTAAGACCAAAATTAATATTAAAATATCTTAATCAAATGTCCATCAGTTGCTGGAGCTAAACCTCCAAGAAGTATCAGAAAATAAGCTAATAAATGCAAATAACTAGATAAATAAGGCCTATTAGACAAATAATTTTGTAGAATAGAAAATAGAAATGCAAAAATTGAAGAAAACTAATTAAAACTATATAAATACTTATAAAAATGGTAATATGACTGTACTAGATGAATTTTCAAATGCTCTGATGATAAAATGATAATGATAATAGGAGAATATTCCACTTATAATCAAAAGTGGTAATGATTAAATGGATCCAAAAATTGAATAATTACCTATTAATTCAGAATACTAAGGACCAATCAATTCTATATAAATAAAGTATACAAATATCTAAATATCAGTATTATTTTATTACAATAATATAAGTAGTTAAAGCACATAATAACATTGTTTAGGAATGAGTAAGATGAATATTTTATGGTAATTACTATTTCTTTTATGGCAAATCTGATTCTTAACTATCCAAAATGACATCGAAAGCAGTGTCTGCAGTTGCCCAACAAAATGCAGATGCAATAACTGCTGAAATCCAAGACATTGATTTACCCATATAAATTATTATATAATCATTTTTATTATTTTGATTTTTTTATTGCATCCAAAACTGCTTCTTTATCTCCAGCATCAACATTTTATAATAATTGAAATAATCGCTTTTTCCTTTCTTATATTTCTACTTCATTATGTTATATTCCTAATTCTTCTTCTAAATCAGGTATATCATTTGGATCCACTCCATCAGATTCATCATCTTCTGCTTATTATTATTATTCTATATCATCTTCATCTTCATCATCTTCTTCTTCTTCTTTCAATTCTTTTTCTTTTTCCTCCAATTTAAACTTGAATTCAGTCAAAAATTTATTGCATTTACCAATTAATGGATTGTTAGGATCAATCTTCAATACTTTAATTATGTTTATTATCTTACTTTTTTGTATGATTAAATGTGCTTCTTAATATTTACTATTCTTCATACAAGTTAAAAATGCCATTTTTAATTCAAGTATTTCATGATTTGTTTAATCCATTATATATTTTAAAGAAATTGAGAGATGTTATAATAAAATATGTAATCCAGGGATACTTAATATTGTTATTATAGTAATTTCAACTTATTTGAAAACACCTCTTAATTAATAAAAAAGGAGAAGTTTATAAAGGCACTCCTATAAACATTGGGAGAAGAATGGAGAATTTATGCAGGATATTCAATATCAATTGAATTAGATGGCTCTATCAATTATTTAGCTTGGTAATTTTGTTTTGAAAATCTATTATTTACATGGTTAGAAAATGAAGATTGTTAACATGAAGAATTTTATGAGAAAGCTGTTCTTAGAATATAACCATACAAAATAGGTATCATATATAAGTATTTAAATTAGAAAATGTCTACTTTAGACCAGTTTTTGATGGATTCTTTTACTCAGCCTAATAATTATGGTCTAAAATGAAATTAAGCAGACCTCCTTCTCAAGAATCCTTCAAATAAGTTGAATAAATCAAATAAGAAGAACTTAGACCTATTGCCAATATCTTAAAACCTCTAGTACTTGTTAGTGAAAAGATCATAAATTATTTTAAGAAGGAAGAGCAAATATAAAGTCAAGAATAGATTCAATATAATCAACCCTCTTGGAAATAAATCTCGAAACTTACTGAAGAATCTCTTCCAATTGATTAAATAGAGAATGCGTATCTTTATGTTATGTAATTTATGGAGAACTCTTATAAGAATTGTTAAGTTGCAAAATCCTTCATTGTTAATATCATAGAATTGAATCAAGATGTATTAGGTAGATTCTATATATAAAATTAATCTGTAAAAGTTAGAATTATGTAACCCTCAAATCTAATGTATAATAATCTATTATCTATTTGGATTTTAGCAAATGCAGGAGTACAACCACAATATTTTGATTTAATAGGTAGAGCTAAATCCTTATTGGGTATTAATTGGAAAGATAATTATTAATATCCAGTAGAGGTCTTCTTTTAATTGATAACAAAATTATATGGAAATATTTTATTAAATCCTTAAATAAAAAATGATGATTAATTAAATCAATTACTAAAGAGTTTAAAAGTATAATTAGCAATGTTGTGGGATCAAGAGATTGTACAATAAACAGTTCAAAATTCACAATGAGATATATTGTATATATGAAATATGTATTAACTATTTTTATTTAAGATGTACTATTATAATCAATTTTCTTATTATTAATATGAAGAATTAATTAAACATCATGAAATCAAAAATAGGATTACTGAATAATTAAATTAATTATTAATAAATAAGATGATAAGAGATACTCCATCATATTCATTAGATAGTGGTGTTTAAATCAAATTTTTGTAGAAACAAATTTGTAAACCCATGTTTTATATCAAATCACTCGTTAAAAAAAGAAAAACAAGACCTAAAAGTTAAGAGGCTATTGATTCTGATTAATAAAATATTACTCTTGTTCATGGTCCTTCTAGAAGAAAAAGCTGTTATTGTAATGAATGTGGAAATATGGGAAAGAAATAATTGTAATTCATGGATCTAAAATTATCTAAATAACCTTAAATAATTAATAAAAGAGCATAATGTAATATTGATAGAAGATGTACACTTAATATTTAGAGTATAAGTACAAATAAATTAAGTATTTAAAGATCGCAGCGTATTTTATCGTAGGAACACTTAAAAAAATTCAGAAAAGGTTGAAAATTTAAAATCTCCTACTTATGATTTAGGTGATTCAAAGAGTCCAGGATGGTTCATTAGATAAATGGTAATGAGAAAATCAATAATAAATGTTCAAAAATTAATGGAGAATTCACATTCAAAAAATTCTTATTAATAATAATCTAATAAAAAGAATATGGGTGAGGATTCATTTAATCCAAAAAGTCAATAAACCATACATGTACCAACTAGTATACGTACTTTATATCAAAAGTGTTAAATAGATAGTCCTGGTGTTAGAATAAAGACAGTAGTAGGATTTGATTGTGAAAACAATCTAACATCACCTAAAAATATACCTAAATTATCTCCTTATCTTAGTTTCAGATAAATTAATTTCAATTTATTAGTACCTTTAAAATTGAAAAGTAATTCTTCAACAAGGAAAACAAATAAAAAAATATTTTTCAATTCTAAAGTCTAAAATTGATTATAATTTTCTAACTTTTATGATTTTATTGTATTTATTTGTTTTTGATTTTTTTAAGCAATTTATTGTATATTTATCCTAATTACAAATTAAAAATAAAAATGAGAGAATTTAATCCATATAAAAAAAGATCAGGAAGTATATAGAGTAATGAACCAGATCTCTTATTTCATGTTAATCTTAAAAGTAGAAGAAAAAGCTGTACTTGTAATTAATGTGGAAAAGATAGTGAATATTAAATAAGGTTTCATGATGTTTAGATTTTATAATGGACATAAATATAAAATAATAATGAATTAGATAATTCAACATAATAAGAAATTAAAAGACTTGAACAATTATAAAATAGATTAAAAACTTGTCAAGAAGAATTTGAAAAATTTGATTTAATGTCTAAAAAAAGAAGAAAAAGTTGTTATTGTTCTGAATGTGGTAATTTGACATAATATGAAGTAAGAAATTAAAATATACCATTATTCAAACCAATTACCATTAAAAATTCTAAAAATTCAAGAAAAGTCCATTAATTAATATCGAACATTAACATGTGTAATAAATATTTTAAATTTTAGAAACAAAGAGTCAATTTTTTAGGAATTTTAAATAATAAAATCATGCATTAATGTATTAGTTTACTCATTAAACATCTAAAACAACAACAAGATTACTCAAATAATCTAAACTTAAATTACCTAATTTTGATACTAGACTATCTTTGACTCCTAAATTATAAAATTCCCCTTTAAGTGAATAATCATCACCATAATAACTTAAAATGAATTCCTTTGATAATACACTAAATGCTGTATATTTAAATCCATATTTGGGATCTCCTAAAAAGTTTCTTTCCCCTCCTCGAAATTTTGCTCCAAAATTGCCTCCAATTACTTATAAAATAAAAGATGAATAATTATCTTAAAGAAGATCTTTAATGCGTAAACGTGATTGAATTATATATTTCACTTTTTTTACCTTTATTAATCTTAATTAAATAAAATGAAAAATTCATCTACTTCCTCCTCTTAAAACATTTAAGCTTTAGCTCTTATTGATACTTATAATTTAGTCTTAAATGAGAGGAAGAGAACTCGTCGAAATACAAACTTTTAAATTAATAAAACAAAAGAAATAGAACAGAGTGTTAAAATTAGAAGAAAAAGTTGCCATTGTTAATTATGTGGTGATTTGGGTGCCTTTTAGTTTGATACTATGAATGTTCCTTATTATAAAAAATAATCATCAGTGGAAAAAGTAGAGCCTTAAATTTTAGAAACTCCCAGCTAAACAACATGTATATTAATCTATATAATAATAGAACGAAGAAGTATATTTTATCGATTACAATCATTAAAATCATTAGAAAATACTAAAGCAAGACTTTCTTTGGAGATTCATGGATTTAGTAAAAATTACTAAAGGCAAAATACAGTTCAGTAATTTATAGCTGAAAGCAATGAAAGATCTAGAAAAGGAAGTATGAACAGAAGTGGCTTTGTGAATACCTCAACTTCAGAAAATCATTCGGTAAAATCTCTCAATATTAAAACTTTCAATGATTAAAGTCCTACATCAACTAAATCACCTCTAATTGAACCTGTTACTAGTAGCAGAACCCTAAAAAACTCTAAAAAACTCTTAATGATGAATACATATTTCTCTTAGTCAGCACGTTCACTAAAAACCACTCAATTTTCGTAAATTAACAAATCAAAGGCTTTGATATTGCCTAAAATCATATAGAATGTGAAACTAAATTGATTCATATATTAAATATCTTTTACATCTAAGCAAAATATATTATTTTAGATTTAAGCAATCTATAAATATTTCTTCTCTTAATTGACAAAGATTTTTTTCTTTATTTAGGAATTAGAATTGAAGAGAAATTCAATTGATAAATTTTTCAAGATATTTATTTCATTAGAGTCTTCTTGTTAACATATGATAAAATCTAAAATAATATAAATTGTCTTTGATTTTAATTATATAAAAAAAAAATGAAAAATAGAAGCATTTACAAACATAATTGTAACTGTTAGAAATGGTCATTAAAGAAGTTTTAGTACAGAATTATATAAATAATTAAAGAAATCTATTTAATATATATATAATAGTAGAAGTTCAATTTATTATATATATATATAATTTAAAAGTTCAATTTATTATATAATTAATTACCCAAGTTCTATCAAAGTAATGTATAATTATAATGTGATATTAATGAGTCATTAGTTATTTTACTTATATTACAAATAATTTTGGAATCTTTATTTTTCCAATAACTTTAACGCATTAATTAATTTTTCATTAGTATAAAAATCAAAAATTAATTAATTAATATATATACAAACCAGGAATTATAAAATGAATCAAAAGTGATTTAGTTTATAAATATAGAAAAACTTTAAGTTGTAAAAGAACTTACAGTATTATAAATAAAATGTTGATAAAAATGAGATATTGAAATGAATTAATATTTATGATTTGATAAGACCTGATGTATTAACTTGAGATTCCATTCAAAGTCAATCAAGTAATAGTTTTTATAAATCAGGATATAATTTTGAAAACAATTAATAATAAATTGATAATAAAATGGATATATAAAATATNATCAACTAAATCACCTCTAATTGAACCTGTTACTAGTAGCAGAACCCTAAAAAACTCTAAAAAACTCTTAATGATGAATACATATTTCTCTTAGTCAGCACGTTCACTAAAAACCACTCAATTTTCGTAAATTAACAAATCAAAGGCTTTGATATTGCCTAAAATCATATAGAATGTGAAACTAAATTGATTCATATATTAAATATCTTTTACATCTAAGCAAAATATATTATTTTAGATTTAAGCAATCTATAAATATTTCTTCTCTTAATTGACAAAGATTTTTTTCTTTATTTAGGAATTAGAATTGAAGAGAAATTCAATTGATAAATTTTTCAAGATATTTATTTCATTAGAGTCTTCTTGTTAACATATGATAAAATCTAAAATAATATAAATTGTCTTTGATTTTAATTATATAAAAAAAAAATGAAAAATAGAAGCATTTACAAACATAATTGTAACTGTTAGAAATGGTCATTAAAGAAGTTTTAGTACAGAATTATATAAATAATTAAAGAAATCTATTTAATATATATATAATAGTAGAAGTTCAATTTATTATATATATATATAATTTAAAAGTTCAATTTATTATATAATTAATTACCCAAGTTCTATCAAAGTAATGTATAATTATAATGTGATATTAATGAGTCATTAGTTATTTTACTTATATTACAAATAATTTTGGAATCTTTATTTTTCCAATAACTTTAACGCATTAATTAATTTTTCATTAGTATAAAAATCAAAAATTAATTAATTAATATATATACAAACCAGGAATTATAAAATGAATCAAAAGTGATTTAGTTTATAAATATAGAAAAACTTTAAGTTGTAAAAGAACTTACAGTATTATAAATAAAATGTTGATAAAAATGAGATATTGAAATGAATTAATATTTATGATTTGATAAGACCTGATGTATTAACTTGAGATTCCATTCAAAGTCAATCAAGTAATAGTTTTTATAAATCAGGATATAATTTTGAAAACAATTAATAATAAATTGATAATAAAATGGATATATAAAATATAGAAGAGTATAAAATCTTATATAGTTTAACATATATATTTATATAAATTAAATTTCTTATTAATTCAATAATATCTTAGTTAAAGTGTATCTTATATTCAATTATGAAACAATTATGATATTAATGGTTCAATTATTTTCCTACTATAAATATTATCTATATCTTTGAGTAATAATGAATTAGAAATTGGACTATGTTACAATTCAAATTTTAATTAAGTCAATTACTAAAGTATTTTTTATTGATATTCTCCATATATAATCATACTTCTCTATATTTAGTCATTTTGTTGATGGACAAAAAAGATAATCAAAGATTTGCATTCTTCTTTGATCATAAATTAATTGAATTCATTGATTAATTAATCTTCTGGATATTTTTACATTAAATCTTATAATTTGATAAATATCACACTATATCCAATAGTATAAAATTTTTTGTAATCTTTAAGCAATTACTATTTAAGTGATAATTACAAATTCAATTTAACATCATATTTCAAATCTGTAAGATGTTAATATTCTTGTTTAGCATCAAATTAAGGATAGAAAGAATGACATAAATCAAAAATTTCTTTGTCTTTTAATACCCATCTAATTTAATATTGGTTTTATTGGAAATTAAATGTATCTATCAATATGGTTTTCATTATAAATTATGCTATTTCTCCAATTTCTTATTTACATTTATAATTCTTTTCTAATTACATATATTCTGCTACCAAAGTTACTGCAGAACCTACTTTTTCTATTTTTTTAAATTGACTAAATTATTATCCTTTATCTTCATGATGATCAATACATCCAATTTAATTATTTGTATATTTGATATCATTGTGATCATAAAGAATCAAATCATATTAATATAAATCCACTTCATTAATAAATATCAAATCATTAACATCAAATAATTCAGCTGTCTCGAAATGAGATTTAAATGATTCTCTATTATAATTAATGATTGGTGCTGTTGGGATTTATAATTAAGTTAGATGATAGGCTAAAAGAATAGATCCAACACACGAATCCATGTCAGCTGTAGGATTACCTAAAACCAATTACTTTACATTCTAAAGTAATTTGATATTTCTTAAAAATTGATTAATCATTATAATATATATATAATAATAATATACATATACAAATTTAGAAAATGTCAAATATTGAAGAATTCATAGATTTAATTAGTTATGCTCCTATAGATGTTAGAAGGGCTTTTAGTAAAGTGAGAGAATTGGCAAATTTAGAAAAAAAATATGAAGAGAGTTTGGAGTCCACATAAAAACTAGTATTTCAATTGAAATCAGTGGAGTCAACAGCAGAAAAAGAAAAATTTATCTTATAATTGAAAGAGTAAATCCAAAGAAATCATTTATAATTGTTGGCTTTACATAGAGAAAGAATTGCAGCTTTAGAAATTATTTAATAAAATTATTAAAAATATATAGCAACACTTGATATTGAGGGAGAAAAGTTTTTAGAAGAACTGAAATAATTGCCAAGAGAATAAGAAGATATATCTCGTAAATCTTAAAGGGATGTAAAAGTAGAACCTCCAGTAATGGTGTAAAAGAGTGATAAAATAAAAAAGACTAAAAGACCATTATAAGATGAATAAGTAGAAGATGCTTAATAACATACATATTGTATTTGTTAATAACCTAGTTATGGGACTATGGTTGCATGTGATTCAAAAAATTGTCAAATAGAATGGTTTCATTTGGTATGTGTTGGATTATCTGATGTTCCAGATGAAAAGACTAAATGGTTCTGTCCTAATTGTAGATCTACGAGATGAAATATTGTTTTGTAATTAAACAATAAAATAAAACAAAGAAATCAAAATTTAAATTCTCTTTTACCAATAGAAAAAGATCTTTAATTTCTACAATTTTTTACTGTTTAATGTATTGGATTCATTAATATTCTTTCATTATTTTATTTACATTACAATTATTTGTAATATTATAATTTATTAATAATTATTTCTAAATAATTTGAACCTTCTCCTTAAAATAATTCAATCCAATCTTTTTTAAATGGATCCTTGTTTTTCTTTAAATCATCAGAAATTATTTCTTCAAATATATTTATCTTATCTCTCAAATCTTAATTTTCATTTTACATTTGATGATTCAATTATGATAATACAAAATTTTAATCATTAATATGTTATAATTAATCCCTTAATTTTTTATTTAATCCCAAAAGATTGTTAATTTAATTAATTTATTCCATTTAAATATTATTCTATTATTATTATACTAATTAATTCTATTAATTCTATTTCAATGATTTTATAGTATTTTGAGCTATCTTCAACTATTATTCTAAATTTATTATTTATTATTTTAATTCTCTTATTTATCTTTATTAATCATCTTATTATTATTCAGGTTATAAAATAATCTATCTAGCCTTAACACCATATTAAGCAGATTATTAACATTATTATAAATTTTCATCAGAAGGATTTAAACATATTACCATTACAATATTAGATTTACCATTTAAACTTTTCTTTAATATACTTGTTAATTTAGATTATCTATAAGGTATTTATTAAACTTTATCAGCTAAATTTTATATTACTTATCTTAAATAAAATAGAGATTTATTTATTTCAACACTCTCATGAATTTATTATACTTTTGTTTAATTTAATCTTTCAGAACCAGCCAAATCTACAATATTAAATTCACATTATAAATCAGTACTTTGACCATGAAATGTATATATACAATGAGATCTACTTGAAAAATCATTTAATGAATGAGAATTTATTATTCTGTTTTTATTAGCTTTATTATATAATTTTACTAATTCTTCTTAAGAATGACATATCAATTTTGTAAGATTTTCTGGTACAAATTCATTATTCTTATATCTTAATTTTAATTACTATTTATAAAGCATGTCCAATATTTTTTCATTATAAATTTATAGAACAGAAAAGCTAATTTCAAATTTACTTTCAAGAATCTATGGCAAAATCATAGGTATTAATTAATTCACTGTATATGTTTTACCTGATCCTGTTTAACCATAACAAAATATCACTTAACTAATTCCATTTTTAAATTATTCAAGTAATTGGCCAATATTTAATCCAACATATAAATCATCTTATTTTGTTTATTCATCTAAAATTACATCAAATTCATAAGATTTATCAAGAATTCTTAATTAATTTTTATCTATTGTTATTTTTGTTTCCCCTGGTTTTAATCTCGCAACTGTAAAAACTTTCATTAATATTATAAAATTATTAACATAATCATATATCCTCTCTTAATATTCTATCCAAAATCTCCTTCTATGTCTCTATTGTACTAAAATCATCAGATCTTTTATCACTCTAAAATTATGATAACACTTTAACTTCAAAAGCAGTAGCTTATTAAATATACTTAAAATACTTCTTTCATTAATATTTCGAATTTTCAAGGAAAGCATATATAGATAACGAGTTAATGCTTGTAAATGTAGATATTTACATTATAATAATTCATCCTAATTCATATTTGGTTCCTTTTCATAACCATGAATAATTTTGTCAATTGCATTTTATAATAAATCTAAATGTTCCATCTATTCACGTATTATTTATTCTTAATATTATTATGGAGTACTAAAATTATGCTTTCCACAATTCACTCCCTATAATTATTCTTGAAAGTCTTTCATTTATTATTATACCTTTTAATAATTAGCAATTTAAGCTTCCTCTTTTTTCAAAATCTCCAATCCATCCTCTGATATTTTTTGAACCAATCCTAATGTTGCAATATAATTATCTAATTTCCTTGATAATTCCTTTTATCCTCCCAATAGTTATTCTGATGTCTCAAGTACACTTGTTGTGTCTATACTAAATACTTATTAACCTAATGGTTAAATCATTTATTGCCATTATTGTTATTAATAAATCTACTTAAAAGAACTTTTTTATTTTTCTAAATCTGTCAATTTTTAAATCAACATACTAAATTTTTCTTTAAATACATTCACATCATTTAATTGAAATAAAATAGAATTTTATTATTATTGATAAGGATTCATGTAAGGTTCTTAAATTTGTTGGTATTAATTTTAAATGGGATTCTGGCCAAATGTATTTTACTATTATTAATTATAATAATTTTAAGTTGTATTTTAAGAAAGACCAAATAAAATCGGCGCTATATTTTACTATCCCTATTATTATACTTATCCATATCCTAATTAAATGTAGTATAATACCAAAAGAAGATTAATTTTATGGCGCAATTTACTATTGCTATCCAAAAAGTTAAGGCATTTATTAAATAGGTTATGATTGCATAGTCCCAAAAATATTGCTATGATTTGTTTATAAAGAAGGTGGAGCTCCAATTTAAAGTGTATTCTGTTAATTTGATTTGCCAAACATATTTAGGTTTGCAAACATGTAATTATGTATTTAAATTAAATAGTAAAATTAATTCTAGTATTTTAAATTTAAAATAATAATATACCATTTCATTTAAAAATTATATTGAAATTATAGTTTTTATAATTGAAATTAAGAAATAATATGTAAAACTATGAAATAGTACTCTCATTTATTTTTGTAATGAGAAATCAATTCAAACTTTGTATTTTAATGTACACCTTTGTCTATTGTTGGTATGATATATTTTGATTTATTTTAAAGAATGAGAATTGATTGTCTTAAAACTTCTCCTAAGACTTCTATTGGGCCTTGGATTGATTAAGTCTATAATAAGTTTTTTTCATTCTTTGAATTTTGTTGTTATCTTCACTTGAAACTATTTCATATTTGCTAGCTTAAATGAGTGTCACAATTTTATTTGGTTTTTCAACTAAATTTGGTATGTATTTGATAACAATATATTTGTTTAAGCATAATTCATTATATAATTACTTCTGAACTAATAGTATAATATAAAGTTGTTCTAGTTCCCATACATTTTAGACATTTCTAAATTAGATAATAATTTTAGTATATTTTTAGTTTAATACCTATAATTTGAATCAAAAATTACCTTTATTTATTATAGAAAATTAAATTAAACTCATTTTGTGTATAAACAATTTTCACTTTTATTTTGATTAGAAGGTATATACAAAAGATGTTGGAATACTATTAAAGCTTATAATTTGATCTTTATTTTGATTATTCAATTTCTATTTAGATTTGTTATTATCAGTTTATTAATTTATTTGAGTAATACTTGTTATTTTGAATTAATTATTCTCTTTTTAGTTACTTTATTATTATTATAATTACTTAAAATTAAGTTGAAATGACAATGAATTATGCAAAACGAGTATTATAACCTTATAATTATTTTGCCTTTGATACTAAGTATATTTAAATTTTGAAGAATATATTGATTGGAGTGAATCATCTCCTTTAATTTTTTTTAACTATCTAATTATTTCTTTATTTAAAGAATTCTAGATTTTTTTTGTAGTTTAATTGTTATTTATCTGATTATTTAATAGCTTTGGTTAAGGCTAACAATTAATTAGATTCATAAATAGTCTATTCAATGTATAAACTAATCATAAAAAAAATGATAATATATATCAAAAAATTAAAGGCATTTAATGAATAATGTTAATTTTTCGATATGTATTTGTTATAAAAAATAATTTTAATTAAAAAAATACTATTCTTTTTTAACATATGGCTCAAATGAAGAATTGAGTTTTGTAAAAATCTTTTTACTTATTTTTGAGAATATCCCTTCTTTTCCAACTTTTTTCTTATCATTTTCATATATTTTCGAATTCAAAAATTTTATGTTTAAAATGTTTCATTTTATAATCAGCTGTCTTTAATAATACTTAAGAGAATGAAATATTTAACAATTTATTTGGAATACCGTAAATATTAATTATAATCAACTTTAATTAATATCTTGAATTAAAGTTCCTTAATTTTTATTCTTAGTTAAATAAAGATCTTTTCAAAAAATATAATATTCAAGATAAATACTTTTAAAGGATCAATAAAACTTTCAACTATTAATTCTAGTATAAACTATTAATTTTCTAGTCAAATATGGAAGGAATTAAAATATATTATTGTATAAATAATACTCAGTCCTGTAATTTTAAATAGCATTAGCCATTTGATGGATGTTGAACACTGTATTCAACACATGACATTACCTTTTTTTGGATAATTGAAATGATTTTCAATTTAACAATGATGTTCTCCTATAATTGGATATATCTGCTAAATTTATTTTCTAGTTTCTTTTGTTTCTGACACTTTTTTCTCAAATGAAATACAATAGTTTTAGCTGTAGCATATTTGATTTAAAGTTTTCTAGCAGCCTATTTAAAACTTAATCCAGTATCATACTTCTTTTATTTTAAACCCTTCCTTGAATACAAGTTCAAATAATTGCTCCTTAGATTCTTTAGGGACTTTAATGTAGGTTCTTTTTTATTCCTATAACATCCCAGGAATCAGATTTTTACGAGGTCTAAGGTCCTTTTTTTCTGGAGTTAACAAGATTCCAGATCCCCCCTTGGTTTAAAGATTTTCTTCATGAATACTTTCAGATATATTCATTAATTATAAATTTAAGATCCCTTTAATCATAAGAATCATATATAAACACTTGATTGATGCGTCATAATTAAAAATAATCCAAAAACCTTGGTTTTTATCTTTTTAAATTAATCATTCATCAAAGCTAAATATATTTAGATAAGATTCATCATTTTTTAATAACTATTCCTTAACAAGTATTTTTAGTGGATAACATTTCTTTTTATAATTAATTGCTGGAGAGATAATTAAATAAATTCACAAAATGTTAAATTAATTAACTATTTGAAAGCTACAAGAAAAGTAAAGACTTTTTTGCAATAAGTAATCTTAATTTTATGTTAAATGTTCCATACTTGGTTACATTATGTGTTATAAACAACCATTTTCATATTAGATTACATATTTGTTTATTTATTATTTCAATACAATTACTTGAAATAATCTTTTACTTATTGATTAAATTAACGAGAGTTTTTAAACGAATTAAAATAAGAGATCATCGAATATAACATAGATAAAGTGAATCAAAATAGTATTACAAGACATTTATTATGAAAATCAATCTCTTAAATTAAATTACCTTACATTTAGATAAAAGCATAATTTCCTCAAAATATATAAACTTCCATATTTAGTAAATAGCATGATTATTTTTATAAAACTGTAAAATAAATAATCAAAAGCATTCTTTTATTTGCCTAATACATAATTTTTGATTCTATTTCCAATTCGTTTTACCTTAATTTATTACATAAGTACTTAATGTAAAATACTTATTCTAAGTCTTTTCTAATTGGTAAGATTTCTCATCTTAAATTGTATTATTAATTACTATTTTACTCAAAAAATCAATATTTGACATTAACATTTTTAATGAATTTGAGTCATCTTTAATTTTAAAAAGTCAGAATTGTTCAATATATGAGTTGAATCACCTTGAAAATGATTTTTTCGTTTTGAATGAGTAAATTTTTTAATTTTCTTTAAAAAGGGGTAATTACCTTCAATTCCATTTTAGAATTTGAAATTGTCTTCTTGTCCTGTTATCTGTTTCTTATATAACCTATAAATTTTACTTTATGATTGTTAAAGTGGCTCCTTGAAAATTTAATAAAGACTAATATAGAGTTGAAGTGTAAAATTCTGGCAAACTTTTTCAAGGCTGAAAAATTTTATTTTTGGAATTAATTTTTTCTAAATAAAAACAGTTGATTTGCTGATAATTATTTATTATCTATAATGAAAAAATGTTATTGGATTGTTTAAAATGATGCAATCTGATTTAAATTACTTAAGGTCTTTTACTTTAATTTGATAAGTATATCTGTATATATTATATTATATTTATAGTATAAATAATTAATATATATATATAATTAACAAATAATACTAGTCTTTATGGATACTTAAAAATTACTTTAATATTAAAAATAATATTATGATAAATTATATTACACATATAATAATTAATTGTTAGATTATATTTTTTATTTCTAAATCCTTTGGTTTAATTCATTCATATCAAATTAGATATTATTTATTATATAAGAAATAAATCTCAGATTTTATAATAATCATATAAAAATATTAGTTACATATTTATTATCTATCGAAATATAAAAATATTAAATAATATAAATCAATTTAGTTAGAGAAACAATTCTTAAATAGAATGGATTTGCTCTCATTTTCTTGTGTACGACCACATACTATCTTTTCTAAAAGATATTATTTAAAAGTATTGGATGATGAGGTTATAATATCTGCAGTAACCTAACCTTGTTATTTAGTTCAACAATTACAAGAATCCTAAATATTGTCTTGAACTCAAATTATCAACCTAAATTCTTTGGAAAATGGGAAAGTAAAATTTGAAAGCATTTGGAATATTTTACTAAAATAAAATCAAATATTTTGAAGCTTAACATGTTTGTTTAGAATAATTCAAAAAATTGATTGGTGGAAGAGTAATATATAGAAATATGGCTTCATTCTATGAACCAACATAATTTATAGGAGAAGGATTATCAGCAAAGGTATTTTACTTAATTAAATAACAAATTTAGGTGTATAGAAGCATAGAGAAATAAACTTAAAAGGCAGTAGCAGTAAAAATGATTAAACAAGAGTTTGGAAAAGAAGAACAAGCTTTGGTAAATGATTAATATAATACTTAATTAGGAAATTGTCAAAACGGAAGTACAAATATTACAGTCTCTAAATCATCCAAATATTATCAAGGTACTTGAGGTTTATGAAAATGACCAGACATTTTGGATTGTATAAGATTTTGTATAAGGAACTCCTTTGAGTGATATTTTAAAATAAAAACTACCAACTGAATAGATAAAGAAGATAATGAGTGTATATAAACATCATATATCAATAGAGTTTGTTAAATACTATAAGTTATTTACAATCACTAAGAATTGTTCATAGAGATATTAAACCAGAAAATATAATAGTGGAGAAAGATGGTTCAATTAAAGTAATTGATTTTGGATTTGCTGCTAATTTGAAATTTGGGTCTGTAAGTAGTGTATGTGGAACACCAGGCTATTATGCACCTGAAGTACTTAGATAAAAAGAATCAAGTTTTAATTCTGATATGTTCAGTGTTGGTGTTGTGTTATTTAATTTGTATTATTATTAAACTATATTAGAATCACAAATTAACCCATGCTTAAATCTAAGATGTACAATGCTCAATAATATGTAGAAGATGAAGAAGCTGCTGATTTGTTAAAATAAATGTTAGAAGTTGATCCAGTTATGAGAATCACAGCTTTATAAGCACTCTAACATCCTTATTTTAAAGGTTTTTAATAAAATAATGAGAAACATTAAACTTCTGAAGATCAAATATTATAACAAAAATTGGTAATTAATTAATAACAACAATATTAACCATTAAAAAAAAGTAATCAAAGTTTAGATGCTAAAACAATCAAATCTCTCAGAACTACTAACATTATGGACTAATGATTTTTAAATCAATTAGTAGGTGTACTATATGTTTATATATTATATATTTACTTATTAATTATAAACTCATTTACATATGATAATATTATAAAATTTATATCCATAAAAGAGAAGTATGAGTTTATAATAATCAAGATCTCTTAATTTACTGATTTATTATATCAATTTAATTACTTTATTTTATAATGAAAGTAATTTATGACATTATAGCATTACCTTTCAAAACTTAAAGTTTTTAATATTAATATGAACAATTTAGATTATAAATAATTTATTTCACCATAATACAGATCATTGTCGCTTTTCGCAAAAAGGAAAATTAAAATTAAATGCAGATCCATTAGTTATGAACCTCATAATCAATTAAATATATTCAACATGAAAGGATTGATATTTTAAAAGGATTCATTAAGAAGGAAAAGTTGTTATTGTAAAGAGTGTGGAAGTCTCAGTAAATTCTAGTACAAATATATGAATCTTAAACATGTACCAAATATGAAAAAGAAAATTGAAATTTCATTAAGAGTTGAGAAGAGGAGATAAAGTATTATATTATTATTATAATCAATTAGCCAAAAACAGTACATTCTCCAAATATCGTACTATTATATTTGATCAAGTTAGAAAAAGTAAAGTTGAATAATAATAAGCCGAATCAGTAGAAGCAACTCCAAAAGAATCTACTGGCCTCAAAGAATCAATACATAAATTAAAAGAATATTTTCAAAAATAAGAAACTCAAAAAAAAGAAATTCAAATGAAGGCTAGAAATTTCCGCTATTTTGTCAATAAAACACCTATATGTTCTCCCAATCATTATAAGTCTCCTCGGGATAAAGAATTCATCCCTTATCTTAGTTATAGAAGGATTGAATTGATACATTTAAAACCATTGAAATTTAGTGACACTCTCAAATCATTTTAAACACACAAAAAAACCTTATCAACTTAATCTTGAATTATATATATATTTATAAGTAAATTAATTCAACATATGGGTATATTTTATATTAAATACATTAAAATAATAGTCTATCTTATCCTTCCAGAATTGAAATCTAATATGTGATAAAAAGTAATATTAAGATTTTTTATTAATTCATAATTATCAAAGCAAAAATCTCACTTTTTTATATGATCTTTTATCATCATTAATTCAATTGTATTAACTATATAAAAAAATATTTTGAAAAAATTGTGGATAAAATTTCATATATTTGTATATATCTCATCCCATGTGTTCTCAAATTTTCTGTTCAGTAATAATAATCCTTATATAATTTCATAATAAAAAATTGGTAACTATCCAAAATCTACTAAAATTTCAATTATTTTAATCATGAGATATTAAATATATAAAATAGAAACTTATTGCTTATGTTCTATATATTCTTGATTTAATATAAGAAAATCTAAGTTCAAATTCTATATTTATTTATAAATTTTTATGGAATAATCTATAAATTAGAACTAACAATGAGTCTTTTAGCTAAGCAATTTAAGTAATACTATAATTTTAAGTCATTTTCTAAAAAATAATAAATTTATGAATGGATCATTATAGTTTAGGAAATAATTGAATTAAATTAAATTTGAAGAATGTTCACACTAGATAATATTCAAAAAAAAAAGTATTTTAGAGTTATAATACTCATATATTAATTACTTTAATATTTATTCAACCTTCAAATTAAATAAAAATATAATCAAAGTTCAATTTTCATCAATCTAATTTTACATATATTCTTCATCTCTTTATTTAAAGTATTAGACAACATTAGTCAATAAGAAATTTGATTTAAGTTATTTTTATTGTTGCATCTACTTTAAGACAGTGAATAATGACAATGCCTTTTTTAACTTGGGTCCAGATTAAACAGGTTGAACTGTAGCTTATTTAAGTTGGTCTTCTAAAAATTTCAATTCAACAGCTGGATTATAAGGTTTATCATCATCATCACTACCCATTTCTTCAATTTATTGTTTAAGATTCTTTTGCTTTCTTGTCATGCATCTATCAAAATCAGAAAAATCTTCAGATTCTTTTAGTTATTATTTGATAGCATCACCTGCTCTTAAATAAATGATCAAAAATAAAGCATCTATTTTTTTATGTAGTGGTTCTACTCTTCTTTCATCTACATTCATAATTTCTTTAGTTCTAATCAAAGAGAGTTTTTCAGCACATCTACATAAAGCTTCAATGAATTCATAAAATTCCATTTAGAAATGTCTTAGACTATACAATTCATCAATTTAGGTTTGCATGGATAATAAATATGCAATATATGCATCTCTTTCCACAAAAGTATCACAATATAAATCACATTTTAATAATAAATCTCTGAAATCCTTAAATTAAACCCATGTTTATTTATAAAATTTTAATTTAGAATTCAATTTAGATGTAAACTTAAACAATAATTTAAGCATGGGTAATCGATCCTCTATAATAAATAAATAAATAATTACTTATTAATAGATCACATTATTCATTCCACAATCTTAAATCTCTCCAATCTTAAGCTCTATCAATTTCTTATAATCTTATTCTAACTAAATCATCTTCAAATAATTTCAAAACACTTAATTTCATTGATTTACATATTCCAGTTCTTGTATATTTATCTAATGCTATTCTAACTAAAACTTCCATAAATTAATATCTGATTAATGCCTTTTCATATACATTTGGATATAAAATGTCTTTAACATTAGATGTAGATATAAAATTCAAATCTATATCTCCAGGTCTAAATTTATCTGTCATAATAGTGGTTTATCCAATGAAATCAAAAAAGGCATTAGATGATATACAAGGAATCTAAATATTTATTGATTATAATTACACTAGACCCAATGAGTGTAGAAGCATAAAATTTATAACTAGCAAATATATGAGGATAATATTCTCTTAGAAGTTCTTTTATTTCCATTAATTCATTAGGATCACGAACAATTCTATTAATTTTAGATGATTAAAAATCATATTCAAAGCATTCATCAATTAATTCTTCATTATCAGGTTAATAGTTTTTAAATATAGATATTTCATAACTCCAAAATGTTTATTTCTTATTCATATATTGTGTTAAATCATATGTTCTCTCTTCTTCTCTAGGTTTACTAAATATCTTAGGAACATATTTATCTACTACAGTATGTTTACCTTCAGTGAATACTTCATTTACAAAAGACATCTTATTTCCTTCTATCAAAATGTCTCCATTATATAGAAATTCTTAAGTTCCTTCTGCTATTGGATCATTAATAGGTGTTGGCATAATCATTTAATTTTTTGCTGTTGTTTGTATTCCTAATATAGGATTACTAAAGAAATATAATATTTTCTAATTTGGTGGACACATTCTATATAAATGATATTCACCTTAATGTGGTGACATTAAAACAGGACGATATCCATCAAAATTAACATGTAAGAAAATAGGATCATTATTCATTCCTCCTGATTTACCAGGACTCCAAGTAAATTTAACTTCTTCCCATCCTTCACATATCCAACAAGAATCTCTATTTTTTTCATATTATTAATTCTATTTTACAGGTTTCATTCCCCAAATCCTTCTAAATCTATGTACTTATTGAATTTTCTCTTATTTTTTATCTTGTACTACTTTTGGTTATTATTTCACATCATCATCTAATAAACGTAAAGAAGTTTAAGGATTTTTTCTACATTATTCAATTTTCTTTTAACGAATCTATTCTTCAACTTCTTAATTTCTAAGATGACCAGTAGCATCCACCAAAAATTTTGGACAATTTCCTTCAAAATGAAATCCATAAATATTTTAATTAATATTTAAAGCCTTCATAATTTCATTTGCAGATGGCTCATCAAATCCGTTATGTGAAACATCAATATGCATTAATTCTGGATATGGTTTTGCTATAACCTTAGCCATTTATTAAGCACATTCAAAAGAACCTGTTCGATTATATGATATATCAAAAACCTTTACACTTGAATTTTTGTATAATGACTTCCAAATATTTAATCCTCCTTTACTATTAATTGTATTAAAATGTAAATACAACTCAAATATCATATTTGATTTTTTTAAATAATTTGATAATTCAATTGAGCAACCCTCTAAATCAAATAAATTAAATACCAGTTAAATTGTTTCTACTCAAATTCAATAGAGTTAAATAATCATTCTCTTAAAATGCCTAAAATAAATAATTAGCCCCTTAATCACCTATCTTATTATTTTCAAGAGACAATTTCTTAACTCTTGATTTTTATAAGTACTTTCCCAATATCTCACATCCTTTAGAATCAATACCATTATTATTAAGATCCAAATCTTAGACTTAGGATGGGAAATTTGATACTAAAGTCTTAATTCTAGGAGATGTCAATTGATTATGACTCAATTTCAAATCAGTTAATGTTTTGCATTAGGGTGATTTGAGGGCTTCAGTAAATACTTTAATCTTTTATTCATTCCTCAACATTCCTGATGACTCAGCAGTTTATATAGTATAATTTGAATTAATTAAACCAAGACCTGTTTAAAATATATTATGTTCTATGAGAATATAAGAATCTATTTACTTTATGAACTCTTATTTAATTATAGATAGATATTAGGTTATTATTTGTAGAAGTCTGCATAATCTTCAAGTTTCTCATAATTCTTGGTCACACTTCTATACTCTTTCTAATTAATCTTTTGCAGATTCTTGCTAAGAGTTGATTGAAACAAAAAAAATACTTTCCTAATCTATAATGCTTCAAAAACTTTCCTCTATCAGATAGATCATCAAATGGGGCATCTTTTGGTTCATTATAGAGAAATGGTTAATGTTTTTTTAAATCCTCTAATTTTGCTGCTGCTATTACTGTTCCACCACGTCTTTAAGGTTTCTATGCTAGATTAGGTTAGTGATGTTTGCGTTAAAAGGGACGAACAGGACTTTTATCATCTTTAAAAGCCAGTCTTTCTGATAAAACTTATGCTTCATCATTTAGTTATTCAATAAGTTTTTAATCTCCATTATAAAGTTCTTATAATGTTTCTGTTTCTAAATTCTTTTATAAATCCTTTAACTCTAAACTATCATCTTCTAAATTTGTTCTAGCTTAACTTTTTTTATAAGTTGAAATATCTGTTAAACAAGCATACGACCTCAATTTGGGAGACGCTACTTGAGTTTTAAAAATGTCCACTTGTGATTTAACAGTAGGAGATTTTAAATTAGGTGATTTATGAGTTAAAGAATTCCATGTATGTTAAAAGCTTAATTGTCTTACAAGATATCTCTCAGCAGAAGGCTCTGTTTTTTAGACTTATGAGACTTAATTAATATCTGTTTTCTGTTCTGTTTCTTAAATTTTACGAACTTCACGCAACTTTTCCAATAATTTGGCTGGGGTGTTATAGATCTTGAGTTTCTCAAACAACATAAAATTATTATTGAGTTTATTAATGACTAAGAATTTAACAAATAAGACATTTAGTTAATATGAGAATACTGTATATTTTGAATAGATTTATGAAGTCAAATATCAATTTTCAAAAAGAGATATATTAAAAACGTTGTTGTTTTGCTAATTAAATAATAAATTTATGTGAATAGATGATAATGTTTTTAAAACATTTATTATATATATATATAAATAATTAAGATTGGAAAAATAAATGATATTGAAATACAAAAACCAAAATTTCAAAATTGTCCAGCACTTTCTTTTAATAATTCATCATCATGTTTTTCATCATAGTGCTTTTCTTATTTAATATTGAATAAGGCTTATATCAAATATTGCTTTTATTAATCACTAATATTCAAAGATAGTAGATTAAACTCATTCATATGCATCAAACTCATTTCAGTGATTTTCATACCTTCAAGTGTGTGTAATATGAAATCAGACTAGGATATACTGAAATCACTTTACCCCAGATATTTTCCATAATTCATCTTATAATCTACGAGAATATTTGATTAATGGAATCTTCATTTATTGCTATTGTTTTTAATCAGGTGTTGTAGGAGCTGTTCGATGATGTTTACGTTAATTATTCCATTTTTTTTTTTATCTATCTGAAAAATCTGAGCCTCTTCTTGATATTGGATTTGAAGAAGTAGTTATTGAACTAAATAATTCAAGTGGTTATCCAACTTCCATTTTCTCTCTATTAAGATCTTATGGAATATAATTTGGAATTATAGGTCCTTAATAATTTGAATTAGATTTATAAGGAATTCTTAATAAATTTTAAGTATTTGGTTCTTCTATAATCCACTGTTTTTCATTCTATTATTTTGGTATTCTAAATAAATAAGTATTAATAAGTACCTCCGTTCTTAATCATTATGATAGAATGGACATTCTTTTTTAATACAATTTGGTTATGCACAAGGTTTAGTTTTATAGATTAAGGGATGATATTCAAATTCTTTCCATCCATGACAATTTGGACAATTCTCTTAATCAGAACAACCTCCTTAATCATACCTTGAAATTTAATCTGTTTTATTCCAATTAGGACATTCTTTAGGTTAAAGTAATTGAGGATCTCTTCTAAAATCTTATGCATTATGAGCATAAACACAACTGGCTCTATCATGTCTTTAATTTTATATTAATGTATTACCCTACAATATATGGACACCATATAGTTTTATAATGAAACATCCAGAATTTCTTATCTTATACTAATTATTCTAATTTTAAAGGGACTCGCAATTCATGATCATTATGTGCAAATGAACAATAGATTCCATATTCACAATCCTTATTTTATACACAATATTTGCTCTTATATCTATTTGGATGGTACACTTATTCTACTTTATTGTGTGAGAATACACATAAGTCTCCATTAGGACATTGTTCAAACTATGGACATATTTGACACCTTTGAATCATTATCAGTAATCTCACTTATATTTGAATTAATGAGGGTCACGTCTACGATCAGATTCATCATGGTAATATGGACAAAACTTTTTATGAGCACTTGCATGTTATAAAGTACATGGATATGTTTTAAATTGAGCAGAGTCTATTTTTCTTTATTAATCTAAATTTGTATATGAATTTTCATGTGACCTTACTTTTCTTAATTGCATTGAAATATATATATATATATATTAATTTTATTTCATGTAAAATTAAAAACAAACAAAAACATAATATCCATACCTTTTTCTTTTATTCAATTTATTTTTGTAGATTTATATACTTTTTTTTATTAACAATATTATAATTCATTTAAATTTACTTACTTTTCTATTTTGAATTATTTTTGTATAAAATTAAAAAACGAATACATTCATGCAAGAATAAAGATTTTAGATTTCCTATCCCCAAATGTAAAGTATGTTTGACACAGCAAATTTATAATCTGGATAATCAGCTGAAATTTTACATTAACTTGGGTACATAACTTAATATCTATATTAGGGATGTTGAATCAATAATGATTAAATTAGAAACTGATTCCAAAAATGGTATAGTTGATATTGAAGGAAGGTAAGAGCAATTTGGAAGCAATCGATTAGATCCTCCAAAATTATCTCCTTTCTATATGTGCATGTACAAATAAACAAAAGACTTCTGCATCAGAATATTGGCATTCGCTACAATAATAATGTTTATGATGGCTTTTTTCTCTGAAGAACCATTTGAACAAATAGTATAAGCATTTTCTATACTTATTGCCATCTGTGCTGTTGTAATAATAGGAGCTATGACTGATTACAGAAAAGAAAAATAATTTAGATAATTATATTTGGAATAAGAAGAATAATAAAAAAAACTATTTTAAGTTGTTAGAAATGGAAATGTTAATTAAATGAATCATCTTGATTTATTAGTAGGTGACATTATCACAATAAAACCAGGTGATAATATCACTGTTGATGGAATATTACTTGAAGGAACAGAAACAGTTGAAGTAGATGAAAGTATGATTTCAGGTTTGACAGATACAATCTCTAAATAACCAATATCAAAAGGATTCAATTGTTTTATACGTGGAGGTAGTAATATCTTTGAAGGAACAGCTAAAGTTATAGTATTAGCAGTAGGTTCATCTACATATTCTAATAGAATGAAACATGATAATTAATAAAAAGAAGAAGGAGAAGAAGAATTGATACATGATGAAAGATCTCCATTAGCAAAGGCACTTGAAACCTTAGCTAAATTTTTAGTATTTATAGGTTGCATGAGTGCTTTAGCTATGTTTATAGTTCTAGAATTATATATGGTGAGAGAATTGAATGAATTACAAGAGAAAATATTCTCTTAATTTGCACTAAAGAAAGTATTATCTGATTTTATTGATGCTTTCTTAATCATTGTTTTATCTATACCTGAAGGATTACCATTGATTGTGACTTTATCTTTAGCATTTTCTATTGCTAAATTAAGATAATAAGATATTGTAATTAGAAATTTGCATGTTTGTTAAGTATTAGGTGGAGTTGATACATTATGTTTTGATAAGACAGGCACTTTAACTTATAATAATCTAAAAGTTAGCAATGTTCATATTGCAAATGAAGAAAGAGTTCACAATATACCACCTTAAGATCCATTATTTAGAATATTATCAGAAGCAATTCTATCTACTAATTCAGCCTTTTTATCAGATGAAATTGCAAAATAATTAAAATATAATGAATAATTAGATATTAATAAGAAGACATAAGAATAAGCAAAGATGTTATCATCTGTTAATGATGTTTCGAAAAAGAGTGATTGGAGTGGAAATAGATTAGATGTTGCTTTAATTGATTATTTGGAAGTTAAATTAAGAAGAGATATTGTTGTTGAGTATATGCAAGATTTAAAGAATTAAATTAGAAAAACTATTCCATTTAATAATTATGGTTTACATGCTGAAGTTCTTCATGTAAGAGGTGATAAATATAGAATCATTTTGAAAGGAAAGGCTAAAGATATTATAGAGAAATGCAATTAACTTAATATATCAATTCCTGATAATCAAAAGTTTTAGATATATGAACCAGGAAATTATACAATTTAATATTGTTCTTATTCAAATATGACAAATGAAAGTGCAGAAATTGAAAAAAATGCTGTTTTAAATTATAATTCATAATCCTTAAAAACTATTTCTTTTGCATATAAAGATATCTAAATATCAAATCTTATTGAATAAGATTGGTAATAATTATTAACAGAAAACAATTTTATATATATTGGTACAATTGCAATGAGAGATGATATAAGATAGGAAGCAAAAAGATTAGATAGTGCCTTAAAGATGGGAAATATGAATGTTATGATTTTAACAGGAGACACAAGAGTTAATACTGTTAATGTAGCTAAATAATTAGGTTGGGTAAGTTGTGATTAGGCAGATGCAGAAATTCAAAGAACTAGTGAACATCTACCTAAATCATCTTAATTAATTAATCATTAAGAGATTATTATTGATCCTACAACTGGTGAGGAATAAAAGAATGCTTAAATTATATCAACAATAATTGAGAATCAAAAAGATGAAACTTAACCTTTATTAAAAGATGATTGTGAAAATTAATATATCAAATAATAATCATTTAGTAGTCTTTTAATTTTGAACTTTTAAGAATATGTTATTAGAATTAGAAAAATATTGAAGGAATCAAATATTTATTATACTCATTAAGAAGTAAATGAAAAAAATATAGTATCTAAAATACCAGATATATTAGATGATACTTTAGCAAGTTAAGTAATATTATTTTAATATAATTTAGAAAGTTTAAAAATTGAATAATTAATTATAGATTTTAGCAGATTTAAATTAACATCAAAAACATTAATTCTTAGAAGTATATTCAAATATCAATGAATCTACTATTGGATATATTGGAGATGGTAATAATGATGCAATAGCATTGTAAACTGCTTCAGTGGGTATAACTTTGGGTAAAACTGCTACAAACATAGCAAGAGAATGTAGTGGAGTAATCTTAATGAATGATAGATTAGATGGCATTGAATTATGCATGAAATTTGGTAGAAATATCTTTTTGAATATCAAAAGATTTATCTACTTTTAATTGAGTTTCTTTTTAAATTCAATTGCTATTATGTTGACTTCCTCAATTGTATTAAAATAACAACCATATACAGTATTGGAAGTTATTTGGTTAAGTTTGTAAGATTTATATTCTTTATATTTTTGTTAGAGTTCAAGATATCTTTTCTGCAGTTGCATTGAGTACAGAAGTACCTTAAGATGATATATTAAAGAGAACTAAACCAGCAAAAAGAGGAGAAAATATAATTGATAAGTTTTTACTTTAAATGACTTGTACTCAAGCAGTCTTTTAATATTTAGCAACCCTTATTGTTTTATTTTTAACTCCTACTATTTTTGGAATTGAGTAATGATTTTATTATATATGATAGACCATCATACAAACATGATTTACATGCACTTGGAGCTGAATTCATACCAGAATTTGCAATTCATTATACTTTAGTATATCATTTGACTGCTATGTTTTAAATTGTCAATTTGATATGTAGTAGAAGAATAGGATAAAATGAATATAACGTTTTTGAAGGAATTCATAAAAATAAACCATTTACAATTATGATTGTTGGTTTACTTATAATTCAATAGGTCATTATTTATGCAGGAGGTAAGTATTTCAAAACAGCATAATTGACAATTTGGTAAAATATGTTCTGTCTTTGTTTATCATTTGGAGCCTTGGTTGTATTTTGGTTGTCTAAATATCTATATTCAACCAGAAAATGAAACAATAATAATAATATAAAAAAAATAATAAAATCAATTTATCACATATTAATGTATTTCTGTTCCATTCATTTCTTCTTATTTTTTAATTAAATTTGAAAATTCTTATTCTTTTTTAATAAATATGAGACTTGTAAATAGAATTAAAGATATGAGTAATTATATTACTAATATCCAAATACTAAGGTTTTCATTTTAAGCTCCAGTCATCAAGATTATTGACATTATAAATAATGTAGAGGCACTCAATAATATAGAAATAAATGAAACAAAATTAAATGTAGTAATGTTCCTTGGTAAATTTGAATGTTTCATTAAACTCATTACTATTGTCACAATAATCAATACTCCATCTATAATTGTTATTGGATATGTTGCTAAAATTGAATTGCATATATATTCTAATTGACAATCTTCTTTTGTAATTTTATTATTATTCAATGTTCTATTATTTAATTAACATTTCATTTTAGCATCATACTTTAACTTACATTTTAATAATTCTCCATTATAGTGTATTTCTTCTTCCCTATAGGTTGAAAATAACAATATACACAATAATAGACCTGCTGTAGTTAGAAATATTAATTGTAATAATGCATTAGTCTTAGAGTTTATGTTTGGAAGAATTTAGTTCATTTATTTTATTAATAAAATCCCTTTATGGAATCAAATTACTTATTAATTTATAAAAAATTATTATTTAAAAAGTTCTATTATTTTATATAAAATTGATTTTTTTAGTGATTTTCTCACTAAATTTAAAGTGATATACAAATAAGATGCTTATTATACAAAAATATTGAAATTGGTTGAATTATAATATCATATCATGCTCACCAGAAAATAATCAAGAGAATTAAAGAATCAAATCTAAACTCAATAATTATACCTAAAACATTCCTCTATTAATACAAATCTCTAGGAACATATTGTTATTGAAATACTAGAATTATTAGATTTAGCAAATAAATTTTAAGTAGAAACATACTTTTAAGAAATGTTACTAGATCCTTAGACTAAAAGAATAGAGGATTATAATAATTGTTACAATAAGGAATTCTTTGACTCTTTAATAAATGATTAAATAGATTTGAGTAATTTTTTACTCAATCACCAAATTAGCGAATGGGTTCGAGGTATCATGGTTGATTGGATGATTGAAGTATTTGCTGCTACAAACTCTATAAATGATAATTCATTTTTTAGAGCTGTAAATTTGATGGATGCATTCCTTAAGAATACTTATAATTACACTGATTAAGACATTCATTTGATAGGTGTAAGTTGTATTTTTATAGCCTCTAAAATTGAAGATATCTAATCTTTTGGAATTAAAACAATAACAAAAAAATTTTCTCATAATAAATTTTCATCCTATTAAATAAAAGAATTTGAATAATTTATATTAGAAACTCTAAATTATGATATTAATTTTCCTACAGTTAATGATTGTCTATAATATCTCAGTTATTAATTGTTTGGTTAATCCTAAAAGTATTAAAATTTTTCTATATTAGTAAATATGTCTTAATGATTCAAGAAACTTCTAATTATATACTAAAAATGTGTTATCATGATTACTAATTAACACAATACAATTAAATGCTTTTGGCTGCTAGTATTTTAGGATATACAATTTAACATTATATATAAATACATATGTCACATTTAATAGAAAAGATAAAGATTTAATTATTTTAGACAGTAATATATTAATTTTATTAATTTAGTAAAGCAATCTCTTAAGAATTGGATAACTTGAATTAATTGATTATTTGAATTGTCTATAAAAAGTAGAAGAATTAACAAAAGATTTTCACATAAAGTATCCTTTTTATAGAAATCTATAAAAATTTAATTGATATAAGTGTTTTTTATCTATTATTTTTGTTATATATTGAATTATAAAAATACATTAAATGAGATACATATTCTCATCTTAAATAAAGGTTTATTTTTCAATTGAATTAACATGTATTGATACTAATATATTTTTGAGAAAATGAATAATATTACATTTATTATGTAAGTAGTATTTTATGTAAGATAATTGATATCTTATATTCATAATATTAAAGATATGGAATGTTTGTATATACAATAAAATAGAATTACTAAGGTTAAGTTAATTAAGATAATAAATCTAATAATTTATAGAAATTATAGGAATGAATAAGGATAGTGTGCCTATGTTCAAGTTTATCGTAGTTGGAGATCAATGTAATAGGATATGTCAGACTTAGCTGTTGGCAAGAGTAGTTTTGTTAAATAATATTCGGAAGGCCAATTTATAGAGGGTATGAATAGAGCAACAATTGGAGTGGAATTTATTAAGAAATTGGTAGTAGTTGATAAACGTAGAGTGGAGTTATAAATATGGGATACTGTATAAGTTTTATGTGATTGATTAGGCAGGATAAGAATAGTTTAGAAGTATGATTAAGAGTTTTTATCGTGGTGCAGCAGCTGTGTTTGTGTTATATAGTATCAATTAAAGAGATTCATTTGAGAAGTTATAAGATTGGTTAACAGAATTACATGAGAGTGCACATGAAGAAATTGTGAAAATTCTTGTAGGAAATAAATCAGATATGGAACGTAATGTTTAGAAGGAAGAAGCTGAAAAATTTATGAACGCAAACAATTTTAGTTTGTTTTTTGAAACATCTGCAAAGACTGGAGAGAATGTAGAAAAAGTATATATATCCAAAATAAATATATAAGGCATTTGTAGAAGCTGTAAAATTAGTGATAATGAGAATGTTTACTAGTGATTCATTTAAAAATTCTATAAAAACTACTAAAAAAACTCCAGCAAGTTCGAAATAGAATACAAGTAGAAGTGATTAACCAATTTCAGAGGTGACATCATTATCTTAAAAACCAATTTAATTGTAATCCAATCACACTTAAGAAAATAAACATGAAAAGAAATAATGTTGTTGATTTTGACATTTGCAATTACAATTGTATTTTATAATTAATTACCTTTTTTATGATTAAAGCTTTATATGCTGCTGAATTTGATTTAGTCAAAGGTAACACATTCATTCTTATCTAATAGGATGTGTAATAACTGCATCTTATCCATAAACAGGCGATTCAGGATTTCATGAATTAGCATCATACATGATACCTGATGGAGTTCATAAAATAAAATAAGATAAATTCTTTTTTAGAATTGGAAATATTAGATTCATTCCTGGATAAGTATAGACATATCATTTTGATTATTAATGGAAACCATTATTGTAGAGTACAAATCAAACATTAAGTTATTCGGATGAAAATGTAATTAAAATTAGAGGAGAAAAAGAATCTGAATGGTTAGATATTAATTTATTTAATGTTTAAATCTAAGTGATTTCACATGATTTTGTATCAATTACTTTGAATCCTGATTTAATATATGGAATCAAAGGAAAATTTACATAAAATTATTATCTAGCATGTTTAAGAAATAAAAAGGATTCTACAATTAAAAGAGGATCTTTGATTAGATCAATTGCTGTTTGTTCATCAGATTTACTTTTTTTAGGTATATGTGATTAGAAAATTGAAAAATGTTTAGAAGAATATTTTGAATAAGTTGGTCTTGATCATTGGATAAATGATGCTGATAGTAATCCATAAATTATTGAAAAAATATTAGAAAATGGATTTAATGAATTATCAAGTGATTTAGCATATTATAAGTTTTCTCATTCTCTTTTAGATTACTCTTCCAAAGAATTAGGCAATTTATATCCTAAAAGAGCAGATGGATTAACAATCAATGCCTCATTACTAAATCTATTTGAAAAGTTCAATATGAAAGTTCGAATACTTTATAGGGCTCTTTTATAATAAAAGAGAATCATATTCCTTTGTCATGAATGCAGCAATTAAGAAAAATATATTGGAGATAATATGGTAAAAAGTGACTTTATATCAAAAGTACTTTAATGTTTGTAACCTTGTTTTAAGCTTATGTTTCCTTGTTTCACCTTTAAATATTATTTAGAATATTCAAGGTTACAAATCTTTACTTGATAAAGGATGGGAATAATAAAATTGTTGGATATCTATTGTTTCTAATCCAATTTTTGAATATCGTAGAGAATGGTGGGATATCTTATGTGATGTAAATGCTGGAAAAATAATAGAATCTAAAACAGAATAATCATTATTTATTAACAATGAAAATGATATTGATTTCTTTTAAAATTTAATCAATCTCATTTAAGTATCTCATATTAATGAATTATAAGTTAGATCCATACTCTAAAAGTATACATCTTCAATTATTGGAAATTTAGTATAATAATTATATTAATATTATGTAGCCTCAAACTTTATAATTCAAAGGGTATAGAAGAATGAAAATTAAGGAATTATTTACTGAATAACAATATGCATAATTACTAAATATTTTGGCAATGATGAAATTATAAAAAAGTATGGAAGACTTATAGTTATTATAAATGTATGAGACACTTTTAGATTGCTTAAAGACAGAACATTAATTTAAAGAGTTTTTTAAAGTATAAAAATATATATATATATAATTTCAAAGTTATTTACAGAATCCAATTATGATTTGAATACATTAGGAATAGGAACTATGTGTTAGGATATTTTAGTTTAAGAAAAATGTAGAGAATTCTTAAAATTATTGGAAAAATGGGATAAATAATTGATGAAGAAAATTAACTTATTTTTTGTAATTTGATGTATTTTATGTATATTTTCCTATTATTTAATTTTTTTTATTTCCTTTTAAATTAAAGAGATTTAAGTTTAATTAATTTATGAATAAAATTAAATCTCTTTTTTTTATTATTACAAATAGTAATATTAAGAAGAAAAATTCTAGAATTAATTTACAAACTAATTGAGTATTCTAATATTTATTCAATCTTTAGATTTAAAATATATAATTATTATAATATTGGAATCTTATAAATATCCATGTGGCCATTAATATTCTAATGAATATAGAATTCTTAATATATCAATAATTGATTCAATTACATTTATAATATATATAATTTATGTAATCATATAATGAATTAATTTTCATTATTAAATTTATAATAATAATAATAAAATCCTGAAAATATTTGTATCAAAGCATTATACAATCATCATCTTCTTCAATTTAACCTGGATCATTTAAATTCTTTACAGTCACATACTTTTCATATTATTCTTACTTAGATAAGATTTTGATTTCCTTTTTATCTTTTAATTAGTAAATGAAAATTACTTTTTGGTTTATCTTATAAGGACCTGTATAATTCTTTAATTTTCTATTGATCTTCTGCTTTAAGTGTTTGCAATCTAAAGAGAGGTAATTCTTAACCCCTTTCTCCAGTTGGCCATTTTTTAATACAATGAAGATGATACCAAACCTTCTTATCAAATTATTGACCTAATTATAATTGAAATTGAATTTATACCTTCATCTTTTCTTAAGAATATATGTCCAATCTTTAATTCATTCTTAAATATGACAACATGACAAGTTGCACATTTGATGCGATTTGATAGTGCATATTCACACTCAAGAAATTATTTCATCTTCATTTTAAATTATTTAAATAAAATTTATAATGTATTTAATATAAAAATAAGACTATACTAATTAAATGATATTTTTTATGTTGATATTTTATAGATTTTAATTAGAATGTAAATACAGAACATGAATAATTGAAATGTATTCAGATATTTGAAAAACTTAAGTATATATAAGTAGAATCAAAAATATATCAAGTATTATGTATTTAGATTCTAATTCAGAGATGATCTTGATTAAAATTAAATTAATAATTTAAAGCCTAAGTAAATAATATTCTTTTAATTTATTTATTAAATAATAAATTAAATTTGAATATAATATATATGTATAATTTAATAATAATGTTAAGAATATTTGGCTAAATAGATTCTAAAGTTGGTTTAAGTCATACTTCTGTTTCTTTCTGAATCATTCTGAATTAAATGAACACTTAAATGGATTCACTTAAAATTTCGAAAATTTTAAATATTTAACAATGATTGATGATGTAGAAAATATATATTACCCAACATATAAGTCAAATACATAGATAAAAAGTTATTCTGATTAGATACTCTTTTATTTTGTATTGATTGCAAGTTGAAAGTACTGTATTTGACTTCAAAAATCAAATGGGTCCAGTAGAGAATTTAGAAATTTATCAATCATTTATCTAATTTACTAGCGTTGTCTAATATAGTATATAGATTAAAAGAGTGTTTACTTAATTTATTGAAATTGTATATTACTCATTTGTTTTCACTATGGAGTAAACTAAGAAAAAATGATGATTCCAAATTTATCTGCTAATTTAAATTCGATTTATGAGATCGAAAGGTTGTCAATAATTTATTTTACGCAAATTAAGAATAGATGACTTAATTGTAGCAAATGGACAGTAGATTAGTTTCAGAGTTCTAGAACGATTTAAAGAAATCTTAGAGTGATATGAAAAATACACAATGTCACAAAATATTTGAAGAAAAAGGGAAAAAGTATATGAAGATTAAATTAAGCACTAAACAATAACTCTATTGTATGGTGTAAAAGTAGGGGATGAAAATAAAAGATGTATAATAGAAAAGTTTATGAGTTGTTTAGGCAGCCTTAATATTGGGTATTAAATACGCAACAGCTAAGACTATAATATTTCACCAGAGATAGAAGAGAAAAGCAAAAAGAAAATGTGGTGAGAGAATGTGTGGATATACTGAAAAATATGGATAAAGAATTTCAAGATTATAAATCATTAACATAATTGGAAATGAAGTTGTGCATCAATAAGATTACATTTTGTGATGAAAATATATATGCTGAAAACTTAATTCTTGTTTTACAAAATTTTTATAAATAATTAAATATGTTGGATAGATAATCGATAGAAAATAAGAGTAATCAAAGAATTACGGTATTGTATAGTATAGATTAAATTATTCATATGCTCTTTTCATTTAAGATTCAGTAATGAAATCTATCTTGTAATCACTTTCCATAATTTACATTTTTATTTATTTATATACATATATTTATATATATAATATACAATATATTCATTTACTTTTTGGCCATTTAATCTTCTTCAATAAAAAATCAATTAGAATCTCTGGGTTATGCATTCTAAGAGAACTTTAATTAATCCACGATACTTTAGGTTCTCTACTATTCTTTTATTTCCAATTGACTTTGGAATAACAAATTTAAACCATCATTATCTATTTTTATTTATATAATTTCATCTGCTGAATCAACTTCATCATATGAGCCAATCACTATTAATTATTATTCAAAAACTAACATATAAGTCATAACAGATAGTTGATTCTCAATAGGTTCCCATGTTTTTTCATTTTCAGAATAACCTTATCATTTTATTTCATATTCTGCACGACCATTCTTGAATCTTTTTTTGGTTATAGTTTCAACCATATATTATTCCTATGAGGACACAGATATAGGAGTATCTAATATGTTAAATATATATTTTAATGAGGGAGCATATTGATGAGTTAGTTAAGAGTCTCTTAAATTTGTGGTTTTAATTTATAATTTAAGTTAATATAAAATGGCTGTAGTGGAAGCTGCAATTTAGACAGAAGGTTAAGGTAGATTTGAATATTAAGATGGTACAGTATATGAAGGTCAATGGAAATTGATAGAAGGTAAGAAAGTGAAACATGGTAAGGGACGAATAGTGATAGCAAGTATGAAATATAGGAATGATAAAAAGGTTCATTGTCTACAGACAACGATTTGAAAGAAGAATACAATGGAGAATTCGAGAATGATTAAATGTGTGGAGAAGGTGTTTACATATATAAATCAGGTGCAATTTATAGAGGACAGTTTCGAGATAATAGACATAATGGAATTGGATTCTATTAATTTCCTGAAGGTTGTACCTATGAAGGAGAATGGGTAAATCATAAAATGCATGGAGAAGGAGTGTTTATTGATAAAGAAGGTAATAGATGGGAAGGAGAATTTGTTGAAGGAATATATCAATCTAAAATGTAAAAGTAACTTAAGATGGAAAAGATGTTAAATAAGAAGGAAGCAGAAATAAAAGAAAATGCATCCCATTTTTTTACTCGTTTTATAGATGCATATGCTCATTCAGATAAGAAAACAATGAAAGATAATATGAGTCCATTCTTTGCTACAACAGAAGATATAAAATTATATGTAAAGGAACCTTATCCACAATTTGCAGATCGTCTTCCTGAGAAATGGGAAGCAGGAATTAAATTCTTATAAACAGGTTCTTTGAATATACCTCGTTCTAATAATGCTGCTAAAATTCTTGATCCCTAAAATATTTTAGCTGCTTAATTCAGTGGAGTAGGTTAAGTGGCTGAAGTTTAAGTGCAAGAAAACACTAGAATTGTTAGATTAGCTATATGTAATACTGCTGAAGACAAATGGGTTATTGTATTCTATCATGACAATGAAGAACAAGAGATTAAGAAAAAGAAGTGAAAATATATAAAAATAATTAAATTATGCCACCTAAAAAAGAGGAAATTGATTTGAATGCTTTACCTCCTCTCAAACATCTATGTGTCAGTATAAGGATTGAAGCAGCCAAATCTAGAGCAACCAAACTACTTAACATGCTTAAAACTTGCAAATCATTTTAAAAGAATATTCAAAGAGATGAAATTTTAGCTTTTTGCAAAGAAAAACAATTATATGTAGATCCTACCACTTTGACTGATAAATAGAAGAAGGTAAATTAGTATAATATTTTAGGATCCTAAATTCATGGCTGAAATTGCAACAGAACTTACATCTGAAGTTATGAATAAAGCATTTTAGTTATTTATTCAAGATCAAGTCCTTGCTGTTCGAAAAGCTAAATATTTAGCTGCTTAAGCTTAAGCTGCTGAAAAAGCAGCTCCTCCAAAGAAAGACGATAAGAAAGATACTAAAAAAGGAGCTAAAGAAGCTGCAACAGTTGCACCAATTGTAGAACCTGAAAAGGTTACTCCAGAAAAAGAGTATCCTAAAAATTTCGATTTGGTTTTCATTGTTTAAGGTTTTCCTCAAGTACCTTAGGAATAGATAGAATTAATTATACATGTTAAAGAGAGAGTGATTAATTGGGGTGTTGTGGAAATAAATTAAACTGAATAACCTGAAGAATTCTAAGATGATTTTGAAAAAAGAATGGAAGATTTTGTTCCACCACCAACTATCAAACGTCAATATTCAGAAGAATCACTTAATTATGCTGCCAGTGAAAGAAGTGTTATTGATGATATTAAATAAGCAAGAGCTTCATCCTAACCATCTGATCCATTAAGATAATTGACTATCAAAGAACTTATATTAGATATGGATCTAGATGCTGAAGAGGAAACCATTAAATAATTCTATGAAACCATCTTTGAAGAAATTTGTTAATTCAGTATAGATCAACAATAATATGCTGAATGGATAACCAATAAGAAACCAATCCCATTAATAAACAAAGAAGCTCCAAAAGATCCTTTTGATCTTGAAATTGAAAGAATCTAACATGAAGCTTAATTAGTTGAAGAATAGTAAAAAGCAGCAGAAGAGGCTGTATTAGCTGAGAAAAATAAAAAGGGTGCGAAGAAGGAAGCAAAGAAAAATGAAGCTGAATTAGAGGCTGAAAGATAGGCAGAAGCTGAAAAACACAGATTAAATGAATTAAGAAAATAATAAATTTAGGATGCTATTGATTAATAATTGAAGATGAAAACTAAATTACATCTATAATATTATAAGAGACAATTATCTGATGTGCAATTATAAAAAGTTGGACCAGGAATTTTATTAGAATGTTTATTAGATTAATTATAAGCTGAATCTACTTATTTGAGCAACTCATAAATTCCTCCTAGTCTTGAGGATTAAGATGATTCAGATTAAGTTAGCAAAATTTTAGCTAATTTAAGAGGTTAAGGAAATGAATCAATTAAAAATAGAAAGTAAGATTAAGTTACAGAATCACCTAAATAATTAATATTAGATGAATGTGATTGGATTGAAATGAGAGCTTATTTTGCTTAATTACATGATCAATAATTGGTTGTGGATAGAGAACATAAGATATTTGATAATCTTTGTTATCCAGGAATAGATAGATAGGGTATGCCTGAAATTCCAGAAAAATCTGAAAAAATGAGAAAAGCAATTAAAGCTAAATTACATCCATTTGTTAATGTTGATGTCAATGAATTTGAGAGAAGATAATTATTATTATAATTTGAAGACTTACTAAAAGAAAATGAACCTGAAAAGGAATGGCATTTTGGTGATAGAATTTATATGGAAAGACACAATAGAAATACTTTAAGATAGAAATTCTATGAAGCTTTATTGCATGATCCCTAAGTCATTATGAAATATTTACCAGATGATGATGCTCTTATGATATGTTGCTATTATAAAAACCCTCCTGGAAGAACTTTAAGGAAAAAATGGTCAGCTGAATGGAGAGTATTACCAAATCTTGAATATTTTATTTAAGTAAGGAATTTTAATAGTGATTACTTTTATGATATTGATTATCAAAAAATTGGAGCTATTACTGAAAGATGTAAAATTATGTATCCTACAGATAATTCTTTAATATTGGCAACTAAATTTACTGTAGGTGAAAAAGAACGTCTTAGATATAGAGTGATTAAGGAAAATGTTATCTTTGGTATTTAATGTGGATTTTATGCATAATTCAAGGAACCAAGAATGAGTGTTTAAGATTAAATAATGAATTTAACATTTAAAAATGGTTTATGTTTACGATTTACATAGTTGGGAGAAGTTGTTTAATAATATCACCATCAAAAAGTTTAAGAATAATCATAACATTAATTTAATCTCTATGACAATACAGATATGAATTCTGAATAGGAAGTTAAAAGAGTAATCACTGGATAAGGTTCAGTGATTATATATAAGAAAGATGGTTCAATAATAATTTTATATTCTAATGGTAATGTTTCATAGTATAAAAATAATATGTGGATTACTACTAATAATAAAGGTTATAGATAGTCTCCAAAAGGAGTAGAAAAGATACCTTGTGCAATCAGAACAGATCCTGAGAGTGGATCTAAAGTTTACATTAGAGATGATCAAACCTTAATTATTTACTATAAAGAGGGCTACTAATATACATAACATTAAGATGGAACCATAATGTTATTAAAAGGAGATAAAATAATTGTAGAACATCCTAATTTTGCAAGTGTAGTTGTTACTATTGATAAAGCTAAATAAAGATCTGGAACTATCATTAGAAAAAATAATATAACTGTTGGTTTTGATAACATCCTTGATAGAAGCAATGATGGTAGAATAGTTGAGACATTTTATTAAGGATGTAAAGTAGTTTCATATCTTGAAAAGTAAGAGATACCAGATTCAAAATAATATAAAACTAATAGAATTCATCTTCTTTATACATAAGATGGAAGTGTGAGCAAATGTGTTGCTGATGGAGAAGTAGTCATTATTACAGCAGAAGAAAGAGTTAGATTAAATAACTAAGGTGAGAGAAGACAATTAGGTTAAGACATTGATTATTGGATATAATTATATTCTCCCTCTGAGGATAGAAAATCAGGAGTCTATACTATAGATTTGGAGAGAAAATGTATTTTCACTAAAGATGATGAATCAAACTATTTTGAAATTGATGAGGATGGTCATGTTGTTACAAAATTATCTACAACATCACCATAAAATTAAGAACCTTATACTCCAGATCAAATTCCAGATGGTATCTTTGTAGATGAAGATAATAAAGTTTTACCTACTCCTAAATAATGGATTCCTCCTAGATTATTCTTGGTTAGAAATGATAACACAGGAATTGAACTCTATAATTAATATTAATTATAGGATTATTTTAGATTAAAATCAGAAAATGCTTTTTGTACTAAAATAAATGAAGAATTACCTAATAATGTGAAATCCATATCTTTCATTACTGAATTGAAATAATAGAATAAGAAATTCATAGATGTTAAAATTCCTCAGACTTTAGATATAGTACCTAAAATTATATAAAAAACAACTATTATTGCACATAGAGTATTTACTTTTCGTAATTTTTTGGAATATCCACCTTTTGAAAAAGAAGAAAGAATTCATCATGAACTTTCTTTATAAAAATTTGAGACTTGGTAAAAGAATATGTTAAAAACTTAAAATGAATTTGGAATACTTTTAAAGACAGAGGAAGAAAAAGAAATTGAATTTACAATATAAATGAAAATATTAGAAAGTAGAAGGACTGACTATTCAACTGAGTCTTATGATTAAGCTAAAAGCAAAATATAAATACCAGAATAATAGATTACTTCAGTTGAACCTTTAGAATAAACTCTACTCAAAAGTGCTAGAGTATAATAAACTGTTTAATAAGCATTTGTAGATTTATCAAGAAAAGCTTAGACTATTTAAATCTAAAAATAATTCAAACCTTTCACTGAAGTTAAAGGATTTGCTACTCACTATTTTGAAACCAATGAGGGTCTAGAATATTTGAAATTTGCTCCAGAAAATCCACCCATTAAAAAACAAAGATAAAAAGTAGTTTAAATAAATGATGAACCATAATAATTATAATAAATAGAATAATTTGAAAATTAACCAGAAGGTGTTGTTCCTTTAGAATAACTTCCATTACCATAATATAATAATATTACAAAAGTCATTATAAAACCATCTGTTTTTACATAGGCAGAAATTGATGAGGAAATAAGATAAAAGAAATTAAATGATGAATCAGTAAAATATAGAATGTCTAAAAGAAAAGATATTGATGTTTATGGAAAAGAAAGAAAAGATAAAAAACTTGTACCTTGTCTATTAAAGACTAATCCAAAGTTAGAACTTAATCAAAAATATATATTAACAGATGCTACTACTGATAATCGTGTCAAAATAAGTTCTATGGCTACTAGAGTATATCAATAGGCTGTTCCTGTTAATCAAATAAGAAATGAAGGCATGCATCAAACTATAATTAGAACTCTTGATAAGAAAAACAATTTGGATGAACTTATGGATAAAAAAAATCTTATGGTTACTGGAGATATAAATGATAGATTAAAGAAAGATTTATTAATATATCCTATTACTGTCTAATTTGGAGAACTAAGATAAAATGGAAAATATGAATACAAAATCAATGTAAAAAATGAAGATATTATGGCACAAAGAATTGTTTTAAAATAGCCTACAAATAGCAATATAAAAGTACTGATGAAATAAATGGGATCTGTAAATATCTATAATATTTTCTATTTTAGATTTCTTTAGGATTAGTGAGAGAAGTATTCATTCAGATAACAACTGATAAATCAGGTCAATTTTCTGATGAGTTCTAAATATTGTCTAAACATTCAATTTATACAATCCCAATCAATGGTAATGTGCTAGAGTAAGCAATCTATGACAAACTTAACACTGAATAAATTAAACTCTCTAGCAAACCTTTGTTGAAGAAAAATGTCAAAGATTTATTTTAGGTATTATTACTTAACAATATAATTTAGTCATCTAAATAATAAAATATAATTGGAGATAGTTAAGATTCAGATTTGCTACCAAAAATTAACTATGATAAAAATTATAAAATTGATCCATTTCAAAATCTAAAGAAAGAAGATTTGTCAGATGATGATGAAAATTGATTGCGAATTATCTATCTATTATAATATCAAGCTTTTTATTTATTAAATTTTTTATACAGTGATTCTTTGTTATCCATTTTCCGATAAGGTTTCATCATTATTTATCATATCTATTTATTCCTAAAGATTTTTATTCTTTCCTTCTTTGCTCCCCTTAATGAAAGGATATCACTGAGAAATGTATAAAGATTTACCATTTTTTTCACATAATCAGGAAACTTTTCTAAAATAATATGCTTGATGATTAATTAGATTCCTTTTAAGTTCTACCTCAGTTAATAATAATTAAGCATTATAAAATTATTCTTAATTTTTTTATTTATATATAGTTAATTAACCCATATTATATACTTATTTATCTAATAGATTCTTATTTTAAATCATTAAAAATCCTATTGATATTTATATTTCCTATTTAATTTGCAACAGACCCCAATACAATTCAATACAAAATAAATCAGCTAAATAATTCTGTTTAGATCTGTTAATAATATGACTGGTTTACATTCCAATAATCATAATCATCTATTTGGATCATCATTTATTCCTAACAACAAGTACTTGTAATATCAAGGCTTATTGTATATTAAAAATCGCTTATCAAATTTATTTTTACTCATGTAAACTAATTTTTTCAACATTAGGTATACTATTGAAATTTTCTAACATTAGTACTAAAGATAATATAAATCATTCAATCCATATTAACAATGTAATTATGATCTTAATCAACAATATCGACCAAAATTAGAAACTAAATGCACTTTTTAAGTATGTAGATTTCAATAGATTAAAAGAATTCCACATAACAGATAATTTAAGAATAAGAAGGAAATCTAAAGGGAAAGAAGGGATGGATTTAAAAATAAAATCTTTAGATATAGAGTCTATTTCAAGTTCCATAATAGTTATTTTAATTAAATCACATCTTCACTTTTTTTATAGGTTTGTGCAGTATTTTTTACATATCCTTTGCTTTTTCAACAAAATCTAAAACCTTCTCGTTATCCTTAAATAGAGGTGACTTTTATAAATTTTCAGCAAATGCTATCAAATCTATTTTCACATTATCTTTCACACATTTGCATATTTTGGCCTTTAGTAATAAGGGTAGCCAATTTAGAGTGGCTAAATTGACAGCTTCTGCAATATTGAATCCACAATTAAAACCTTAATGATAGGCTCCAGCAAATATAAACATAAATTCACCTTCATGATGTGCCATCTTTGAGATACGAATTCCTGGAACTTTTTCTTTCAACAAGTAAGGATTTATTACTGTTGTTTTATGTCTTAAAAATTCTGAACATTTATTGAAATGATCTCCATAGGTTTACTTTGCATATTTTTCTAATAAGTGACTATCAGTTTCAGGAATTGAATACCAAAATCTCAATAATTTAATAAATTTTAATACTTATCTTTTCCGACATGTAGATAATTGACACTGCATAAATCCAGATCCTCTTTATGCCATGCAAAAAAGGTTTTCCAAGAACCAACATAAATGTATGGCTCATTCACTCCAGGTATTCGGTTCTTTAATCCATAATTTAAAAGACTGGTAACATTATTTAAATTCCAAGAATTATTTACTTCCATTAATGATAATTTAATATCAGCTCCATATAAAGGAGGACTAAAGGCTAAACTTTTCCAGTATAATTTCTCGTATTAATCAGATGTTAGTTTTTCATGTTATTTATCAATCTCTAATTGTTTATTTCTGTAATCTTTTAATGGCATGGATTTTTTGAGAATGTGAAGACATTCATAGTTACCTCCTTTTCCATAAACATTCTACTCAATGGGACCATGGATGATAAGATTATCAAGTGATACATTATAATCCTGTAAACGAACTCTAAAGTTCTTAGGAGGAATGACCTGTTATTTATTCAAATGTTAGAAATTACTTTCACCATACCAAAGTCTGCCGAATACTATTTATCAATTTTCTCAATGTATTCATAGAAGTTTTCAAACTCTTACTGAGTAGGTCTTAAAGTTGGACACTCTTCGATATTAATCATGTATTAAATAATTCTTAAAAATCTTGCAATCAAACAATGCCTTTCAATACCCCGGTGTGAACAATATATATATATTATTATAGACTCGCTCTATAGAACTATATATTCTTATGGACTCCATCTATAGAAGTCAAATAATCCTATTCTTTAACTAATTAAATTCCCTATTAAGTTCAAATTCTAATTATTCTAACAACTCTCTTTATGTCCCCCCCCCCCTGCATTATATTAATTAATTCCAACTCATTAGAATCATTTATTCATTATGAATTAATGCGATTAAATTCATCTCACAAGCATGATTGTCTTAAAATTTCATATTCAATACATTTTCCAAAATTTGTTTCCTTCTTATTCTTCTTTAACAATATATTCCCCGCCAAATTTATGTATCAGTATTTTTAAACTCTTCTATGCTTTGATCTGGTGCTTAATTTTAGTTAGTGTTAATAGATTTCGCCTTATTTTGAAGTGAGAATGATATATCAATCATTATATTATAAATTCTACATAAGAACTCCTTCGATAAAGTGGTCAATCAAACTATTGTTAGCTTTTCAGAAAAATTAACTATAATAGTATGGTTTGTTTCCTATGATTTTTTATGATTAGTTTAGCATGTCTATTTTATCTCATCAAATCATCTCATAGATTTCTTATTTCAATTTTTAATCTCTATATTTTTTATTAAGAGAAGCCATCTCCAATAGAATAAACAATTATAATAGATATTACTTAGACTACAATATGATAATTTAGTATAAAATTATCATCTAACTTTCTAATGGTTTAGAATCAACATAAATTTAAATTATATTTGTACATACTACTACAAATATTATTATACATAAACGTGTACTTACAAATTAACTATTAATTTAAATGAATAATAATGCTCTTGCATAAATCAGAAAATTACAAGCTGGGGAAAATAGATATTGCTTTGAGTGTCAAACTGGAAGTCCAACATGGGCTAGTTTACCTTATGGAATTTATCTTTGTTACAATTGTTCAGGTTTTCACAGAGGGATGGGTGTACATCTTACATTTGTTAGATCAATTGAAATGGATTCCTGGACTGATAAATAATTGGCTATGATGCATTTAGGTGGAAATCAATAATTAAGAGTCTTTTTCTAATAATATGGAATTTAAATTTCAGATTAAAACAAATGGAAAACAAATGCTGCACATTATTATAGAGAAAGAGTAAGCTTTAATAATTTTAAATTATTTAGATGAAAGCATTAGTTAATGAAACACAAATGCCTGAAGAACCTATTGATTGGACAGCATTACAAGAGATCCCAAAACCATAAATATAATAATAACAATAATAAACTTAAATTTAACAAGATATCACTCCAGAATAAAATGTACTTCATCGTTGCATATAATAGTTCTGGGAATAAGCATCAAAATCAACAAAAGAAGCATTTGCAATTATTGATGAGAAGATATCTAAAGTTCAAATCAAAGAAGAGGCAGTTTAATTTGGATAATAAATTTCAGCAAAAACTAAATAAATTGGAGTATATTCTTATTATAAGAAATAGGAAAAATCAACAAAGATTGCAGATAAGGCATACAAGAGTTTAAAAAGTGGATTTAATGAAGCTTTTGGGTTTATAAAATCTAAGGCTGATTAAGTAATTGGAAAAGAAAAATAAGCACAATAAGAATAATCTTAAGATTAGTAATAATAATAGTAATAATAGTAATAGTAATAATAATAATAATAATAATAATAATAATAATAATAATAATAATAATAATAATAATAATAATAATAATAATAATAATAATAATAATAATAATAATAATAATAATAATAATAATAATAATAATAATAATAATAATAATAATAATAATAATAATAATAATAATAATAATAATAATAATAATAATAATAATAATAATAATAATAATAATAATAATAATAATAATAATAATAATAATAATAATAATAATAATAATAATAATAATAATAATAATAATAATAATAATAATAATAATAATAATAATAATAATAATAATAATAATAATAATAATAATAATAATAATAATAATAATAATAATAATAATAATAATAATAATAATAATAATAATAATAATAATAATAATAATAATAATAATAATAATAATAATAATAATAATAATAATAATAATAATAATAATAATAATAATAATAATAATAATAATAATAATAATAATAATAATAATAATAATAATAATAATAATAATAATAATAATAATAATAATAATAATAATAATAATAATAATAATAATAATAATAATAATAATAATAATAATAATAATAATAATAATAATAATAATAATAATAATAATAATAAGCTAATTATTTTTTTGATAATCAATAATAGTTTTAGATCAACAGTTAAAATTAACAACAATAAATTACAGTTAATAAAAATAATAATTCTTAAGATTTATTTTCTTTTGAAAATAATATTAATTAAAAACCTTCTCAAGAAAACCAAAATTAATAATAATAAATGAATATTATGGATTATTCTGATTATTTCACAGATGGTCCCTCTTCAGTTATCATTTATGAAACTCCAATCTATAGTTAGTAAAAAAAATAATAAGATAATTTAATTGATTTAATGCAAGATATACAATAACCTCAACAAATAAGTGGAACACCCAATTTACTTGATTTATGAAATTTTTCTTCATCACAGCATCTATTAATATTCATTGTTTTATCATTATTAATTTAACTAAGGAAATAGGATTCATATGTTTTTGTTGGAGATGGAAATGTTTTTCGAAGTTTTGTTATTCTCTCTTCACTTAATAGCTTTTTGATCTCATAATTTGGATCTTCATTTTCTTAACTTATAGTGATAGTCAAAGAAGATTTTTTGGGTTAAGAGCATGTTATACCCATTTATTTTTTTAGCAGTTAAAAAATAATTAAATAATAATTAATAAAGAGTTCAGAGTGTTTGATTTCTCAATCTATTCAAATATTATCTTAATTTAATTCTAAATTAATGGCACAAAATGATTCTGAAGCAACTAAACAATCTAATGAACTCGTATCCGATTCAAAGAAAATAATGAAAAAATAAGGACACTGGAATGAAATAGAACACAAAACTTATCTTAAATTTCTCTAAGAAAATAACAATCATACTAAAGGATAAAGATTATTTAAGAAAATGAGTTAAATTGTAGGCACAAGGACTCCAAGTTAGTGTAGGTATATTAGAACACTATAAGATCGCATCATCAAAAATTCAATCCGTAAAAGACTAAGTGCCTTTCAGAAACGGGTATTTTGAGATCCAAACAGTATGCTCGACAATATTTTGCTTAACATAAAACACTAGACAATGATAGCGAATGATATTGTTTTTATGATATACTGTAAGATTCTTCTTTACAGAATCGAAATTTCATACTAAGATCTAAGAGAAGATAAATTTTCGCAAAAAAAATTAAATAACAAAATATTTTCTTTATTGTCATCTTGCCTTCTTCGATTTTTTCGATCTTATTTATTAGCTCTCTTCTGCAAATTATTCAATATTAGTATCTGCCTCTCTCAAACCAAAATCCTAATTTTTCAGATTAGAATTCTTGTCATCCTTACAAGCACTATAATTTTATGTCTATTCATCTTTTTTATTTGAACTCATTTTCTTAACAGTTCTTACAAATTATAATTCTTTGTATTCAAATTCATTTTCATTTTTTTACTTTTTATATATTTCTATAGTATTTTTTTTTAAAGTTTTATACTTTTCAGCATACTTTCTAATTATTACATAATATTTTTTACTCATTCCATTTTTCTATTGCCTCTTTATAATCTTTCAATTTCCTTTCGAAATCAACCTCTAATTGCTCTCGAACTCTTTAAGATTATTTACAATATTCTTCAACCAAAAGTGAGAAAGACTATTTCCAATTGAAATTTTTAGATGAAAATTTATGTCTATTTTTAATTACATAATCAAATTAAGGAGTGAGAGGTCTTTTTGGTTTTGAAGGTATATTTTTGAGTTCATTCAATTAGTTGATATGCCTTTAATCTCCTCCATAAAAGTATATGAGCTACTCTTAAAATTTATCTTCACATTATTCAAATTAATCTTCATAATATTCATGCATCTCAGATGACATTTCTGACCATGCTTTTTAGATTTGAGCGCCAACCATATTTATACCAACTCCTTAACTCAACATTATTTTAAGTTGCTCTTTATAAAATATTTGATATGGGGAGATGTATTATCTTTTTGGAGGTTGATTTAATTTTCCACTTCGAAGCTACATAAATTTAATTTAACAATTTCACTCATAAATTAGCAATATTTCTATAAGAGTTAAAATTTATCTAAATATTTTAGTTATATAAAATCCATTTATTTATAGTTAAAGATAGTAAATACATATATGGTAGATAGAATTCAATATGAAAGTTGTTTAAACATAATAATATTTATAAAATTAATATTTTGTATAAAAATTAAATGAGATTAAGGCTAGTTTGTAAATAATTGTTTAATACATAAAAGAAGGTTCCCCCAAAACCTTCAAGTATTATGGGTGCACAACTTTCTGAAAAATAAATGAATGAATTGATGAATCCTTTAGGATTTTTAAAAGAAAATGAAAAAGGAGAGGTGTAAGAACAAATAGAGAAGGCAAAGGAATTAAAGGAGTTAATTGAAAAATACAAAATAAATAAGAATCAATAGAGTGGAAGTGAAAAGAAACCATATGAATTAGATAAAAATGGGATGCCACCTGAGGTAGGATTCAAAGTTAAAGGTCCTGAACCAACTAGATATGGAGATTGGATTGGAAGGGGAAGAGTAACAGATTTTTGAGATGGTCAAAATTTTAGATATTTTATTTTAATTTAAAATAAATGGAGTATTGTGATTCGTGCAGGGCTGTATTGAATGAGAGACATTTATTGCAAGACTAATTGGCCAGGCTTCAAAATGAGTTGGAAATAGTTGCGACATAACTTAAGTTGTTGAGGGAGGAGAATGAATTATTAAAGAGTAACATAAAAGTGCCTAATAAATAAAGACGTAAAAACAATAGGACGAAAGCCGAGCTTGAATAATGTTAAAAGGAGATTAAAAAATTGCAAGTGATAATCTAACACAAAGATATGATTATCCAGAGCCAAGTACGATGTGATATAATTAGTGAAAGCTCAATTATAGATATGGACTTAGTGAAGAAGAAGGTGAATCTTTGAATATAAAAATGTATATATGTCATATACTAATTTCAATGTTAGAGAGTTTTATGGAGTTTAACATATGGAGTTCGATTTTCTTGTTCAATTCAATAGTTATAATGAAGTAATGTGGTTATTTAAAATTAGAGTAGAGTTTTAATTATTACAGTCTCTTCATGCATTTAGTCATTTGAATAGTGATTTGATAAACTTGATAAAGCGCTTTTGCTTCTTTTATAGGAACCTTCAAAATGTATACTAAGACATTTATAAACAACTTCTACTTTGCAATTCCTGCATAGCTGTGGATAAGAAATTATAAATAACGCAAAAATCTTTCAGAATGCAAGTCCCCAATTAAAGAAGGAGTGGTGATTCTCTGCAAAGTAAGTAATCTAATAATTTTACAACCTAATAAATTGAATATGTTACTTAAGACAATTCCTATAGTATCTAAGCTAAGGGATATAATATTTGGATTTGAACAAATAATTCATATTTCATAAATTTCTCAATATTATCAGTTTCAATAAACTCTATAACTTCTTTATAGTAATCAAAGTTTTCGCATAATTTGAATAAAAAATTATAATAGTAAATAGCCAATCTAGACTTATCTGTATCATCTCCAGGTATGAGCTTATTTTAAATAAATCTAATGGCAAATTCTTGTTAGAGTTAATAGATCAGTTTGTGACAAAGTACTAAAAACTTAAAAGATCCAATTGTGCTTAATGAACTTTGCAGTACTTCAAAAAATTTGTGGAAATGCTCTTCTTTATTATTCCCTTTTAATTCATCAACAACACCTATATCAAGTTGAATGTCATAATTACATTAGATATGCAATTCTTGTAATTCAGAGTACCTTTTACTTTTTTTATATTTCTTTAAGATCTATTATAACCAATATAATATCAATAAAATACATGGATGAAGTCGGTCTAAGCTCCTTGAATCATAATTAGGTAATTTTAGATTTAATGTTCTAATTTTTTTATTTATAATATACTGAGTAAAAATTAAAATGAGTAAACAATATCTAAAATTATAATTGGAAGAAAATGATTTTCAAATATATTCTAGATTAAACTAATGAATTAAAATCTTAAAAGATAATTACTAGTTTCTATACTATTATAACTTTATGTATAAGAATAATTTAAAGAAGGAAAAACTTACAAATTTAACATATCATTATTCTTTAAATAATCTTTAGAGGTCGAAAATATTTCTTAAATAATTTTAATGGGAGAACTAATAAAAGCGAATAAGTAAGAAAATAAATTATCTTAAAGATTCTTAATTCCCTTCACAATCAGCAACCTAGGGTTTAATTATTCTTACTTAGATATCAGAATAATTTTTGATTAATTGCAATAAAGAATATCTAGATATTTTTTGTTCAAAATTCTATTTTTAAGAAGATTAAAGAGTCAACCTTCTATAGTGATGATTAGTGTTTGAAACAGAGAATAAATGTTAGATTAGATTACTTCACTAATATTAGAATATATCCTTTATAAGGAGAGGTGTTTGTAATATTGATTAATAAGAAATGGCTGTATCTATTTCAAACTCTATTCAATCACTGATATTTTAATATTATTGGTATCTTTAATATATAATAAAGTCAGAATTTATTTTAAATCTAAAAATATTAAAATGTATTGTTCAACCTTTCCCAAAGAAATATTAAGGAATACTCTGGTTCTTAAATAAAATTATTATCAATTAATATTAAATGATTTAATAAATCTTGATTGAATAAAGTAATTCGTTCAAAATATACATCTAAATTTTGTAATTTAGAAAATTAATATATTCTTCTAATTTTTCATTTTAATACAGCTTCAACATCATAAGAAATCTTATTGAATATAGATTGAAATTAATGGTAAAAATTACTTATTAACTTAAATAGATTAATTTTTCTTTAAAATAATATTAAAAGCAGTCATATTTTCTAATTAAACTTATATTTAAGTAGAATTAAACTTATAACTTTAATTTCAATCTTTATTGAATAATTTTTACTCTAAAATCAAGTATTTTATGCAATAATTGTTAGTAGATTTATTCTGAATTATTGAAATAAAATAAAATTATTTTATTTAAACTTTAAATATTAAATATTAAAGCTAAAACTATTATTTTTACTAGAATATAAGGTTTAACTTATTCAAATAGAAAATTATAGATACAAACTTCATCAATCAAAAATGATTTTAATACTTTCAATATTATTCTTAAAACATTGTTTGAATGCAATAGAAGCATTTAAAAATTATAAAATTAGCTTTTACTTTATGAATTAATGTATAATGTTTGAAAAGAAAGTAATTATAAGATCCTATAGAAAAGTATTATATATATGTATTATAGATGTATTTATGCGGATATTTATAAAACATATATGATTATATGCTCAAAAGCCACCTCTCAATTGAATGACCATATGGACTGTGTCTCCAGCTGACATTTAAGCATCAGAGATTTTATATTCTTCTTATAAATGTCTTCCCTTAAATATCAGCTAAATAATTGAATGTCTGTTATGCATACCTTAAATTATTCTGAGCTAATTCCTTCTTTTTCTTATAATTGCATTTTAAGTTATTGAATTGTATTATCAGCTTCTATGTTGTATGAAACCTTCTTGCCAGCTAAAGTCTTAATAAAAATTTGCATCTATTTAAATTAAATAATAATTAATAATGTTTTGTTTGTGCTTTTAATAAATAAATTGACAAGACACCTGATCAATACTGTCATTTCATTTGTGAAATTTAATATGCTTTGTAATTAAAAGGGATGTTACATATTTAAATAAATGAAAAATAATAGAGGATGTGAAATTAATCTAATTATTTAGCATTATATTTGATTTTAATTCAAATTATAAAATATACATGTTAGAATATCGTCAAAATAACATCTAAGTTATAGTAAGAGTAAAGCCTGAATAGGGTTGTATTTAGGTTGACGAGTGTGATTCGACTTCATTATAGATATCTAACAAGCAATATCATTATGATCATGTGATTCCTCCAAAGGCTTCATAACAAGATGTCTTTACATTGATAGGTCAACCACTGATTAACAATGCCTTACAAGGTTATAATGGGTGTGTCTTTGCATATGGTCAAACAGGAAGTGGTAAAACTCACACCTTAATTGGTAATAATGATGGATTACTTCCATAATGTTTACAATATATTTTTGCTTGTTCTATTGAAGATCACAATGTTATAATCAAAGGTTCTTATTTAGAAATCTATAATGAATAAATATTTGATTTACTCTCATCATCTTAAAATTCTTTATAAATAAGAGAGGATCCAAAGAAAGGGATTTATGTAGAGAATTTGAATGCAACAGTAATATCAAATTACGATGAAGCTATTGCCTTATTAAGAAAGGGCAATTCAAATAGACATATTGCTGCTACTAAGATGAATAGTGAAAGTTCAAGAAGTCATGCAGTATTTTTAATTCAATATTCTACTTCAATTTAATAAGAAAAATGTGAAGTGCATTTATATTCAAAAATGTACTTTGTTGATTTGGCTGGATCAGAACGTTAGAAGACAGCATAAACAGAAGGATAACGTTTGAAAGAAACTTAAGCAATAAATAAAAGTTTAACTTAGCTTGGATTAGTCATTTATGCAATTGTAGAGAGAGAAAAAGGAAATAATAAAATTCATATTCCATTTAGAGATTCTAAACTTACTACTTTATTGAAAGATTCACTTGGAGGGAATTCAAAGACATTTATGGTGGCTGCTGTTAATCCATTACATGAAGAGGAAAGTATTTCAACTTTAAAATTTGCAGAAAGAGTTAAATAAATAAAAGTTAAAGCACATGTAAATAAAGAGTATTCAGGAGAAGAAATTACTAAATTAAATCTATAGATTTAATAACTTAAAGAAGAATTAGTTAAGAAATCAAGAGAATTAGAAAATGTTTAACCAAGTGATGCATTATAATCTTAATTACATATGTAATTTGATGAAATTTAGAAATTACTTTAACAAATACATAAAAGTGCTATATAAATGGAATTAGAAACTGTTGAGGGATAATTGTAGGAGTATGCTGAAAAGAAGAGTTATATAATTTAGATATTAAAATCATTAAATTTATCATTTAAAGAAGAGGAAACTACTAATTATTAAACATTGAATGAAAACATAGAATATTAAAATAAATTGAAAATATAATTATTACAATAGGAAGATGTAATTTATAAATTACAAAAAAAGAAAAAGGAATTAGAATAAAATATTATTGATTAATAATAAGCTCATAAAACTATATTGGCTTCAACATTAAAAGGTTTTGAAGATTAAATAAAGATGAAAGATTATCTTTATGATTAAATAAAAGAAGATTTAGATTAAATGGAGGTTTCTAAATTGTCATTGTAACATCAAAATGATAAATTAAAAGAAGAAGTTTAATAATATATTGAAAAGATTGAATAAATGTAAATTTAATTATTTTAAAATTAATAACATTAATCTACTATTTATGAAGAGAAGAATTAGAATATATAAAAATTAGATTAAGATTTATAATAATAAATTGAATATAATTCTTAATTGAGATTATAATTAGAATAAATTCATGTAGAAATCTATTAAAATAATTAATAATTCTAAATTGAAACAAATTAATTAAATTCATAAATTCAATAATAACAATTAGAAATTAATAGATTATTAGAATGGGTCTAGAAATTAGAAGCTGAAAATATTAATATTAAATCTAATAATGATTTTAAAAGAGAATATGATTAATTGACATAATAATACTCTAATCTAAAAACTTAATAATAACATTTAGAATAAGAATTGAAATCTTTGTAAACTGAAAATTAATATAATTTAAGTGTTATAGAGAATTTAGAAATCTCTATTTAATCATTTGAATTATTTGAAGATAATTTAAAATAAGAAAATTAATTATATCGAAATACTATTCTTGAATTGTAAGAATAATTAAATTAAAAATAAGAAATATTCTTAAATATACAAAAATCATTTAAATTAGATAATTGTGAAAATATTATTAATGAATTAAATAATAAAACAAATTAACTTTATAGAAATGAATAAAAATTAAGATAAGAATTATCATAATTGAAGTCAGAATAATAATTGTATATCTAAAAATTATAAATTAGAGATTAAACTATATCAGATTTATAAAATGAATTATAAGATTTATAAAAAACTCATAGAACAAGTGAAGTATAAAAATAAATAGAATAAAATGAAAAAAGTTAGAGTTAAAGATAATTGGAATAAAAAATAGCATCATTGAAATTAGAATATGATAAAATTAACAAAGCTAAAAATGCATTATTAGTTGAATATACAAAATTAGAAAATAACTAAAAGGAATTTGAAACATTCTTATTAATCCTAGAAAAGAAACTATAAGATTATGTGTCCAATACCTTTAGAAAAAATAGAGTAATGAGTTAAGAATAATAAATTTTATATTTGAAAACTACCTAAATTAAACAATCTAAATTTGTAATCATAGAGGCTTTAGTTGATATAGTCATAGTAATAAATTATAATAAATTTAGTTAGATACAATTGATAGATAAATCAGAACCTTTTCTTAGATAAGAATAAATTGAATGTTTATAGTTTCATAAATTAATTTTTGATTTTTATAAAAGAATCATTTTAAGTAATATAATCTCTATCCAAGTATATTACCATTTTTAATTATTCTATATAGTATAAAGAAATCATTATTATATAAAAAATTTCAATAGCATAATTAACAACATAAATTAAAATATACATATATGGTATGATAAATTATTAATTTTGGAAATATTATAATACTTAAAGTTATTAAATAAATTTTTCTTGATATTTGCCTATGAAAATGAATATTTTATATAGTATTTAATTAATTATTTACAAAAGCTTTCCATTTTTATTTATATTAAAAAATTAATATTTGAAGCATGTTTTATTATAGTTCTCCCAACAATATGAATTATCATCATCTTGTGCTTGAAGTAGCACTTAAATAGAACACAACTCTAATTTTAACAAGTGAATGTCCTTCCCATTTTCAATCTTGTTTATTGAAATAAGGAATAAAGATGGATGATTTAGTTAAACAATAAAAATTATAGTAAGATTAATATTTATACAGAATCATAGATTTATTCACATAAAACTCTTTATGGCAAGATGAAGAATTACCTTTAACTGAAACTACTCCTAAATTATGGTCAGATCCATAACCCTTTTAAAAGGATTTGTAGAATTATTTATTGAGTTAAGTTAAGTAGAGAGTAGTTATTTTGGAAAATCTATCCTTCTTTGAAATAATGTGTAATGAAAGATAACTAAAACCTTTAAAAATTATAGAAGAATTATTATCAAAATGTGATTAATTACATATTTTTGGTTCTAAATAACCATTAAGTTAAGAAAGTGTTTCTATAATCAATTTTATCATAAAGCACTCAATAAGTGTGACAAATTTATTACCAAATCAATCTGGATTCTCAAAAGATATTGATGGTTAAATGATTATAGAAACAAGACATGATTCAGGAATATGTTTTGAAAAATCAATCTATAATTTAGATTAAAATAAAGTTAATTATTTGAGTGCTTTGAAAATGATATGAATATCAAAAAAATTATTATTCATTTATAAAAATCTTTGACTATTTTCTTTTTATTTTTTTTTCTAAATTAGCTTATTTTAATGTTTCTTTTTATTTATTATGTCTATTTACTTTAATCCATAATTTTAAATTCAACAGAAGGTCTTTTATCTATCTTAAATTTCAATATTCTTCTTTGGATGTATTGTCATAATTTTGATATTGTTTAACCATATATACCTCTTTTGAATATATACTCTCCTTTTCAAATGTAAAAACAATTTTTTAGCAACAAATACAAAATTTATAAAATTATAATTATTATAAAATATTTAATAATATTCTTTCACAAATATAAGGTAATTGTATTTCCTTAAAAAATTATATTAATTTTTAAAAAAAATTCAATTTAACAGAGTACCAAGAAACTTAGTTCCTAAATTTATTAAAGAATCAATATAATTAGATTTGTTACTATTATATCTAAATAAATTCATATTTTATTAAGGGAAATTAAAGTATGAATAATTATATGAAAGAAAAAATATATATGATTTATAAATTTGATTATATTTAAGAATGTTTGAAATACTTAAAGATTAAAATATAATTAGAATTTAAAGAAATAGTTTTGTTAAAAAATTAAATTACTTTTATTTTTATTATTGAAAATAGTATCTTTCATTTAAGTTCAAAATCATTTTGATGAATTTTATGAAATGAATGTCCTTGCACTTAAATTTATGTTCCAAAAGTTGGTTTTTTAGGATGAAAACCTATAAGATCCTATGTTGCTGTATTCCGTTTACTGCCAATTCTAGTCTATTTAGGAGATTTTGATGAATGCCCCTTTTTTAAATCAGTAGTTTATAACTATGGCTCATCACTAAAATATATATAGAAATATTTTTTACATAAGTTTCAATTTTCTTTTTATTCTTAAAGCTTTATTCATTGCCAAATTATTAAAAGTATATAATGAAAAAATATTTCCGAAATTTTTCCTCTTATCCATATTTAATTTTAGAGTCCTTATAGCTCTTGCAACCACAACTTTAGGATTATTCCAACTAAAATAGTATTAGAAATTCTTTAATGCTTCAAATCCCTCTAATTCCATTGATATATATTATTCATCATAAAGAGGAATAGATAATTCTTAATTTTAAGTATGAGTATGATTATCTTAAACTTTAGTTTTAAGTGTTTTAGCTGTTTTACTTCTATTAGTTTTGGTTGTTCTTCTTCTTAATTGATCTCTCTTGTCTACAGACTGAACTGAAGGATATAATGGAATTTCTTATGACATTTCTCTTATTTCTTTTAATTTAGGTTTGCGTATAGGATTTTAATTCTGATTTTGAACTGATTATCCTCTCTCCCTTACATCAACTTAAGTTTGAGAAGAGAAAGGTTTATAAGAATCCTCTTTTTTCTATTTACGAACTAGAGTAATTTTCCTACCAGGTGTTCTAGCATTTTCAGTTGGATTTGGAAGTCCAAGGGAATCATTTTTCATAGAAAATTTATAATCTTCTAATTTTTAAAGATTAGATTAAGAAACATTAGATGTTGGTTTATCATGAATAGAGTCTGTAATTTACTCTTCTTAGATAGATACAAGTCTATTATGAAGAGATTCACTAACACCAAATCCAGCAGTTTATATAGTTTATTTAACTTATTTAACTCTTGGTTTATTAGGACTGACACTATCTTTGGAACTATCACTTTCTTAGATAGGTTATAAATGATTATCTTATGAATAACTTCTATTTTATGATTGTTATCTAGAGATTTTGGATAAACTTTTAGTAAGAGATGCTAAAAATGTAAGAATAAAAAGTACAATATTCTTAAGGTGATATATCTTATTCATTATCATCATATGATACATCTAATTCATCATCCATAACTGTTACATTATCTAAGACTTATTTGGTTTGAAAATCTCTTATTAATACCATTGTTTTTTTGCATTCTTTGAGAGTTTCAAACTTTTTGCGTTCTGATTTTCTTTGAAAAGTTTGATTCCTCTCTTATAAGATAGGGAAGTATTCTTTTTTTAATATACGTTCTTAATCTGCTACATAATGCAAGACTGGACAATCTTTAATGAGATGAGTGAATTTTTAACAAGAATAACAACTTAATTTAGAGGGTTAATAATTATTGGAGAGTAAAATACTATCTCTTACTTCACAAAATCTTTCCTAATTGATAATATTTATACTATTTACCAAATCTAATGGAGTTTATGCTAATACAATAAGTAATTATTATCTGGGTATTTTGTAAGCTCTTGAAAATCCTACACTTTTAGCAGATGCAGTTCTATTCATACCTGTGAAAAATGAATACTCACCAAAAGATTATCCTTTTGTAAGATATGATAATGCTCTTGTATTACTTCCTTAGTTATCATCTTAAAATTATATACATACTATCCCTTTGGTAATTATATATAATGCAGCATCATCACAAATACCTTATTGTAATATTTAATCTTCAGGTGAAAATCTAACTTCTTCTATTTAAAGAGACAATTATTTTAAAACCTTTTAAGAAAATTTAGTTAAAACTTTATTAGTTTTCATAACATTGTAACGTATTTCAAAATTAAGTTCTTCTTATAGACTACTTGATAATTTTGTAGTAATTTAAGAAACCTCTTCATCATTAATTTCTTACTCTTCTTAAAATATATAATCATAATAGTTTCTAATACGTGATTACAATTCAATTTTAATTTAATTCTTAACCAAATATTAATTTAATAAGTTGATACTTTTTTTATATAAAACTTATCTAGAATTTAGATTACTCAACATTAATCCAATAGAATTGAATGAAAATGCAAATACTCCACAAGCTAAAAACATACTTAAATTAGCACAAATTCTTTCTGCATTATTTTATGGAGTTAAATCACCATATCCTACAGTGATCATTGTTTATACTGCCCAATAAAATGCATAATTATATATTGAAAACATATCAGGTTCTTTAACATATTCATCTATCCAAGTTTATCTATAACCTTATTAATAAAAAGCAACACCATGCCATAAACAAGCAAATAAATGTCCTACATATAACACCATAAATAGTAGTTTAATTAATTCAATAAAATCTTAGTATGAACCGGTGAAATTGAAAAACCTAAAATCATTCATATGCCATTTACTCTTCCAATTTATGCACTCGTCCTTGTAATTTAAATAATCGACAACAATAATATATACAATAAGGACACAATTGCCAACCTAATTTTTCACTTGATGTGTCTATCTCAAATTCTATTGCTATCAAAAGGGCACCAAAAGAAAACTATATTAATTATATTTACTATTTATACCAAATCATAAACTGCTTATCCTTCAAAATAATTCATAAATATTTTCCTTCTTGATTTTATTATTACTCCTTTCTCTATATATGATGTATTTATCACTATTAATGCATCTATTATTATTGTTATTAAAAAATAGTTTTCAACATTCTTAACTGATACACCAGCAAAAACTATTTGTTGATATGTGATACCAAATGATATATTAAATGGAGTCCAAAAAAATACTGTTATAATAGTCAAAATATGAATAATTTACCAACCTATTACTAAATAACTACTTTAATCTAGAATTGGAAAGAATCTTAAACGTTTACATATTGTACTTAACCAATGTTTTGAAGATCTGTTGTGCTAATAAATGTACCTTAAATCATCCATTAAAGTATTTTAAAATTATGAAAAATGTGATGGCTTCTTTATATAAGATTTTTGCAACATGTTTTCAATAAATCGATTTGTATAACTTTTTGCAATCACAGCTTTTAAAAAATTTTTCATCATGTCTTTTTGCGTTGAATTTGTTTAACTTAAATCCTTTAAATCCTTAGTATCCTTCTACTATTCAGGTTTCTAAGTGGAAAATAAAGGATTTTCTTCAACTATAGAGTCAGGTGGTGATAACTATAGTAATCTAGGAACTTTATTAACATCCAATTATTGTGATTATTGTGAAATAGCATTATCAATATATTAACTTCCAACTGTAGGTGGTTTTACTGTATGATCTCCCTCTTCTAGAGGATCTATTTTACATGTAAATCGAGATGGGCCTCTAAATTATTTATTATTTGATTCCTCTAAATTACTGATTATTCTGCTACCATGATGTTGCTCTGCATTGTAACTATATTCATACTCAAAAAAGAAATCAGAACTCATTAATTAATTTATATAACTAAATTCTCAATTTAAAATCTCATACACCTTATAAATTTATTCTAACCTAATTCATATGAACATCTTAAATTATACAAATAAACAATAAGAATCTAATATACATAAGTATAATCAAACACCTTTTAAATTAAAAATATATTGTTTTTTTAAATATTATTTGTTGTCTTATTTTACAAGCTTAAACAAAAGAATGCTATTTAATTATGAATTCAATTCATTCTTAAAATCTTTTTACTTCTATTTCCATAAATCATCTTCCTAGTTTTATTATAAAATTAATAGAACAGAATTTATTATTAAAATAAAATAAATACTTCTATTAATAAGAATTAGAGATTTGTTTTAATTTTATTTATATCTCTCCTAAATAATTTGATGGATCTATTTATTATAAATTAACCTAAATTTAATTATTATTCAAAAAGTTTCTATACTACCTTTTTTTTATTAATATTTTCCTTTCATATATAATATAAAGAATATATATAAAAATTATTAAAAATTATTTATTAAAATCTTAGTCTTTCTATAACTTTTATAATAAAGAATCTATAGATGGTTTCCAATTTCTTTAATTCATTTTTTAGTATTGTTTTTACTAATAATGAAAGTCTATTTACCTTCTTAATTATCATTTAATATAAATGATGAATATTATATTAAACTGTCCTTCATAAATTGAATCATAATTAAACTAGATTAAATTTAAAATATACTAAAGTAGTATATGATATGAATTAGAACACATCAATGAAGTATAATTTAACATAATTAGAATTTATGTAGAAAAAATTATTCAGAACATTTATAAAATCTTTCAAATTATGCTCCAGGCGATTCATTACAATATCAATTTGGATTTATTTTTGTTAAAACTATATATACAAATCATGGGTTTACTTTAGAAAAAAGTTATTGAATTAATAGGTTGGCATATATAATATTTTTAAAAATAATATCTAATTTCTTGTAGGTTTCATATATTCTAACTCTAACCTTTTCTTATATACTTTAAATTTTGATTTTTGAAAACAAGATGTAAATATTATTCATTCATCTATATTAAATCATTTTTATTACTAAAAAATTAAAGTTTGCTTCTTCCTATTCAAGAGAGATCAAAAGGAAACTTATATATAGCATAAATGAGTAATATATGTTAAAATACTAATATATTTTAAACAATTTAAAATGAAAAGTTGTTCAAATATTTCTAAATATTTTTAAGATTGCGTTTCTGTATTATAGATGCCATTAAGGATCTTTTATCTTTGAATTAAAGACATAGGTGACATACTGTTTCTTAATAAAATACCAACTAAAATATAAAAAATTATTAATACCATATTTTTCTAAAACATTGATGTAGAGAGTTGACTTCTGGATTTTTATGTGGTTTTATAAGTCTAAGGAGTGATGGTAAGTTTAAAATATTTTTATTTTTCTTAATAAAAGAGATAAATGTCTTGAGGTTACATTAGATGAGATCATTGTAGTATCCTTTTAGAATTTGTTAAGTGATGACCTTAGAAATGTTTTTTGGTATGTTTTTAGACTTTATAGATTTATTTAACCTAGGAGCAGTCTTTTTAATGGGGAGTTTTGTCAACACCATCTTTCTCATCTCAACTTTCCAATTAATTCTTCTTTAACATGTTATAGGTGTATCACAACTATCGTTGTTTTTATTAAGAATAGTAAGATTATCTTCCAATGATTGTGTGACACTCATGTTCTATAAATTAATTAATTATTGTTATGAAAATTTGAGTGACATATAAATACACTTATCGTTTGGTGTTATAAAGTATTAGTTAGTTACATCAAAACTTTGAATTCCCTTATTGATTCCATCCAATATTACATGAAGATAAGATTCAGTCTATAACATATAATCATAATAACATTATGTAGGATTTAGAGTCGGCATTTATTTAGGTTTTTTCCAATAATTGAAACTTAATATTTAAATTAATAAAAAGAGAAAAAAATTAACAATCTTAAAAAAACAATATCCCTAGTTTTAGGATGATCTATTAATCTGAATTATGGGGAGAGTTGAAAATAATGATTTTATAAATTTAATACTATATGATATTTATTATTATAATTTGTCATAATATTAAATTATGTAATTTAAATATTTTATTATCAATTATAAATAAAATACCTTTTATTATCGTTTCTATTTAATTAATAATACATACAAAATATATTAATGCTTATCATTTAGAATAAAGTTAATATATTTCATTAATCTTTAAAATACTTAACCATTTTATATATTAGTTATTTTAATAACTTAATAACTTGGCAATTCAATTTAAATATCACTAAATTATAATCTAAATACTAAACATCCTGGCATGAAGAATATTAAGTCTTTTAAAATTTTAGTCTTTTGAAAAAGTATTTTAAATGAAAAATTAGAAAATAGTTTAAAACTAAAGAAATAAGAATAGATAAATATAGAAATAGCAGAATTTCTAAAATTAGAGCTTTAGAATACTATTTTTAAAAAGCTTATTTTAATTCTCAATTTAGTTTTTTTTTAATTATTTTTTATTAAATTAATACAATATTTTATGGCAAGACCAATTAAATCAATTATTGAAACTTTGCTTTATTAAATTTGGATAGTATTGATGGGAATCTCTATTTATTTAATTTATAGAGCTGTAACTTAGGATTATTGGTTGATACCTATTTTATTAGGATTTATTGTATTTTAATCTAAAGTTTAGAAAAGTAATTTATTTGTTTAATTTCTAAAATCTTTGGAAGTTATGAAATTTTTCAATAAAAATTCTATCTAAACTTTAGAAAAAGTTAGAGATAAAAATGTGATAGTAAGAATAAAATTTAATCTTAGTTTGCTTTTCATCCACATGGTATTTATAGCTATTCAACTATATCAAACACACATACTCCTGGAACATTCTTTGAAAATATGGTATTATTAGGATCAAATATGGCATTGCTATTTCCAATAGCAGGATTATTTTTGAAATTCTATGGTATTCAAGGAGCAAATCCAGACAATTTTAAGAGATTATTATCATCTGGAGCATAAGTAGGATTATTACCTGGAGGTTTTGAAGAGGCAACAATGACATCTCCAAAAGAAAACAGAATATTTATAAAATAAAGAAAAGGATTTATTTATTATGCATTGAAATATGGTACTATAATATACCCTGTATTTGTATTTGGAGAAAATACTCTATTTAATACAATTGATTGGTTCCTTCCTCTTAGACTTTGGTTAAACAAATTCAAATTAGCAGGAACTGTTTTTTGGAGTAGATTTCTAACTATACCAGTATAAATAATAAATTATATTGTAAATAGGAACCAAATAGAGAAATTCATACTATTTGTGGTAAGGGTATAGTTCTACCATAAATTGAAAAACCTTCCCGTGAAGATGTTGAAAAATATCATTAGATTTATATATAGGCTGTAAAAGATCTTTATGATTAATATGCTCCATTATATGCAAAGGGAATTCCATTAAAAATATATTGATAAGTTTAAAATAATAATGTATATGAAGATTATTAACTTAAATAAATTTATTTTGATATTTTATTAAAATCAAATATCATTTCAATTAGAAATCACTCTATACTATATATTAGTAACATATTGAAAATTGTAGGAAATTAAGATAATAATGATTACAATAATTATATATAATTTATAATTAATTAAGGCTGAAATGTTAAGCAAATTAACAAGAATTTCTCGTTTTAGACCTTTTTTTGCATTTTGTAATTAGAAGCCTCCATAAGGTAATCATAATAATGAAGTAAGGCTTTGAAAAATTCCAGAGAAAATCTAAGCATTAATAAGCACCTTAAGAATAGAAAATAGAAAATACTTAGGAAGATAAAAAGGAAGAGAAAATACAAGAAAATTAGTAAACAAAAAAGTAGGAAGAAAAAATATAAAGGGAAAGACCAGAAGAGCCATAATTTGAATAACCAAAATAACAATAACAATAAAAAACAAATGAGCGATTTTCATAAGAATAATTTTAATTTACAAGAAGAGATAACACAAATAATTTTGGATAGAAACCAAAATCTACAGGACCTGTATAAGATGTATATAATTAATAATAAAATAGCCTAATGATCCATTTAAGCAATATTTGTTTATGTTTTTAGCATCTGCTCCTCTTGCTTATTTATTATATAAAGTATATGAAGAAGGGGAAAACCATATATCATTTAATGAATTTCAAAGAGATTATTTAGAAAAACAATTAGTAAGTTCAATATAAATTTAAAAAATAAATAGAGAAATTATTGCTATAATATACACAATAGAAGGAAAGAAAAAATTAAAAATTTCAGATTTAGATTTCTTTCTTTAAAGAATTGATGATTTGAAAAATGAAAAATACTATGAATAATCTATACCAATTTCCTTTTAAAATCAAGATGAAGCATAAGAAACTACAGCTAATATTACTAAATATGCATAAATATTATTTTATGGTGGACTATTCTTTATAATGTTTTAATTTTATAAAAAAATGACAAAAAGTCTTTCTGGAATGGCTGGTGATATGATGGGTGGTATGGCTAAAATGAAATCTAAATAATTTGAATAAAAAATCAAAATAAAATTTAAAGATGTTGCAGGATAAGATGAAGCAAAAGGAGAAATAAAAGAATTTGTAGATTTCTTAAAAGCACCAAAAAAATATAAGAAATTAGGTGCTAGAATACCAAGAGGAGCATTATTAACAGGTCCTCCTGGAACTGGAAAAACTTTATTAGCCAAAGCTTGTGCAGGTGAAGCAGGAGTTCCATTTTTTTATGTAAGTGGATCAGAATTTGTTGAAATGTATGTTGGTTTAGGAGCAGCAAGAGTTCGTGAACTTTTCAAATAAGCTAAATCTAAAGCTCCAAGTATTGTTTTTATTGATGAAATTGATGCTGTTGGTAAGAAAAGAAATTCAAAGGGATCCAAAAATGAGGAAAGAGATAATACTTTAAATTAACTTTTAGTAGAAATGGATGGTTTTGGTACTGATAGCACTGTGGTTGTATTAGCTGCCACAAATATGAGAGATTCTTTAGATCCAGCATTAACTAGACCTGGAAGATTTGATAGAAATATTGAGATTACATTACCTGATATAAATGGAAGAAAAGAGATATTTTTAGTACATTTAAAACCAATTAAATTAGATCCATCTAAAACAAAAGAAGAATATGCAAAAAGGTATTTATTTTAAACAAATAAAAATATTAGATTAGCAACATTAACTCCTGGTTTTTCAGGAGCAGAAATAGCAAATCTTTGTAATGAAGCTGCCATATTAGCTGCTAGGTAGAATAGTACTTATGTTACATCATATCATTTTGAATAAGCATCTGAAAGAGTGATGGCTGGATTAGAGAAAAAGAAATTTATGAGTGAAGAAGAAAGAAAGATTGTTGCTTTTCATGAAAGTGGACATGCTGTAGTAAGTTGGTTTTTAGCAGGTGGAGATCCTTTATTAAAAGTAAGATCTCTTTAATATTAAGCTTACAATTATTCCAAGATCTAAAGGATCTTTAGGTTATGCTTAATATTTACCTAATGAGAGTAATCTCTAAACAATGGAAGAGTTACAAGATAAAATTTGTTGTGTTTTGGGTGGTAGAGTTTCTGAGAAATATTTCTTTTAATCAATTACAACAGGTGCTAGTGATGATTTAAAAAGAGCTTATGATTATGCTAATGCAATTATTACTAAATTTGGTATGAATGAAACTATTGGATAAATTGGATATTAAGATGATTAATATTCTAAGGATTATAGTGATAAAACTAATGAAGTAATTAAAAATTCTATTTGATAGATAATAGATGAAGAAATGTAAAAGCTTATATAAAGATGTACTTAAAGAACTGAAGAAGTAGTGAAAAAATATGAAGATAAAATTAAAGCTCTAGCTGAATTACTTTTAGAAAAAGAATCATTAGATTTATAATAAATAATTAATTTATTGGGTGAAAGACCTTTTCCACCTAAATCAAATTATAAAGCTTATTTGGATTTAAAGAAAGTTGAATAAGCTGAGATTAAAAATGAAGAAGCAAAAGAGTAGGAATAAATTACTTAGAATAATGAATAATAATAATCAGAAAATGAAAATGAAAGCAATGAGTAAGAATAACAAATAAATCAAAAGGAGTGATTTTTATTTTAAATATATATTATTTTATTCTTTAATCAAAAATTTTGATATCATTGTTATGATTTATAATTTAATTGATTAAAAAATTGAATGTTGATTATTCTAATTATTTATATGAATTTATATTTCAATATAATTGTTATCAATATATTATCTAAAATGATAAATATAAGAAATAAACATCATTTCTAGATTTAATTTAATACTCTTTAATGTAATTATGATTAAATTTATCCCTTAATTTTTAATTCAATAATTATTTTATCTTTAAATTCGACTATTAATCTTTTTTATTCCCTTCTTATTTAAATTAATCCTTTCTTATTATTTATATAATAGTTTATTCAAAACTACGTTGTGATCATTTTATAATCATCTAAAATTTTAAGACAAATTCCAAAAATATATTCAATTTTTAAATTAATAATTTTAAATTCTATTCATAATCAATTTTTGAATCTATTCTTTAATGAGAAAATGAATAATATACATTATGAATAAGAATAAACAATTTTCTATAACATTATCATTATAATGATATGAAATATACATAAACTTAAAACTTTAATAATCCCAATAAATTAAAATACATAAAGTACTTTGATATAATAAGAATAAAATTCAAGGGCTGTAAAATCTTAGAGCTGATTCTTTAATATGGTATTTTTGTCTTGAATATGAATTAATATATATTACAGGTATTATCTGCTAATTTATCTGATCTTTTCATAATCATGAGGTAAGTGTGAAACTTTCATTTATAATTATGGATTCTCTTTGACTTCAATTGAAGGAAATTTCAATAAAGCTTCCTATCCAACTTCAAGTTAATGCAATTTTTCTTCTAATGTTCGTTTAGGTGCACGCATACTCTTATCAAATTTAAGCCAACCTCTAATTAAATACATCTATTCTCTGCTCACTTATTTTTCAAAATCAATTCCTCCCTTTATAGAATGCTATTTTATTTGATTGTTAAAAGGACTAACCCTAACAGTTCTTGGCATTTCTTCAATAGGTTTACGAACAGTTCTTGGACTTCCAAAATTGACTTCATATTTATGAATGTCTAAACATTTGTAGGATACATTATATTATCCAATACTAGGACTGATATTATGACTTCGAGTAATTTTCATATGTTTTTGAGAAGGTTGGCAACTCTGTTTAACATCACTTCTGACAAAACCCTTTTATTGGTCATCAACAGAACTACATTGTAAGTAATATTTGATTTGCTATCTAAATTTTGATTAGATTGCATAAATTTGGACAAATCTTGATCGTACAATTCTGTAATGGACTTAAGCATAATTAAAAATATATATATATATATTGAATAAATTTTGAATAAGAAATATCAGCAACACTTCTTGTTTCGTTTGGAACATTTCATTTTATGTCTTAATTTTGATTATTTATCTCTTTCTATGGCATTTATCTCATCATCACTTGTACAAGTATCTGAACTCTCAGATTCATCAGCATGTGGTTTATGATAGATACAACAAACTATAATTATATTATAAACTTACTTTTAGATTTAAGTTTTCCAAGATCTTCATTATCAACAGTATCTTCTGTCCATTAAACAGAGTTCTTTTTTGTTTTTTTCATTTATTATTATTACTATATCTCATGTTATTAACTATTAGTAAGATGCAATATAGTTTAACTTGTTTAAGTAATTGTTTAAGTTTAAGAAATCATTGGTTTTTATGAGAATTATTATTATATTATTAATATATTACACATATTCTAAAAATATACTATAATTAAATAAAAATATTAACTGATTAACTATGTTCATATTCTACTATATTTTATAATCAATTAAATGAATAAATGAATTTAATAACAATTTTTATTATTATAACAATCTAAACTAGAATATTAAAATAAATATTGAATTTCATCTAAAAGTTCCCAATTTTCTAGGACGAATGAATTAATTGATGACGTAATTCTATTTTTCAATAAATTAATCAGTATTATGATAAGAAGAAGCACTTCTGTATGTACAATTTCGTTAAGGAATTTAGTGTTTGCTTGTAATTATTCCTAACATATTGTTATATTCTCCAATATATTTATTTGTAATAATTTTAGTAGTGTGTTGAATTTTAGGAAGTTTAAATTGTTGAAGATTGATTCTTATATGGGCAGGACTTCCTCCTGGGGCTTTTTGGTTAGATTATAATTCTTCAGTTGTATGATTATTTAATTGCATTAGAGCACTCCTCTAAAGTATTGAAAGTTCATTATTTAGAGATGATCTTCTTTGGAGAATCTCTTTCAATTCTTCTCTACTATGCAATTTAAGCATTATATATATATATTTTCACATTTTTTTAATAATTTTTTGATGTTTATATTTTATGTAATAAATTAATGTTTACAATAAATATTGATTAATATAAAAAATGAGTAATAATGGAAGAGTACAAGTGTATGAGAAATTATGTTAATGTCTTACAATTCTTGAATTAAGAAGATATGATCATCATGCAAAAACATCTGAAAAGGATATCACTTTGATTAAAGAGTAAATCAATCAAGTATTATTAATGTTAATCTAAAATCAAGTATCTTAAATAGCATTTCAAGACACTTTGTTACTCAACAGAATTACGTAAGACTCTAAAGAAAATAATTATATAAGGTGAATTACATGAAATGAACTATAACTGGTAACTCTTTCTATTTAATCCTTAGGGTATTATTGGAGTTATCAGGTGCAAGAACAAAGAGAGTTTAAAATCCTAATGTATATGATGAAGTCATAAAACTAAGAACAGACTATCCATAATCATATTTTTCAACAATTTAATTGGTATTCTTGACAAAATAAAATTAGAGGATGTTGTAAGAACTGTTTCACCCTCTCTAAGAATTAAGAATAATGAAAGAATTTATGAAAGAAATCATGAATATGAAGCTAAAATAGAAAGAATTTTAGTTGCATATTCTATCAGAAATCCTTTTGTTTCATATTGTCAAGGTTTAAATTTTATTACGCACTTTTTGGTAAATAAATTAAAATTTTCCGAAGAGGATGTAATTATGATAGTAAAATTAATAGACTTTTTGGGCATTAAGTTCATTAATTGAAGAGATAATGCCATTAGATTATTATACTAATATGATAAGCGTAATGGTAGATACAAAAATATTAGAATATTTTAGTAAAATCTATGTTCCTCAATTACTATAACATTTCAAAGAGATTTACTTAGAAGCTAATTTTTATGCAATATAATGGTTTGTGTGTTTATTTACTCCAAATCTACATATAGATATAGTTAAAGAGATATGGTTAAGAGTAATGGTTTAAGGTAATAGAGCATTGATAGCATCAGCAATAGCTATATTATTTATATTTGAAAAAGATTTATTGAAATTTTCAGATTTTGGAGATTTATTAGAATTCTTTAAAAAGAATCTTAAAGAATATAATAATATAGATGAATTTAGATTTATTGTGAATCAAATATAAATAAAGAAAAAACCTTTGTTTGAAGCAAGAGATATGTTTAGAAAGATTCTAGAAAAAGAACATGAATAGAATTTAGGAAATGAATCTCCAATGTTAAATAAAGTAACATGTAATCCATAATGGACTGTTTGTAATCAAGTTATGCATTTGAATAAAACTCTAAAAAGATCTTTCTCATTTTTTGTTTATTGTTAGAAGGAACCTTGTAGAGTGATCAATGATTATTGGGATAAATATGATGATTCAAGTAGTCTATGTAGTAGTACAGCATCTAGTCCAAAAAAGAAGAAATAAAAAGAATAAGGTCCTTAATTACTACTTGGAAGATAATTTCATATTTGTTAAAATAATGATTTAGATGAGAATGATAAATATTTATATCGATCTACTTTATTGGTGCATTAAGACTTAAATTCAGAAATATAAAGTAATGAAGATGATGAGGATGAGACTGTAGAGAATAATGAGAGTATAAAATCAATAGAATAAGGCAATAGTAGAGGAAGATCTATAACTATGAATAGATATATGCCTCGATTAAGTGAATAAGGCTATGATGGATTTTATAAATAAGCTGTTTATTTGATGAAATAATAATAACCTGCAGAACCAAGAAAAATTAGTGGGGAATTAAATTTATTTCCTGAAACTAAAAATGAATAAGTTTAACAAAAATATAGAGTAGCAAGATAAAGTATTAGTAGCATTGCTTTTGCTACTTAATTTGTTCAAAAGTGAATGAACAATATATATATTTAACAAATAATTATAAATTATAATTAATTTTTAATGTACGAACAAGAACTTCCATCAAATTTAGATGACTTTCCTAATTATAACCTTAAGTAATCAGCTGAATCTGAGAAAGTTATTGTAGATGATGATCAAAAGAAAAAAGCAGCTTATCAATTTATGCAATCTTTAGAAAAGAATCTGAGAACTAAGATTAGCAGTCCTTAACAAAGAGTTTAAACAATAGCTGTGTCTCTTGAATTGTATGATACAATTTTTAATAAAATTTATTGCAATACTCTTTATAAGGTAATATATTCAATATATTAAATTAAATAGGAAACCTTATTCCCATTAGCTGAATCTTTAGAAGAAGCATTCAATGATGAATTTGATTCAATAACCAAATTACTTTTCAATGAAAGTTGTTATAGACATGCATTCTAAAGTGTGCAATAACAATTCAATTTACAAACATCAATAGAATCATGGCAAAATTATTAATTGCTTTTTGCAGCACTATAATAAAAGTATACAAAATGCTGAATTAGGCAAAATATTGATCTTCCCCTTCCTCCAAGTTGGATTTGGGACATTTTGGATGAGTATGTATATCAATTTTATGTGTCCTCCAGATGGAGAAAATCATTAAAAAATGATGAAATTAGTCAATTGAAAAACATTCAAGATTTTTGGAATCTAGAAGAGATACTAAAAACATTAGAAGCATTCTATACTCAAAGAAATAGTTCTGTCTAAAATACTTTATAATATTTGGCTTTTTATTCATATTTAGCCACTGCCAAATTACATGTGATGTCTGGTAATTTCTAAGTTGCTTATACAATGTTATCATAAATTCAACATTCAGAATTAATTATTTATAGTAAATCAGGTGGAGCTTATTAATCATTATTCAGTTATGCTGGATTCTGTTTTTTATTAAATAAAGAATACAAAAAAGCTAATCTTACATTAACTTTAATTGTTAATTACTTCAATAAATATAAATAGTTATATTCAAAATCTTATTAATATGATAGTTTAATCAAATAACATGAAAAAATATTGGCATTATTAGCTGTTACATCTTTATATTATCCTGAAATTGAAGACAATATAATCACATTATTAAAAGAAAGTAGAAACAAATTATTTGAAAAATATGAAAAAATGTTAAAGTATGATCAATAAATCATTGGAGAAGTTTTTTTATAATCTTGTCCTAAGATAATCAATACAATTAAGAATATCAAAGAATTATAAAATGAATAAGAAATTAATCCAAATGAAATAATAATAGATTTGAAAGATAAGTTATTAAAGGAAGTATTGGAGGCTAAAAAAATTAATGATGTTGAATAAGTATTAAGTCTTTACAATTAAATAACTTTCCAGCATTTTAATAAAGTAATTTAATTTAATATCAATTTAGTTGCTTCCTGATAAATATGTCTAATTGTATATTGAAAGAAATAATGTCACATTAAATGAAAATTCTTTTGAATCAACTATTCTTAGTAAATTTTGGTAGAAGTCTAAATTATTGGATATTGAAGTTAAAAATAATACCATATATGTTAAGGAAGTTTCAGTTAATTAAGTAAATTATAATATTTAATTTCTTATAGAGAGATTTCATCAATTAATTAGCTTAGATGAATGCAAATCTTGAAAAGAACATCTAAGAATTGAGTAAGAATTTGTGATATTTTTATTGTTGAAATTATAAAAAAGTATATTAATATATGTCTTTATAATTGATTATAGATATTAGTTGATATTATCATATTACAATATTAATAATTATTATTGAAAATGTTAGAAACCATTATTGATGTAAAACTTATGAAAATTAAGAAAAAATAAAAATAAAGTAGGTTTAGAATAACTATAAGTATATTAAGAATTTCATTTACAAATAATATTAATATTAGACTATTTAAATTACTTTATTTTAATCATTTTTGTATTCTATCCTTATTGTTAATATTATTTATATATTAGTATGTCTAAATACATTCAGATCCATCATTAATTACAATTTTTCATATTTATTACCTTGAAATAAATTATTAAAATTTTATTACAATTCCTTATTATTTAAAACCCTTAATTAATAATTAAACTATATTTCAAATTGCAATAATTCTTCTTAGTAATATATTTTGTATAATGTATTAATGATTTTTTGAAATATTATATGTGAATTTCTTTGTAAATTACAATTTATATATAATTTATTATAAATAAAAGATGGAAGATGAATATGTTATGGTGAATGGCAGAAAAACTGTAAATAGCTCAATCCTAACAATAGATTCCCCGAAAGATGTATCAAGGCAATAAAATATACAATGGGATTACATTGAATTTGCATTATTCCATAGGGTAATTATGTGTGATTTATATCCTTTAGTTTGAAATAAAGAATCTAATCATTCATTTACTAAGAAGACTCATTAGTTTATTTGAATGGTCATCATTTAGTACTCTATGATATAAATAAGAAGAAACAATAATTCTTATTAAGACCAAAAGATGAAGAAGATGTAAATAACTGCAACTTAAATTTAGGTTGTAGTGATGAATCATTGTGTTAATGATAAGATGATACTCTCTGTTGGTTTAGGACTTAAGAATACTATCAAAAATTATGCAACTGTTAGAATCTATAAAACCAATCACAAATCTTTTACTCTTCTCCATTAGCATCTTCCTTTTGGAACTTAAGTTAAAGATATTGCTTTTCTTCATACAGCCAAATATACTGTCACTCTATGTTACAATATCAATTCTCATGATACTTCATATATTAGTGTATTCAAAACTAATACTGAATAACTCATTACTTATAGTGATGTGGGTGAAAATTATGTTGGATTATTTGGAACCTATAAGGATTTCGAATAATTTGGTACATTTGGACCTAATGTATTGAAATTATGGAAATTTAATCCAACTGAAAAATAATTAGATGATGTATTCTTAGATTATGAGGGTGTGATCACTCATGTAGTTTAATCCAATAAGTAATAAATACTTCTTATAAATTAAGAAAAATATTCCTCATGAATAAAAAAGGAATTTTGTACTTTTATCGCAAAAATAAAATAATCAACTCTGCCAATATTCCTGCTGACATGAATGAAACACCAACTGTTATAGCTGCCTATTCAGAAGGAGTTGTTGTTGGATTTGAAAATAAACCAATTATAGCTATGTATGAAGCACATAAAGGAATAATCGAATATAGAAAATAATATGCATTAAATATTAGTAATCTCTAAAAATTAGTTTATATTCATGTTGGAAAAGATGATTCTTATATTTCCATTACTGCATAACATAAAACTAGATAAACTGAAAATGAAGAAATTAATTGTGAAATCTATTTATTCAATTTAGGATTTGTTGATTATATAAATTCTGCTTTTAAAGATCCTTTTGAATAACTCTTTCCTTAAGGAGTTCACAAAAGTAAAATTTTGAATATAGAAACATCTCCTTCAAAACCCATTATTTGTGTTTTATCTGAAGAAAGAGTATTTAAAGTATGGGAATTTACTTATGAAGAAGGTAAATTCAAGTGTCTTTATTCATCTACTTTACATGAAGTCCCTTAATGTATGGCTTTGCATCCAATGGCATTTTAATGTGCAATTGGATATCGTGAAGGACTTAAATTTTATTTTGTTCTTCATGATGAACTTAAATAAGTTTATTATGAATCATTAAAATAATGCAGTGTTGTTAAATATACTCCTTTAGGAAATTAATTAGCTGTTGGATCTTAGAATTAAATCTTAATTTATGATCCATATACTTATAGATTGATTCAAACAATATCTGGTCATATGGGTACAATTGCATCATTAGAATGGTGTGATAATACTCTTATATCTACTTGTAGTTAGGGTTTAGTAATGGTATTCAATTAGACTAGATTGGTTGATCATTCATTTAAATTACATAAAGGATTTTGTTAGACTTATGATACTGAATATGATTTCCTTATTGGAAGTTATTCTGATAATAAAGTTAGAATTTTTAATGAGAAGGGATAGAATTTATATTATGAAATGGATATTTATCCATGTCAATATGTATGTGTATAAATTCTTAGATTTCTGGATATGATTGCATTTGGAACTAATTGTGGTAAAGTGAGATTATATTTATGGCCTTTTACTTAATTTAAAGATGATTAGGATATGTTTGAATTTCAATTGCATTAGGGACCAATAACATAAGTAAGAATGTCTTCAGATTAACAATTTCTTATTACTGGAGCTGAAGATGGTTCAATATAAATTTGTAAGGTTAAAGAATGGTATGATGGTAAAGATATGACACCTTAAGAAACATAGAAGGGATAAAGAGTTAATTCAAAAGGATTACTTGTTTCTAATTTATACAGTTTTAGTATATTAGCTTTTGTAAGTAAGAATAGTATTGAAATGAAAAAGGATCTTATTAAAGAATTAGATTTTAGGATTTCTAATTAAAAGAGTGATCAAGAAGATTAAAAATAAGATATTACTTAGAAGTATTAAAAATAAGAAAAAGAATTAGAATAATAATATTAACATTAGATTGCTAGATATAAAGAAGAATTATCATAAATAATGGAATAAAAGGATACTAGAAATAAAAATTTAGATATAGATTTAATAGATTTAAGAAAAAAATATTAAATTGAATCACATTAAATTTAAGAGAAAACAGAAAAAGATTTATTATAATTGTATTAAAAGAATGATGAAGTTAAATAAAGATTATAATAAACAAATGAAGAAAATCAAAAAGAATTTGAATAAAAGAAAGCTCATTTAGAATCAATTAGAAATAATATTAAGAATGATTAAGATACTAAATTTAATGATTTATTTTCAAGATTTTAATCATCTAAAGAATCATTTGAATTAGATGAAAAGAAGTATTTGGAAGTATTCAAAGAAACTGAAAAAGAATTTGAATAATTAATAAATGAATAGAAAGAAAAGAAATTAATTAAATTAAAAGAATTATTAGATAAAAGTGAAAAGATAAGATCAAGTAATACAAAATTTAAAAAAGAATGTGATAGATATTAATTAAGAAAATAAGAATTAGAAAATATGATAAGAGAAACTAGAACATAAAAAGATTTAATTAACAAAGAAAAAGATAATTTTAAATTAATAAATTAAGAAAAGAAAAATTAATTAAAAGAAAGAGAAAGATAAATCTTTTAGAAAGAAAAGGAAATTAAAAATTATAGAAATAAAAATGGACATCTATAAAATTTTAAAAATGTTAATTCATATCGTTTATAATCTTTGTAAGAATAAAAAGCACCTTTATAAGAACATTTATCTGATTTAGATTAAAATGTCAAAATTATGTATTAAGAATTAACTGATGAAGCAGAAGCTGAAAAGAATTTAGAAAATTTAATAGAAGATACTTCTAATAAAATTAAAGAATTGAAAAATCAATATCAAATTAAAAGAGATTCTTTATTCTCCAAAAGAGGGGAAGTTTAAGAAATAGAAAATGACATATTCAAAGTATTAGCTGATCCTGAAATCACTAATTTTAAAGAAATGTTATAAAATGTTCATAAATAACATTTCATTAATGGGAAGATTAATAAAGGTGATGTAAATGAAGATTCAATTTATGCTGAAATTGAAAAGAATACAGAAGTTGCTATAAGAGAAGAAATGCTTAGACAAAGAGATTTCTTAAGTAAAAAAATCAACACAATTACTAGAACTAGTAAAGCTGCTGATGAAGATAAAACAAGTCTTATAATTAGAGTTTAAAAGGAAAATACTAATTTAGTAAAATCTTGTAATGAATTAAGAGAATAACGAGCTAATCTCATTTCTCATTTATCTAATATGCAAAAAGCCTTAGATATATTATAAAAAGAAATTGCTTCTTTAAATAATGGTGAATCTATTGAATTGTAAATATCAGATGAAGAAGTTCCTCTATATATTGAAAAAAATAAAATATAGAAACATATATCAGCTCCAAAATTAACACCATTTTAATAATATCATTAAGAAAAAGATACTTAAAAAATTAGAAAATCTGATACAGTTTTGAAAAGAGATAAAGGATAATTAGATCTATAATAATTGATTAAAGAGATTAAGACATATAATTTAACAGATTAAGAACTTAGAGTAATAATATCTTTATAATTAGGATTAAGTATAGCAATTTTTAAGAAATGATGAATCTTCATCTATTCTACCTTAAATTTTAAAATATCCATTCAATTCATCTCAAGAGGAAACACAATTAGCAGGATTAGAATAATCCATCATTAATACATCCTTGGAAACCTAAAAACTTTAATTGCCATTAATTAAATAATGATGAAAATGAATTCCTATATCAGATTTATTTACATATAATTAAAATCTTTATGAATCAATTCCTTTTAATAGTAGCTCTAAGTTTGATATCAGTAAATTGTTATTTCGGACTTGAAGAAGTAGAAGTAACTCTTATATCTGATAAAAAAATATCATTCAATGGAGTCATCACTATTGTACCACATACAGAAAATGTAGTCATTTGGCTTTGCAATAAAAATAAATTAAGTATGTTATTTATGATATCAAGACTTATTACATTTAATGAATGGTTCTGAAATAGTAAAGAAGCTGTATTTTTTGAATGATTATAAGGGATTCATAGTGAGATGTGGATACAAGATGAAGATCGACAAAAATGAACTCGGCTTACATTAAATAACATTGCTAGCTAATGACAGTAATTGAGAACTCTTTTTTAATTCTTCATTGCAGAATCCCACAAGATTATATTGTCCTACCGAACCCAAAATGACCGTGAGTATACAAACGATGTTATAGATTTACTACCAAATCTTTCATGCCGTGTTGATACAGAGATGTTCATTATTGAAGATTATTTGGATTCATTTTGCCAAAGAAACTAGCATTTCCCATCCCTGACCGAATAATATGATTTATGAAATCAAATAATAATGGTATCATTTTTAGTGTGCGTTTTTTAAATAAATTTGTATATATTATATATCAATGTAAAACATAGATCTAAGACAATATATTTTTTAATTCTTTAATAATATCTCTCAATAGGAATATTAAATAAAAGAATAATTAATATTAAGAATAAAACAATTTCTAAAAAGAATTTATTAGATATAATTAAATTGATCATTTATCATGTATAATTATTATCTTGAAATTTGTTAAAAAATATTTAATGTGTATTGCACTTTATTATATTAATCCAAAAGGAAAATTCAGATTTATTTTGCTTTTTAATAGAGAAGAATATTCAAAAAGACCTACTGATCAATTAAAAATCATTCTCAATAATGGAAATGATATAATAATTGCAGGATAAGATAAATTACAATAAGGAACATGGCTTGGATTTAATATTACAAATGGAATGATTGTATTTCTAACAAACAAAAACCATCTGTTTTATGTTTCATTTTATTAGAAAATATCTTAGATTAGAAACTAACTTAGACTCTAATATCCAAAACTCATGTAATATTTTTACTCTACTCTTAAATCAAGAGGATAATTAATACTAGATTTATTAAAGAGATCTAGTATAGAACAATCTCAAAACTTTGATTTTAAACTTTAAGATTAACATCTTTAATGCACTTATCATTTAAATAATAGAAATTAAGATGATAATTATTTAATAAAGAGTAGATTAATGTAAGCATAATTAAAGAAGGAATAATATATGGGATTTAATTTATTTGTAGGGAATATAATTAATTAAGAGTATTATGTATTATCATCTACATCAAATTCATTTAAATAAGTTAATAAAAGTGGAACTGCTTGTAGTTTTAGTAATATTGGAGAGAATTAAATAGAAAAAGAAAAGATTGCTTAAAATAAATTTGAATAAATAATAGAAAGTGAGGAAGATATTGATTTATTATTTGAAAAACTATTTTCATTAGCTTAAGAAAGATTTTCAAGTCATGAACTCTTTTTTAAGGCTTTCCCTGAAGAGTCTTATTTTTTTATCCCAGAATATACTACAAAAATGGGATAAAAAAGAGGTACAAGAACTACATCTATAATTATATTTGATGGCATTAAAGTTGAAATGAAAGAAAAAACGTATTTATGATATAAATTTCATCCTTTACTTTATTATTCAAAATTCATTTCATACCACTAATTATCCATTACGCCATTCAGTATATAAATTTAATTTAGAACTATTTTATACTAATGCTAATCCATGTTATTTTCCATCTTTGAATTATCCAAGATATATTTTATTTTATTAATATTTATATCTACCAAATCCATGTTTTATCCCTTAGAAATATTCTCCTAAATATTCTTCTCCATTTCCCCAAGTAAAATGACCCATTCCATGCATTTTATTGTCTTACCATTATCCTTTGTATTAATTTCCATTTTTTAATTTTAATATACCCCATCCATTTCTTTTATTGTCTTTCATTTCTCCATGATAATATCCAATATCTTGTTCTTGCTTTACAACTATTTAACCTTCTTTTTAAATTCCATGTAAAAAATAAAATAATTCCTTCTCTTTTTTCCCTGCAAAAAATTCCTCTCCTTCTGAATCTTAAAAAGGCTCTTACAACAATACTCCTTTACCATGATATTTATTATTAAAAAACTGACCTATATAGATGTAGTTGACATTTTCCTTCTTTGTAATCTCAAACCCATATTCACACCTTTTACCGTAAAGATAATCACTATTCATATCTTCGTACTAATAATTAAGCTAAGATCCATATTTTCTGTTATAATTTATAATTAAATTAATCTCATCATTATCATAAAATTAGAAGATATTTTAAAATAATTTAGCATTTTAAAAGTGATCAATAATTTCTCCTAATTTAATCTAATTTATTCTCTATTAAAATTCTTCTAATTATTCAAAATCTTGTACTTTTAGAGTTTGGCTTATCATAAATTATAAATCTTAGTTATCAAAGTAGATATTTCCATAAAACCTTTTCTCATATTCCTATTCAACACATTTACTCCAAGACTTCTTAAAACCCCCTATTTCTGAAGATCTTTTGAATAGGCAAGGTAAACAATTTGACTATTACCTAATAATACAATTAGGCTTGTCCTTTAAGTAATTATCAATATATGAGCTAATTAATTTTCGTGAATCCTCTTTCCATTTAAATTCTTCACTTAACTATTAATTGTGTAATAATTTACAAATTCTATTGAAGACATTTAGTCATATTTTTCCTTTTTTTACTTCAATTTAGTTAAAAACTACTCTCTATTTTGCGGTACATTTTATAATCCTTATAATCTTTCTTCACTTTCAGAATTCCTTAATATGATTTATTATTCAACTCCAGACATTGTTTTTTTAGATAAAAAAAATAATAATATATCATTCTAATATTGTAGGCATTTCTTTAATTGACAATTCATCTTTTGCTCTTCTTTAAAGTTTCTAAACATAGTTTTCGTATTCTGTAATAATGAATTCGTGATCACCAATTTTAACTATAAATGTTATTATTATAAATACTTATTGTTACTCCATTTTTCATTGTTTTTCTAAATTCTTATGATCCTTCTAGAGTCTAAAAAACCATGAAATATTCAAAGTTTTAACCATAAGACAAGAAGAGATCTATATCTGTATTATATGTATCTTTGAAATAGCCTTTGATCAAAGAATCAGGTACTAAATTTTTCTCTAATATTTCAACATGAAAAATAAAAATCTATTTATTATGATATTTATCTTCTCCAGTTTTATCACCAAAATCAAATGGTATTTTGATAGAACTTTAAGGAACTTTATTTTTATAAAGATCTAATTTTGATTAATCAAGATTCATTAATTTTTTGGCCTTATAAAAAACACTCCCAGCCATATATGAATCAAATCCAGCCTCATGTTCAAAAGCTTAATTCTCTTCAGGATTATTGTATTCTTGACATTCATCTCCAAAAACAACATTAGGTTCCAAATTTTATAAATTAATAAAGCTATTTTTGAGTTCAGAAAATTATCCCACTTTATTATAAACACTATAACTTTGATTAATAAGAAATTTAGTATCATATATCTCTGGAAATAACTAATTTACTTTTGATATGAATTCAGTTCTTGAATCTGGTAGAGTCTCAAAAAATTTATCATAAATCTATTCAAATATATATATATATTAATTACATGCATAATATCCATTAAACCATTATGTAAAATAAGTGGAGTCTTCTACTAACTTATTTAATCTAATAAAACTCTCACACCTGCAAATTCATTTGCTTCTTCTACATTTTATTTTTTAGTTTCTGGAGGTTCTGGTCCTTTAACAATATAAAGAACTTCTCTCTTAACCAATATATCTGAATCAAATTTACAATGAAATTCAAAACTTTTACCAAACTCTTTAATAATCTATATAAGATATAATTAATTTAGTTTACACTCTCAATAAAATGTCTATAAACTTTTACTTTAAGTCTTTTAATTGGTATTTCAAACTAAGGATCATTGCTTACTTTTAGAAATTATTCCACTTAAACTTTGTATTGTTTTACAAAATTAATCATTTCAAATGTTACAATTTTATCTAAATATCTCATTTCATTTCTTAAATCTTATATTCTTTTTGTATCTCTCAAAATTTTCTCATCTTAATGTGATAAATAAAGAATGCCCTCATTAAAAGTTCTATTAAAATCAAAATTGTTGTTGGTAAGAAATGAAATTGAATTACTCTATATTAATATTATTTAGATTCTTACACTTAATTAGAATTGTTTATCCAAATAACCATCAACACCATAAGGAAAGATATAAAAATTAAATGGATGGGCAATCACATTATTAGAAATGGCTTCCTATTTAAAAGTACATAGACCCATTTGAATTGGTAGGAAACGTCTCACATTTTCTTTGACTTTCCAATATCTCATTTAAAACTTGATAATTTATTGTGGTGTACAGAATCAAGGAGAGAATTTCTTAATAAAGATGAAGCAAGGACACCTGTAAATTCAAAATCGATTGCAACATAATTAGCTTCTTTGATTCTTTATTAGATGAAAGCTAAATTATGCAAATAATTATATCTAGTCAGATTCATAATTTGTAGGTGAAAATCAATAAGTTAAAAATATATATTAAATTAATGACTTTCAAAGCACAATTAAAATATATATTATTCTTATAAAAATTTATTACATTTGCCAATAAGATTATATCATTCATTTCTTCTACCCACTAGTCCTTCCCATAATGATCTCATACATAATTTCCATTCTCCATTTTTATCGAATTCTCTCATTAAAATATATTATTCTTATAATGTAAGATTGAATCCTAATTCTTTTAATCCTTAAGATAATTCATCAAAATCAATATAACCTTTCAATTATTTATCCAATTTCCTATTATTATTAATAAATAGATACTTCATAAGATCAAGTAAGAAACTATCGAAATTAGGATAGTTGTCTGCAAAAAGTCTAAGTTTAGCAATAATTTATGATATGTCAGCCTCTTTGAAAACATCAGGTTTCTATTTCATATAATTAATAGTAAATTCATCTCCTCTAATCAATTAAAATTTATAAACATTGAATTAAACAATAGCTCCTAATTAGAAGTCCTAATTATAATACAAATACTTTACTTTTTCAGTATAATAGTCATTAGTCAATGGGTTTTTTTATCTTGATCTTTCTAAGAATTTACCACCCTTAGATTTATATCAAATAACTTACCCATATACCACTATTCCTTTCTGAAGTTTGATAAACCTATATTGTATCATCACCGCAATAAAAAGAAATAATAAATCTTCTAGAGTTTTCTTCTCTCACCTCACTGATTAATCTAGCTTCAAATCTTAAAATGAATTAATCTTAAGTAAAATTCTTCCTAACATCTTTTTTTGGAGGTTTAGGCTACAAAGAATAAACCGATCCTAAAGAATCTTCTTCATATCCATATCCATTATATGGAGGAACAGGATGATAGAATTTCTTTCCTCTCTCTTGTTTAAGAACTGCAGGTCTAATATTATTAGTTAACAATTACTTTTATTAAATTCCCAAAACATTAAGATAGTATTCTTTAGTAAAATCATCACATCCATATATGAAACATTCTCTTCCATATATTTTTACAGTGTTTCCACATATCAAATCTTATGGACTATAATATTCTTCCTTCTTCAAAGTCATTCCTGGATAATGAGTTAAGATTGGTTATTTTGGAATTTTCTATCTTCTTAACATCAAGGGATAAGGATCTTTACCAGAATTTTATTTTCTAACTTCTTTCACTTCACAAGTATCATCAGCTAAGTAATAATTAAGAGTATAATAATTTAATTATCCTTCAATTGAAGAATCATCCCATATGATATCAAAAGATAACACTTTTCTATCATTTTGTAAATATTTGTTAAGCCCTCCATTTGGATGACCACCTCCTAATTTAACTTCAAAATATTCTTTATATTCTTTAGTGTCTGGTGGATTGATCTTAAGTTCTTTAGTTTCTCTTTACCCTTCAAAGTTGTCTTTTGGCAATTATTCAGGTAAACCTAAAGGCTTTCCCATATACTCATAGAATTCTCTTGTATAAGAATCACAATCTTATATTCTAAATACCTAATTAATAATAAGATGTTTATAACCCTTTCAAAAAAGTTAACATTTTAACATAATTGAAAATCTTCCCATTAATAAAAGTCTTATTTCCCAAGCATTTTTGGAATTTTCTACCTTTTGATAAACAAACCTTATGGTATTCCAGAATTAGGTATACGAGGCTATAAAAATACTTCTATGTATTTACTTCTGTAATATGGATTGTTCCATCTGATAGATAATAATAGATTATCACTTTTCTGATTCTATAGTTTTCATTTGGATTTTCAACAACAGATTCTTAGAAGTAACCATAAAAGCGTAATACAGCTCTATCATATTTTAACCATGGTGGTTAGATGCGTGGAATGTAATCATTTTCTGGTGGTTATCTACGTCCATATGTTAAATTAGGAGGAGTAGAGAATTTCATTGAGTCCAAGAGATTTGGATCGAATTCTTCATGAATAAAGTTGGTTTTCTCTTAAACAGTTCCATTTATATAGGAGAATTGTTAGGTTTTATGATGATTTTCTTTGAATGGATCTGAAAAAACATGTCCAGGTAAAAAAGGCACTTATTTTGGGAATTATGAATTGAGGGACATCAAAAATAATAAAAATATAACTGATTTTCTATTGTGTAAGTTGATTGTATATGAAATATGTAAATAGACACTAAAATCTAATAAATAAATAAAATGAATGCAAATGATAAACAAGTTTAACTTATTTATACTCTAGTTTTTATGTTCTATATTATTAATAATCAATTAATTTTATAAACATTAGTTCGTTGTGAATTTATATTATTATTATAAATATTAGTATTGTTATCGATTGCCCAAGGAGGATTCATTTAATAACCTAATTTTTATTATGGTAATTATTATTAATTCATCTTGTTTTTAGTGATCTATTGCATCATAATATCTAATTGATCAATTTAGGAATTTCTTGAATATTTTTAACTCTTTCCTTGTACATTTGATTGATTTCCTTAACCAAAATATTAATTGAAAATAACAAAATTGTTATTCTGAGGAACATATTAATTTAAATGATAATGTTTATTAAGAAAACCCATAAGTTTTTGACTAGGTCTATCGTATGCTAATTTTTCTGGTTTGATCTACTCATTTTTTAACATTTCCTCAAATAATTCTTTACCAACTCCCATCCTTTAGACACTTTCATGAACATAAAAATCTAATACACAAAGTGGTTACAATTCTTTTATTGATCCACAATAATCTCTATAAAATAGATTCTTTTTGCCCACTTTTAATAAACCCTAACAATTCTACGATGTTACTGAATTCATATACTTTGCCATCTGCTTTCATATAAATTCTTTAGTCACTTCCATAAAATTTATTTGCAGTAGTGATAATCTACTTTAATTATTAAGCCTAAAAATATATCTATATCATTTTTTACAATTGCTGAAGCTTCACCCATTTTATCTATTACTTCATCTAGATAACAATTTCTTCTACTATTTTAGGCACTTATTACACTAATTCCATTCTAATTTGTTTAAAGAGCTTTTTATAAGGGAAATTAAAATTGCATTATTAAATATTTATTATATAGACGGATTTTCTAATACAATAACAAGATGTTAAGAAATATCTAATAAAGTGTGGTAATCATATAAATATAATTTTTTAGTATAACAAAGTTAGAGACTATACTAATCCCTTTAATTTACTCATTCCTTGGTTGAATGCAATTTTTAAAAAATATATGGGAAATTTCTTTAATGAAGAGATAAAGAAGGAATAATTCACATCTATGGGATTAAAGAAGTTGACATTAAAAGTGAGTTCTCTAAATTCATAAATGGCTCCGAACATTCCTTTTGTTTTAGAATCTGGATCGATTTCTCTATTGAAATTGGACTTACACAAATTAACATGTCTAATTGAAGAAGTGGAAATTACTTTGAATTTCAAGACAATTGAATAATATCGATTATTTGTTTAAACTTATACAAAGTAAAAGATGACAGCAGATAAACTTCAGAAGATAAAAGATGAAATTATCAAAGCTTATAAGGTTAAGAGTGAAACTTCAAATAATGGAAATTAGAATGCTTGGAATATCATTAGATAGTTTTTATAGAAAATAACATTTACAGTTAATAAATTGGTTTTACATATTGTTGAACCAATCCAAAATGATAAACTATCCTTGGCTATCAATTAGATTAGTATGAGAGTAAGGAAATTATAGGAAGAAAAGGATTAAATGGTCAGTACCATGGTTATTGGAGGATGTTCATTGCATATTAACGAATAGAACTAATTATTTGATATAAATAATTTTTAAAAGGAATCATGTATATTTAGTTTATAATAATATTACACAAATAAGTATGATTAACATGTTGTTATTCATTTAAAAACTGAATTAAAAGAAAGATTAAAATTTAATAGTACATTATGTATAAGATTGATGTAAATGAACTTTAATTATAAGTAATTTTAAATAGCGATAAGAATGATTATGAGTATTTTGGAACATAATAAATTAATTTAATCTTAAGATAAAACAATTATTGAATCTATTAAATAAGAAATTCCATAATTTTAATTAACATGGTGTGAATCATAAGTTTATTATGATTATTGTGATCAAATTGGAGAAGTTAAAATAGATGAAATAGATGGTAAATCATTAAGTGATGAAGCAACAGTTGAATTTAATGAAGATTTAGAATAAGCATTAGAGAAAAGTTAATTTAATGAAGAAGAAGGTAATGATTAATTTGAGGAATCTCAGATAGAAGGATTTAATTAATCTGTTTTAAATTAATCCAATCTTGGTGATTTAAATTAAAGTACATTGAAGCAATCCATTTTCTCTATGTCTGTTTTTAAAGAACTAATTAATGATGAAGATGATAAATAAGGATTAGATGAATTAGATGAAGGTTAATTAATTTTTAAATTAAAGATTTAGAAAATAAGAGTCAGATTATCAAAAAATAATATAATAGATAAATGGAATCTAGATAGTTTAAAAAAGACTAACTATTATGAATTAGAAATAGATTAACTAAATTGGTTAATGACTAAAGAAATTACTCAATAATAAATAACTACAATTAAATAAACAAAAATTGAGATTCCTATTATTTAACTTTTTCATTATGAATATTGTAATATATTATCTGAAAAAACATTTAATGATCAAAATACAGAGGATGAGAATCAAGATATATTTTAAAGTATTAATGAGGGTTTTTCCAATAACTCTTAAACTATAGAAAATCAAGTGTTTCATTCTTGTTATAATTTGAGTTAAAATGATGTATTAGAAAAGATATAATAGAAAAAAAATGAATTTATTAAAGAATAAGGGAATTATTATTATAAAAAGAAATGCATACTTCAATTATATGATGGTATTAAAGAATCATCATATGATGGTATCAAGGAAGAAAAACAATTAATCACAAAAGTAGATAATTAATTTATATATGCTAATGATAAAATTATATCCTAGGGTAATGGGTTGTAAATTTAAATGCATCATCTAAATAATTCTTTAGCAATTTCTATCAAGTAGATTGATGTTAATTTAAGTATTGATGAAATCCTTGAATTTATAGAAATATTTAAAATCAAATATGAAAAGAAGTAAATTAAAAGTATTCCAAATCTAAATTTAATTACAATACATCACATTCAATTCGATATTCAAATATAAGAAGTAGATTATATAGAATTCTATTATTTATAATAAATCATAAAGAATGATCCTAATAGTAGTAGTGTCATACATTAATAATAAAAGATATCATATTTTACATTCAAATTTATTGATCTCTAAATACAACAGTCTAATTCTGGTTTTATTACTTTTAATTCAATTACATGTTCAATGAAAGATTATGATAGAATTAAATCAATATTTCATAATGAACTAATTGCTGAAATAGGAGCATAAGAACATTCTTAAATATTAATTAGACCAATAATAAAACTAATGGAAACAAAAGAAATACGTGTAGCTATTCCTAAAATTGAGATTTTTATTAATATGTCCTACATGGAATATGTTAAGACCTTATTTACAGTCATTAAAGATTTTCAGAAGAAATTATAGTTATTAAATAAAGATAAAAAAGAGAATAAATAAATAATTAAATTACTCTTTGATGAAATTATTGTTAAAATTAATTTAGACTAATAAACTAATACGCAATAAGCAAGATTTATTTTACATGCATCTAAATTAGCAGCAGAGATAATTGATAATGATGAGAAAATGTTTACATTATATAATTGTTTGGTCATAGATACAAATTGGAATTGCAAAAGACCAAAAAATGATATTCCAATTTATGGTAGTTCTAATGATATTAAAACAGATTAACCACTATAAATACTTCATTTTAGAAATCAAAAATATTAAGCAAATTAAGTTTTATTTTATAAATAAGAACGTTTTAACAGGGAAGGTTTCAAGACTCTTGTTTAAAATGAAACAATTAAATCAGAACCTGATATGGCTTTCCAATATACAGCTATTAAATTGAAGAATAATCAATACTTAAATCCAGATTGCTTAGATGCTTTGTATGGAAAAACCAATTTACTTTCTATAAAAATTAATTAAAATAAGAAAATAGAAATTTAATATTAACATGGAATAATTCAAGTTGATGAATAATGGATTGAAACAATTACAACTATCTAAGACTTGGCTAAAAAATGGGAATAAACATTGATTCCAAAAAAGAATACTTTACCCTAAAATAAATCTATCCCTAATTTTACATTCACTGTTTAAAATATATGGCTAAATTATTTACCAACCTATAGGAAATCAACCTTATTAAAATAATATTTAATGAAAAAAGAACCAATAAAATCAATAATTGCCATATAACCTGAATAATTGTATTATTCTTGGATCAGAGTGTTAATCAGAATTAAGAGTGCTACTGTATCAAGTGATTTATAAGCACATTTGAGTTCTGCATAAATATATGTTAAAAGTACATCCAAGGATATTAAACATGCCAATTTAAGCTTTTTAAATCCCATTTTATTAGTTCCTCCTTAAATTGGACTCTTTGATGAAAATAGAAAATTCTCAGATGGATTTTAAATTGATAAAGATGATTAAGGTTTATTGAGACTTCTTTGTTTTTAAAAATTATTTAAAATCAAAGGATTAACAATTTCAGGAAATACTATTAATATAGGTTAAATAACTGGCAATCTTAAAAAAGATTCTATAATCAGTTTATGGGATATTACATCAATGACTGTAGAAAAGATAAAAAAAATAATTCCTGAATAATCAAATGATAAATAAATTTTTGTTTTGTAAGAAGGTCGTCAATATACTCCAAATGATAATTTAAATATTTTTGAAGATGATGAAATTGAACTACCTGCAATAGAAAACACTCCTAATAAAATATAGTTTGAAATAATACTTAAAAGTTTTGAAATTAAATTAACAGTAGGATAGCATTTTCCACCTGAAGTATTTAGTGATACTAATCCTATTAATACAGAATGTTCATAACATAATTAAGAATAGTATTATCTTGAACATTCAAATTTATTACATTTAGAAGAGTTTCCACAAATAAATGATTAATAATGTAGTTCTATTCTTTTTAGTTTGAAAGAATTAAAACTAGTATGTTGTGGACCTACATAAAAAGAAATTAATCAATTTTACTTAACTTTATTGTAATTTCAAATAACAGATAGAATCTAAAATTCCAAATATTCTAAGTTAATAGGTAAAGAACCTAATCATGAAGATATAAATTTTGCAGAAGTCTTCTATTAAATTGATAAAATAAATAATTCTATCAATTTAGAAGCAAAAATTGTTCCAATAAGAGTTTGTATTTCTGGAGCAGCATTAGAATTTTTGTTGGAAACATTAAATAGTCCTGAATAATTAAATCCAAAGGTTGATTTTTTGAGTAAATTAAATGTAGGAAATGATAAAGAGTCAATTATTGAATTCTGTGTTCAGGAAGGCTATTAAGTTACATTTTCAAGAATAAGTGAATTAAGTAATAATATTATATATTTAATATAGAAAAATCAATTAAGGTGAATTTTTTGAATATTGAACGAATCTATTGTTATATAACATTTGATGGAAGTGGTGTCAAATTAGATGGAAAATTGAAAGGATTAGTAAGATTGGCTTCTTATGATAGCCTTTTTATATTTTTAAAGAGAGCTCAAATTCATAATCTAGTATTTGAAAAGGATAGTGATTTCATCAAGTTCATGTTTGAATAATACTAACACTTATTAAGAAATGATTCTTAATTAATTTAAAATTTGATCACTTCTTTTAAAGCTTTTCAAAATATCACAAATATAGTATTGGGGTAACAAATACATTATTATTTAGAATATAAACTATGTTTATGACAATAATAAGATAAGGTATAGTAACTGGAGTATGTTCAGGATCCATTCCATTGGCAAAAGCACTGGGAGATGAAATTGTTTATTTGGCCAAAAAGCCTATTGAAGTTTGTAGTACAATGACAGAAGGAATTGGATTAAAAATGGCAAATGTTGTGTTTAGCCCTATTGAAAGAGTTTTAGATTAATTTTCAGCATTAGTATGATATTTAACAATAATTAGACTACAAGCGATAGAATACCTAAAGAATTTCTTAAGAAAAATAATGTAGACTAAACTAATGCATGATCAATTTATTTTTTTTTAATTAATACTTTTTATAACAATAATAATGTGAAATTTAACTCTTCTAATAATATTATGTTATTAATTAAGTTCAATAATCAATTCAATATGTATTACTCTAAATTGAAAATTGAAAATCTCAAATTAGAGAAATAACTCTTTTGAAATCATATAATGAGTTATGGAGATTTTATAGAGATTGGTGTTACAGTATTAAACATATTGATAATTAAGTCAAAATATTAACAATTATTAAAATTAAATTAATGAGCATTCCATTGTTTTAAATTAGCCCATTACCAAAAAGCATTTCAGTTTAATCCAACAACTTTAAAAATTGCATAAATGTTGGTTCAAGTCTAGATTGTGCTTTGTTTATAGGAATAATAGAGTATCATATTAAAGTCAATAAAGTAGAAGAGATAAAAAGAATTTATGAGAAAGCATAAGCGTAAAGTGTTGGAAAAATTAAAACAATTATTTCAAATTCTGAAAATTAGCAATAGCGATTAGAATATATTTTGAAAGAATTTAAACAAACCACAGAATTTTGTAAAAATTTGGATTAAATGATGGGGAATTATTTTAAAAATAAAGGAATCTCTAATGAAAAAGATAAGGATAAAGATTTAAAGAATAAAGTTAAAATACTAGAACAAGACTTTAACATTAGATTTTATTTATATGATTCAAAAAGCAATCTTAAAATCTAAGATATAGCAGCTACAACTATTTATATATACAGATCTGACTCTAATTTTTATATTCTCATAAATGCATAGGTAAATTTAATTGCATGCAGCAAATGTAATGGATAGACAAATTTACAAAAACTTAAATGTAATCATATGGCTTGTTTTTAATGTATATAGAGTTAGTTTGAAGGAAAAAACATTTCTATTGTATCATTTCCTTGCTTTGTAAAAAATTGTTAATAGAAAATTGAGAAATCATATTACCTTTAAATGAAATTGCCTAAAAGTTTAGATTAAAAATAATACATTAAACAAGGTGATAATTCCAGCAAATAAAGTCTTAATCAAGTTGAAAAAAAGCAGGAATCATATGATAATTGTGTAGAAGAGAAGAATCAGATAAATTGCATGAATACACAACACATTTTAACTTCCTCTAAAAGTGAGGAAACTTAATTTGATAAAAATATGAATTAGGAAAAAGGGAAGCTATAAATCTAAGTATCCTCTAAATTAGAGAAATAGTAGAAGGGAAAATTTGAATAAACAGAATAACCCATATAACATGAAATTCTTAATACTTTAGAAAATATTAAAAAAAATTGCTAAAATTAGAAATAAGAGGAAATTAAAGCTCAAAAATAACTTCATAATAAATAATGCAGTCATTGCTTAAAAGAGTGCAAAGAAGAAATATTTGAGGCAAGTTGTGGCCATTGTTATTGTCCAAAATGTACTCAAATTCTAACATCTAAAAATAAATCATATACATGCCTTCATCCTAAATGTAATAATATTAAAAAAATTGATTACAAATTAGAAACAAAATGTGATTAATGTCAAGATATTAGGGATAGAACATTATTATTTACAAACTTTTGTGATCATTAAATATGTGTCTAATGTTTAGAAGGCTTAGTAAAAAACAAGAGAAATTATAAGTGTCCAATTTGTTTCAGTAATTTACAATCAAAAGATATTGAACTCTTTTTTGAAAATTTATAGTTTCATATCTATGAATAGGAGACATAGAAAAATTCTTTAAAATAAGATCAATTTGATTTTTAACAACAAATACTATAAGAACCAAACTACCCAAAATATTGTACTTTTTGTTTTAGCCCTTTTACAGAATTCAATCTTTAACAATAATTGTCCCATTGCAAAAATCCATTACATATGATAGGAGTATGCTGTTCAATCTTTCCTTTGGACTGTCCTTAATGCTAAATTCCATCGTTAGAAATTTCAAAATGTATATAAAATTATTATTTTAGATTAAATTATTTTTGAAATTAGATAGTATTTTGAGTAGAATACTTTATATTGAATAAATAGTTTCAAATCAGAAATGAAAATATAAGTTTAGTAATTATTATGTATGTTAATCTAAAATAATAACATATTTTCTATAAATCGACTTAATGTTAAAGAGTTTTATATTTTTCAAATTATCACATCAAAACCAACTATATTTAGTTGATCAATTATCATATTATTAATTTGAAGAGAATAAAATAATTCCATATAGTATTTAATTTGAATTAAAAAATGAGATCTAATATGGAAATTGAAGAATAAAAAATTTTTGTTATAAATACTACTTTAATTGAATTTATAAGGATTAATTCATCAGAATCTTTCACCTCTAATTCTTCTGGCTAATTAGATATCTCTTGACATAATTGTAACTCTTCTAGCATGTATAGCGCATAAGTTGGTATCTTCAAATAATCCAACAAGATATGCTTCAGCAGCTTCTTAGAGTGCCAAGACAGCTGAGCTTTAGAATCTGAGTTCCTTTTAGAATTCATGTGCAATTTCTCTGACTAATCTTTGGAATGGAAGTTTTCTGATCAAAAGTTCAGTTGATTTTTGATATTTTCTGATTTCTCTCAAGGCTACAGTTCCTGGTCTGAATTTATGGGGCTTCTTTAAACCTCCAGTTGCTCCAACAGCTGGGGCTGTTTTTCTTGCAGCCTTAGTAGCCAAATGTTTTGTTGGTTTCTTGTTGCCAGCAGTGCTCTTTCTTGCAGTTTATTTTGTTCTTGCCATTATTATTAATATTTTTATTTAATTTTGAATTTGCATTATGAGGGGGGTTTAAAATCTGATATACTCGATTATGATTGGCTGATAAGGAATATTTAATAACAATACTAGACAATAAACTTGGATAGAAATCAATAAGATATCTTAAAAATATAGGGAATCCATATATATTATGATTTCTGGGATCAATTCAAAAAAATTCCTTTTCATAATTATCATTATGTACCATTTAAATATTTTAATAATAATTATTCCAATAAGATCTAAAGTTTGGGTTTTCATTACTTGAGATCTTTATGTTCTTAAAAACCTATTATTTCTTAATATAGATTTTAAGTAATTAATTTTTTATATTTAATGAGCAATACATCTAAATTAAAGCCTAATAATCATTTGCTCGCATATGAGGCTGCAGAAGCAAAATGTAAAGAAAAGTATCCTAAAATTGAAGTAATTTTATCATAAAATCTAGGAATGCATGGATATTTCGAATATTTAAGTTGATATGAAACTATGCAAATAGATGTTGGAAAGATTTTCAGAATGCTTCAATGTTCATAAGCCGGTTGCATATATTTAATTAGGAAAATAAAGAGAATGATTTTTAGAGTATAATGTAATATTTAATACATTGAAATATTTTGATAATTTATTGTTATTATCACATGTTTCTTACTTCTCTATTCAAAATAAGTATATTTATACAAAACAAATTTTGTTTTACAAATAATTTCTAATGATAAATTCTATAAGCTTGGCTGTAAATGATGAGGTATATTCTTGTGATTCTTCAAGAGACTAATTATTTTATAATTAAATTTTAACTATATGTAATAAATACTTTGAAGTTCGATTAAGATTATTAAAGTATTGATATATAAATATAAAATTCTAGAATAATCCAATAAAAAATTTAATTCTTCCAACATGAGATGGAGAATTGCAATAAGAATTTTACCCAAGCCTTATATGGGAGATTTAAATTAATATGCCTTTGAAGAACTTAAGTTTAAATGATTTTATTAATTAAAAAGAATTGATTTATTGACTTAAATTTCATGTTGATAGGATTTCTTGTTTTTAGAAACTCCCTATTATTAGGTAGGTTGAAAATTAGATTCAATTTGAATTTTAATAAACTCATATTTGTACAAAATAGGGCTAAAATAGCTAAGAAATAAGGCTTATTGTCCAGATGCCTCTATCAGTTTTGTACTAATTTTCTCTGCTAGATTAAAAAAAATTTAGAAAGTTGTCAAAAAATCAAACAATAAATTTAGGTTTTATTCTTACTACTAAAATCTGCTGAGCTTTCGATTGTTCAATCCAAACCTAAAATACTTTTATTAGCAAAATAAATATCCAAAAAAGAATTTTTATCAGAATTGCTTAAAATATTAGCAGTGAATACAATTTAGAGCAATCATATTTTGTTCCTGAAACAATATCATTTGACTTGACATATTGGAAACCACTTAAAAAAAAAAATGAAAAACGACAAATTTATCCTTCAATAATCCTCCATTACACTAAATTGTTTAATGTATCTAATTTCTACAATTAAATGTCTACTTACTCTGAACAAATTTTCTGGACTATATTAAATCAATCCTTTTACAAGTAGAAAAAAAAAATACTGCATATTTTTCAATGTTAAATCTTGTTTTTTTAATTAATAATCTTCTAATAAGGGTTTCGGTAAAATTTATATCAATTCCTGCTCTTAATATTTCTCATAATCATTTTTAATCTTTGAACAATAATGCCTTTTTTTTAATTATTTCTTATTTTATGTTACTCATCTTCTCCTAACACTATATTACCTAAACACTTTAAGAGTAATTTTCACATTTCCCAATAAAACAATGGTTGAATAAATTAACAATAATTTTGTTTTCTATTATTAGTAATGTGCTTGCAAGTTGTTTTTACATAACAATCATTTAATAATATTTTCAAAGTCTAAATTGATACTGATAAATATTTTAATTGTTATTAATAATTGTATATGCTTAATAAATCAAATGTCTCTATGATAATCGCAAAAAATTCCTCCATCTCTTTCCCCATAAACAAACTTAGGTTATATAATATCTAAGAAACAACTAACACACGTAATGCCATTTTTTACTCTGTATTTATTATCGACTTAATCATCTTTCTTATGAAATATATGGATTTTCTAATTTATATAAATTTATTACATGATTTTCTAACAATAGATGGATTTCTGCCTTATTCTTTTCATCATTAATGTAGTAAGCACAGGTTATAATCCGATGTTTTGAGGAGCATAATAATTTGGTTTCATTATCATAATTTAACCTATAAAGATTATTCTCCTAAATTCCTAGGCAAAATTTTTCATCAAAAAGAATTGCTGAAATGTCTTTGGATAAATTGATCTAAATTTAATATGATTGCTATTTGTTCAATGTTTTTAATTCGTAAACAATAATCTCTCCATTCTGATAGCCAATGAATAAATTATCCTTAATCACTTTCATGGAAATAATTTTTTTTTCGCCTGCTAAATATTACTTTTACCATTATTCAACGATATCATTTTTTATTATTTAGCATCCAATTAATTGGTTGCTATCTTAAAGATAGCAAACTGCGCTTATAGAGACAATATCTATTTTGAAGCCTTTATCAATAGTTAAGTGGTTCTTTTCAATTATTTTTTTATAAATCTTTAAAATTTCTAGGTTTTTATCCAAAAGAATTAAGCTTTAACTAGTATGAACTAAAATTTAATGCTAATTTAGTATTTGAAAATCCAAAATTAAAACTTAAAAATTCTTTTCTAATTTTTTGTTATTTGATTTTGATTTATATTCTGTTATAAAAACCAATTTTTATTCACTTAAATATATCAAATTTTTGTTATCTATTATTTCAATTTTAGTTATTGGTTAATTTGCAAACTTATTTGCAAATGATAGTTTGTATTCAAATTTAGACTTTTTTATGACTGATTGATTATACATATTGTTGGTACTAGGATTTATCATAGAGGCTATTTTATTTTTGGAGTGCAAAACTAAATCAGAATTTAAATGTTAGAAATTTACTGCCGACATTACTTATGGATAATTTATTTAATATTATGGTAAATGAAAGCTTTATTGATTGACCTACTATTTAATTTGGTTTTTATCAGGTTCGGTAAATGTATTTTATACTTAAGAAATGATATTTGATTCTGGGTGTTGTTATAGTTAAGGTTGTTATTGATTAATGAATTATTACATAATTTAGTTATTGTCAAGATGCCCACCCTCATTTTTACTGACAATTTATTATTAATTATCTTCTATTTCATTTCTTAATTTTTATTATTCTATGGTGTCGCTTTTTTTCTATAATTCTTTTATTTGCTTAAATTAGGATTTTTACTACAAATCCTCAATTTCATTTTAACTGAAAATCTAGCTAGACTTTGAACCTTTAAAAACAAATATCGAACTTTTTAATGGTCGAGACTATTATTATTGTTATTATTATTATTCTTGCAATTCGTTATTTTTTTTGTTCAAAATATTTTTTATTGATTGTATAGAATTATCAATCTCTGCAATATATTTTAACATTGATTTTTCTGTTCTATTCTCTTGTTGGGATCTATCAAAGTTAATTTCATTAAATGAAGTTGCCTACTTAATTTATTATAAATATTTCGCGTGTTTATAATAGGAGAATTTCTTCACCTTTTGTTTAAGTTTAAAGTATCTATCTTTACGAGAATCAGCATCTCTAATAATTATAAATCTTAATTATACATTTTAGTTTCTTCATACAAAAGTTACAAATTTTCAATAGTTTCTTTAAGGTTGAGGACAAGAACATCTTCTCCTTCCATCTTTTCTTTTAAAGCTGTCTTCATAACTTCAAAAAATTAATCTTAAGGAAGAATTTAATTTTTTTCCTTGCATTCTAAATGAAAATCAAACTTCAAGCAATTTTAACAAAGTAATGAATCTGCTCCTTAACAACTATTATTAATGCAAATAAGTTCAATCTTCTTGTTGTGATATTCACAAATATTATTTGAGTGCATTTTATTAATATAAATAAATAGAAATTAAAAAAAAAAATCGCACAAATTTTCGTTCATAGAATATCAATTTTTTTATGATTCAATTCTGCAAACTTTAAAATACTTGAAACTTTAAAGTGATAAAATACATTATATCGCCTCTTGAAAATGTCTAGAAGTCTAGAATAGTCAAAAAACAAATTTAATTCAAAAATTGTTAATCCTCTTTATAGAAGATTTATTCTTTTATTAAATTCTTAAATTTTTAGATAATTTAGAATATTAATATAATCAAAATAGTTGAAAAATCTTGATTAATATAAAAATAGAAGTTGAATAGTTTAAATGCTCTTTAAATACATTTCAAAAAATTTTGCATTTAGGCTGTGTCATAGGGATTGATTTTTTTATTTCAGATTCTTATCTGTAAAAATAAGCTGCATTATTTGAAGCACAAAGTAAATAATTTTAACTTTGACTTTTTTTAGGCATTTAATAAAAATTATATTTTCAATTATAATTTCAGATTTTAATGAACTATTCTCAAAATCTTAAATGTATTCTAATTGACCTAAGATAAATTCAATATGACAAGAAGTATTTTTTTATTTCGGAAGAAATAGGTGTAAACCATCAAACGAAAGTCATTACTTATTGAAAGAAAAATTTTATAAAGTCTTAAATATCTCACATTCGTCTCTATATTTTTTGTTTTATTAAATAGATGACTTACAAACATGAAAAGTTTGGATTGATCTGTTAAAATATTTGAATATTAATCATCTTTACAAAGGATAAAAAATAGATCATTGTGATGCAATTATTTATTTTTTTTAGAAAAATGAAATACCTGAGCATTTTGGTATTTATATAGCTTTTGCATTTTCTGAGCTTCTGAGGCTTTTATTGCATTTCTGATATCAGTCTAATTTATTTTAGCAGATCAACAATTTTTGAAATATTTTAAGAGTAGATTTTGAGAACAAAGCATTAAAAAATTATTGTTGAATTAAAAATAGCAAAAAGTGTATTTTATTTATATTAATTAAAATGTTATATCATTTAGTATCTAATTTCAACTTCTTGTCTTAATATCCAAGATAAGAAACTAATTATTCTCAAACCTCAACATTATTTTCATTATTTACTTAATATAATTGATAAATAAATACAATTAGTCTAGGAATAACTAATTTAATTATGTTATGTAGGACAATTATTAGTTTATATAGTACAATGACAAGGAGGATTCTTTATGAAAGCTGAATCACTAAAGATAATAAATGTCATTTCAATCATAAATTTTTCATTTAAAAATGGAATAATCATCACCAAATGATATTTGAGTTTCTCTGTAAAATGCTTCATCTTATCATTCTTTCATGACTCTTATTTAAAATAATAGTTTAGCGAAAAGAATATTCGAATAAATTTCTAAGAATTACAAAAACCTAAAAATGATTAAATTTTTCAAAATTAAATTCAATTTCACAATTAAATGCTTAAAAAAAACTTAACAAATCCCTCCATTTTTCATTATATTCACTATCATACATTGTTTAATGTTAATCTTAATAAATTTTACATGTCTTTATTATAAGAGATTTCCATTTGACTTTCAGTAAACCATCATTGTATCACTTATCTAGAATGATTTAGCTTGATTATTAAATATTCAATAATACCTTATGTCTAATAATTTGCTTTGCTTGTTATCTTGATCAGAATATAATTAAATAATAAATTTTTAATTTACTTTTATTATCCACTTACATTTTTATTTGATTTCTCCTTCAATTTGGCTATCCATTACCAACCTTCTACTTATTTTGCTATATTATTCACCTCAGATATTGAATTTATACAAAATTGGTTAGAATATCACATTTCGTAGTTATCAATTATTCAATCTCTAACTTATAATTTATTAATTCATATGATTATGATGGACCAACTCTTATATATTGTATTACTTTTTTTTGAGAATTTGTTATTTTAAACTTAGAGTAGATAAATTTTCCATTAATCTAATATGACTATTAAATACTTTTTCTTCCTTCTACATCATTTATCTTATTAAAAAATTAGAGTAATCATCTTCATTTTTTATTAAATTTATCACTAAAAGTCTTTGCTTCATTTTCTAACCACATTTAGTCTTTTCTACTCTAACCATATAAATTCATTATATTATTCAAATCATCTAAAATTGTAGCTTCTTGTAGTTAGGCCAAGTCAGAATATGAGGATTCTGCCAAATATTTTCATTTTGGACAACAAGATTGTATGATTTATTTTCATTCTCAATCATCTCATAAATCCAGCTGATTTACTAAGATAAATTTTGCCACAATTTCTTCAACATTGCTTCAATTTCAGAAAGTATCATTTTATCATGGGAACTGCTTATTGCACTTCCTCTCTATGTTCATATTGGCATTCAACAAAAATTTTCCTTTAGAATTAACATTTATTAGGAACCATGCAGAACAGAGATGCCTGACTTAGAGGATGAAAGGTGCAAGATAATTGTATTAAAAATAATTATAATAATTACTTAATTTGAGTTTTATTATTTATTGATCATACTTTTTTTTTGTTCTATTATTTTAAAAAAATGGTAGATAAAGAATAGAGTCTTAAAAATATCTCCCAACTCACAATAATTTTAATATAATATATAAAGATTTCTATTAGCTTCCAAAACTTTTTTTGACCAGTTGAAATCTTCTCCCAATAAAAGAAGAGGAATGATGAGTATTATACATAAATTTAGGATAAAATTAGAATAATTCATACTCTTGCACTACAGCTTACTTCTCTTAAAACTCTTTTATTTTTTTAATCGAGAACTCGGTTCGCTTCTTGCTTGCTCAAAAATTTTTTCTACATACTTCCTCTCCAGATTAATTCAATTAATTTTGAATTTTTTTTTGCATTTCCACAAAAATACTCATATAATACTTGTTGTATTTTTCCTATCAGAAAGCATAATCTAATAATAAGTGTAAATATGCTAAAACTGCAGGGAGCATAAATTTGCGGAGATGAGGCTTTTTATAGGTTTTTTTAATTACAGTTAATATAACACAAAAAAATCAGCTCCAAATATTAAAAATATAAAATTAGAAGAATTTTACAAATTTAACAGAAGTGAAGTAACTCTATGAGAAGAGCAATTATACAAATTTAAGAGCATGAAAGAAGCTAAAAATATATCCATATTTAAAAAAAATATAAGAGGTTATTTTTTGAACTTGTAATCTGCTGTTGTGCTATGGTTTGTCTAATAAAAATGATTTTAAGATTTAATAAAAATTTCATTAATTAAAGTGTGTTTTTTAATAAATGATCTGTTTTTGAT